TTAGCGTGGTAGTTAGGTTAGCTCAGAAATCTGGTATCAGGAGAATATAATGTGCGAGGAGATTGAAGATTGAAATAAAATTTTAGTGTGGTTAGGTTAGCGTGCTAGTTAGGTTAGCTCAGAAATCTGGTATCAGGAGAATATAATGTGCGAGGAGATTGAAGATTGAAATAAAATTTTAGTGTGGTTAGGTTAGCGTGGTAGTTAGGTTAGCTCAGAATTCTGGTATCAGGAGAATATAATGTGCGAGGAGATTGAAGATTGAAATAAAATTTTAGTGAGGTTAGGTTAACGTGGTAGTTAGGTTAGCTCAGAAATCTGGTATCAGGAGAATATAATGTGCGAGGAGATTGAAGATTGAAATAAAATATTAGTGTGGTTAGGTTAGCGTGGTAGTTAGGTTAGCTCAGAATTCTGGTATCAGGAGAATATAATGTGCGAGGAGATCGATGGTTAAAATAAAATTTTAGTGAGGTTAGGTTAGCGTGCTAGTTAGGTTAGCTCAGAAATCTGGTATCAGGAGAATATAATGTGCGAGGAGATTGAAGATTGAAATAAAATTTTAGTGTGGTTAGGTTAACGTGGTAGTTAGGTTAGCTCACAAATCTGGTATCAGGAGAATATAATGTGCGAGGAGATCGAATGTTAAAATAAAATTTAAGTGAGGTTAGGTTAGAGTTCTAGTTAAGTTAGGTCAGATTAGTTTGGGCGTTTTAAATTTTTACAAATCTTGTATCTAACCTAACGCACATGAAACTTCAAGCTCTCAAAAGTCCTTAAAATTAACACCCATTTAAAATTCTTTTTTATTGCGGTGTACTCTTATGGCGATTTAACTGGTATATTGCGAACAGATACTTCATTAAAATCGTCAAAATATCTGTATGGATGGCCGTCCGTTCACCCGCCTTGTCCAATGGCAATGCAAAAACGCTATTACGCAAAGGAATAGGCTATAATACAGGAGCGAAACTTTTAATTTTCGAGTTACGTGGTTTACTTCTTTGACAGCGAAAGGCACAAATCCCAAAATGTTTATAGCCTTGCCTGAGTTTTTGGTAATATTGAAATAATCCATGCAGAATACAGTGTGGTGACATCTGTCTTTATTATTGTGGACTAACATTTTATCGATAAATGCAGGACACTTTATTACCAACATTATTTTAGTTGTAACCTACACCTCAAAGATGTCGCCACACTATTTTTTTTATATACTTTATGAAACAAACGTTAGATGTCAGAGCGAAAAGTTAACCATAGATATATTAAAATTTAACCTCAAATGCATAAAAATGTTTGTTTATTTTATAATCAAAAATTAAACTTTGTTATCATTCCTTTCTCGCTTACAGGTTTAAATTAGGGAACTGGCTACTGGGAGTGACAGGAAAGCGGCAGACTCGGGCATTGCGGAAAATGATACTGATCGCTCTGAGTCGTCCGATCGGAAAACTGGTAGTTCTCGATGGGTGAGAAAAGTTAGCATTGAATTCGGACAACACAAATTGAAAAGGGAAAGGCTTTGTAACCAAAACAGGAGGAGACGTTGGAGAACTCGCAGAAAACCCATTCAAACGCAAATCAAACTTCTCAACGTTAAAATCGGAACGATTACATGATTTCAGCAGCTGCCGATGATTTGAAGCTATTCGTTAAAAACAATTGAGCCTTGAGTTCATTCGACAGAACTAAAGTTATAAAACGGTAGTGAAATTGGCAACGAAACGGAACGAAAGTGTTACGCAGTTTGCAAGCACCCAAAAATGTATTGTTTGTGCGATCTTCGTGTGAAAGTTGTTTTAAAATGGTTCACTTTAATGTACCTGTATTGAAATTGTTCTTCCAAGTGCTTTAAATAAACTCCCTTGCATAAGAAGTTACAAATTGCAAAAACAAATGTTCGTTTTCTGTTCATTGAGCATGATGTGTTGCCTACAAACCAGGCTACACAAATATTGAGTACCCATATTGAAATATCGGGATTTGCTTGATTATCCACAATTAAGTACATGAAGGACACCGTAATGAGATAAGTGCTATTGCTACCCTCTGCCGAAATGTTACAAAATAGTGATCAAAACGAGTCCCTTTTTGCATAAAGGATTTACATTTGTAAACGTAACTTTTCGACATCTAACGTTGGTATAATGAACTCGCAGCTCGTGTGTTAATGGAAATCTGTTTCGTGCCAGTGGTGACATCTGTCCCTAAGCTTAAACAACTAATATAATGGTAATATAGAGGTGCCCTACATTTATTGGTAACATCTGCGTCTGACTTCATTACGCCAGATGACGGGACGATATTTAAGATCATCAACTATTAATTATGGAATAAACTAAAATTATTCAATGACCGTAGTCAATAAACAAAGGTTACATATCATTTGATGTAGGTGTTCAGGCTCTGGTCGTTTTGTATTCCAAAGGCCAAAATGGACTAACTGAGCCAACGGTCGGATACGACAAAAAAATCTTGATAAATATATAGCCTGGTTTGTAGGCAACACATCATACTCAATGATCGGAAAACTAATTTTCTACTTTTATTTGTAATTTCTTGCACGGGATTTCGTTTAAAGTCGATAGAACATTCGACACTGGTACGAATTACAATTTTTACACGAAGTTCGCAAAAAGAACAATCCATTTTTCGTACTTGCAAACTACGTAACACTTTTGTCCCGTTCCGCTACCGTTTTTGTATCTGTAGTTCTATTGAATGATTCCTCCTAGCTTTCACACCATCTGCAGCTGCTGCAAACATGTGAACGCTTCGATTTTAACGTTGAGATGTTTGAACCGTTTCTCCACCGTGTCCGCTTGTTTGGATTACAATTTGTGTTGTCAGAATTCAATGCTAACGTTTCTCATCCATCGAGAACTACATGTCTTCCGATCCGATGACCGAGAGCCAGCAGTTTCATTTTCCTCAATAATCTGCCGCTTTCCTGTCACTCCCAGTAGTTCCATAATTTAAACCTGTAAGAAAGAAAGGAGCGATAATAAAGTTCATTTTTTGATTAAAAAAATAAACAAACTTTTATTTGTACATTTGAGGTTAATTGTTAATGTATCTATGGTTACAGTATGAATAAAGTCCCTAATCTAGGGACTTTAAGTATGAAGAAAACGCTCTGACATCTAACGTTGGTTTCATGAATTATATTTGAAAAATTGTGTGGCGACATCTTTCAAAAATATGTGTAATTAAAATAATGGTAATAATAAAGTATCCTGCTTTTATCGATAAAATGTTAGTCTGCATTAATAATGATAGATGTCAGCACCATGCTTTTCGCTTTGATTATTTAATTATTTACAAAAAAAACTCACGCAAATCTATAATTTTTTTGGGTTTTGTGTCCACCCCTGTCATTGGAGTAAAGCCATGAAACTAAACACTTCGTTCCTGTATTACAGTCTGATTATTAGGTGTTATAGCGTTTTTGGATTGTCATTGAAAAGGCCAGATGAACGGACCGCATCCCTACAGATTTTTTGACGATTTTTGTAAAGGTATCTGCTCGCAATACACGAACTAAATCGCCAAAAGAGTATGCAGCAATAAATAATTATTTTAAATGAAAGTTAAGTTTCATGTGAGTTAGGTTAGATCTTGTGAGGGAAGGTAAAGTTCCCTGTAAGTGAGGTTAGACATTCCTTGAATCACCTCCTCGAATATCATATTCTCCTGATACAAGATTTGTAAAAATTTAAAACGCCCAAACTAATCTGAGCTAACCTAACTAGCACTCTAACCTAACCTTCATTCATCTCCTCGCACATTATATTCTCCTGATACCAGATTTCTGAGCTAACCTAACTAGCACGCTAACCTAACCTCACTTAAATTTTATTTCAACATTCGATCTCCTCGCACATTATATTCTCCTGATACCAGATTTCTGAGCTAACCTAACTAGCACGCTAACCTAACCTCACTAAAATTTTATTTTAACATTCGATCTCCTCGCACATTATATTCTCCTGATACCAGATTTCTGAGCTAACCTAACTAGCACGCTAACCTAACCTCACTAAAATTTTATTTTAACCTTCGATCTCCTCGCACATTATATTCTCCTGATACCAGATTTCTGAGCTAACCTAACTAGCACGCTAACCTAACCTCACTTAAATTTTATTTTAACCTTCGATCTCCTCGCACATTATATTCTCCTGATACCAGATTTCTGAGCTAACCTAACTAGCACGCTAACCTAACCTCACTTAAATTTTATTTTAACCTTCGATCTCCTCGCACATTATATTCTCCTGATACCAGATTTCTGAGCTAACCTAACTAGCACGCTAACCTAACCTCACTAAAATTTTATTTTAACCTTCGATCTCCTCGCACATTATATTCTCCTGATACCAGATTTCTGAGCTAACATAACTAGCACGCTAACCTAACCTCACTAAAATTTTATTTTAACCTTCGATCTCCTCGCACATTATACTCTCCTGATGCCAGATCTCTGAGCTAACCATGGGCTGCATTTACTCTCAAGATTCACTCGGAACAGAATATGCATTTATTTTGTTTGTACAGTTTTCAATATAAAAATTATTTACAAAAGTTGTACTTTATTTTCCTCCCCAATAACAAAACTGATAAGCACCTGGTCCTTCGCACTTTGCCGAAAACACTTACAAATTTGGTAGGTATCAGGAAGATATAACGTGAAAGGAGGTCTTTCAGTCTCAAATACACCTGTTCTTTGTCGACAAACTTACGTAAAAGGTTTCTTGCTACTAGGAGAACAGAATTCACGAAGAGGTCTTTTTCTAAAGTTTAATTTCGATTTAAAAATTTGCCATTTTGTATCAGGATCATATGAGTGCGAGGAGGTGTATCTTTTCCTAATACTACACCTGTTACTTGTCGACAAACTTATGCAAAAGGTTACAAAAGTTACAGCCCTTTGAATTTTCTTTCGAAATTGGTTTCTAGTCTATAACACTTTTGATTGAGAGGTCTAATCGAAAAAATAGTGAGATAGAATTTATTTACATTTAAAAACAATTGACAAATACAGATAAAAAGATTAGCCTGGTTTTGATTTTTTGCTTGCTGGCTCCTCTTCAGACGTCCCCTCCAATATGGTGGTCGGTTGCGTCTTCGCGTACGCCGGCGCGATCCAGTAGGGATTCTCGGCCGCCTCCTTCGCGTACTTCAAAATGGCCTCGCGCGGATCCTGATCGTCGTCCACCCTCTTGCTCAGGCCCAAATTTCGTATGACGTAACTGCTGAGCGTTCCGCCGCTCGACGCCAGACGACCGCCCTGGCCGGACGTAATCGGCAGGTCGGGTCTGTGCGATTTGACCGGATCCAGACGGTCCTTTTCCATCTGCTTGCGGCTGGTTTTGCGTCGTTCCTGTCGGAAGAGCGGAAGCGCGTGCGGCGTGATCACCTGCTGCGTGCTGACGATTTCCGCGTGCTTGACGCGACGGTGCAGCTTAGCCGTGCACAGGGTGACCCCGCGCATGCTCCGTTTCTCGTCGTAGTAGCACTTGATCAGGCCGTTGCCGATACCGGTGAAGATTTGGTTGAGCTTCGTGTGCCAGAGGATTTTGATGACGTGCGTGCCGGCGACGTTAAGCGAACGGACCAGGTCGAATGAGGTCGAGTCGTAGAAAAGGAGTTGACCGAACTCTTTGTCATTCGCGACAGAGGTCGCCGTGACTACTAGTTTGTCGTTAGGGCTGAAGATGGCGTCGGTGGTGTCGTAGCGCGCGTAGAGACCACTGGCGACCTTCACGTTTTCTTTCAACTTGCGAATGTCCCACAGTTTCAAGGTTTCGTCGCAGCTACGGCTGACCAAGTGCTGTCCGATGTGCGAGTAATTGACGGCGGTCACATCGGTCGGGCTGTGAGCCTTTCGGTTTAAGGCCACCGGCGCGACGACGCTCTTCCTCAAGTCCCAGAGCTGAATCGAACCGTCCGAGCAGCCGCACGCCAAGGTGTGTCCGTCTCGGCTGTACGTGCAGGCCGTCGCCGAAGTCTTGAGGCCGTTCTGCGCGCGAAATTTGATTATGTGCGCGTGGTTCTTCGAGTTGTTGATGTTCCAGATGCGCGCGGTTCCGTCGGACGACGTCGTGACGAAATCCTCGCGCACCATCGGGTTCCACGCGCCGACTAGAAGTCCGGCCGTGTGGCCCTTCGTTTGCGCCTGGTCGGTGATGTACATGTCGCCCTTGACCGTTTCGAGCTGCTCGAAGCCGTCACGATCTAAAACCTTGGCCTGTGCGGCGCCCGATACCACCAAGAGGAGGTCGCCGGTCGAGGAGTACTGAAGGTAGCGAATCGGATGATTATCGCACGGCTGCAGCGTTCGAAAACTTCGCATCGACGAATCCATTCCGGCAAAATCCCAGAAGCTAACGTCGTAGTCAACCGACCCTACACAATAGAGATTTCCAATAGAACTAGTTGTCAGGTAAACTCCTGACTTGACTATCCGACTACTTTTGATAAAGTCATTGCAATTATCTTTGGTCATAATATAACTAAAGTCACTAGATATAGAATGTACCGCAATCATCCGCCATTTTTGGGCAAATTTGCTGCCAACTTAAAACAATTGACAAATAAAATCTGAATAGCTGTCATTTTTTATAACCTAACTTCATAGTACTGTCATGTTTTATAAAAATATATACAGATATCTCCAAACAGGGGAACAATCCCTAACATTAAAGTCTGGTAACTTCCGCCATTTTTGGGCAAAAATCATGCGTTCTCTCTCTAACACACGAGCCCAATGGATTGCGGTACTTTCTATATTTAGTGACTTTAAGTATAACATTTAGAAAATGCCCTCTAGCGGCTTTATTTTGAACCCGACGCCAAAAGTGTACAAGCCTTTTTTTGTAGATCTTATTAAGGTACATCTATTTTGTAATTAACAAAACAATTCAGACAAAAATTATAATGAACTTTTTTGTAGTTTTTTAAGCCATTTTGGCCAGTGTATGCGAAAATGCCGTTATGGATCTTTTAAACTTTTGACACCCTCAACAACCATGAAGATGGTTACGGATCAAAATCAACGTTTTCGATTCCCCATACCACCCTATATGCACCCCAAATTTCGTCCAAATCTTTTCAGGGGTTTTTTAGTTATCGTGGTCACAACGAACGAACCACATACACACAGACGTCAAAGCTAAAAATCAAAACGTCCAAAAAAACGCAATATTCTTCATTAAATTTATCTGAGAGAAAATTCTGATTGGTAGATTAAACCAATGCTTATTATAGTGAATCTGAATATTAGGGGGGCTATGTAAAGGGAACATTGCGTGCCTACACACAAAAATGTCGGGAGCGAAATGATTTTGCGAATTACAGTACCCCTTCCTTAGTACTTTGAATCTACACCCCCACAGAACCTTAAGAAACTAATCGACAGGTATAGAACCCTCTTAAAACCTATGCATGACAGATTGCGAAGAGGATTCAAGGGTCTATATATCTACTATAGTAGGGTTGATCAGATATGTCCCAAAATGTTAGCAAAACATTTTTTTTCAACCCCCCACTCCTATACAACTAACCTTATACGTTGCTGTAGGGGGCTGAAATTTGACATTTGACATTTTAGGGGGTGTAAAGCCTGTATATACATTTTGGGACGTAGAGCCCCACTCTAACCGACCAGATGGATCCTTACCAGAAGCCAAACGTGCTCCACTCGGATCGGTAGACAACGCGGTAATCGCCTTGTTACCGTGAGTCATGATAGTCTCGCGTTCGCACGGAATAAAGTGTGGCATCTCGCCCGTCTCGGTCTCGCTATCCGAATCCGGCGCGCTTGCGGCCGTAGATCCTCGCCCGAACTCGACTGGAAGGGGGGGAAACGTCAGAATGAGAGACCGTGAAACGATCGCACAATTGACTTACATGACTTCGGCACGGGCGGGCCGATGAGATCGTCGTCGTCCTCCTCGTCGCTGCTATCCGAACTGTTCGCCGCCTCCGCCGGCCTCGTGATTTCCTTCGCCGTCTTCGTCACCTGGGCCATCATCTCCTGCAAAGGAAGAGCGTAACCGGAACCGGCGACATCGAGACGTTACCTTTATATCGAAGGACTTGGCCTTCTTGCCGAAATTCGCGATTCCCATCACCTCCTTCATTTGCTGGTGCTCGTAGTTGTCATCTTCGAGATTTTCGATTTGTATCGGTTTCGTGGGGGTCGGCCCGAACGTGCCGAAGCCGCCGGTCGCCTCGACGACGGTCGCATTCTGTCCGAAGTTCGTGCTTATTTTGCCAAAGCTAATTTTTTTCCCTACGCTCATTTTGCATTATTAAAAAAAAGGACTTCAAAAGGGAGCCCTATTGATTGAAAACATTGAGGTTATTTGTTTACTTTTAACCAATGGGAATTTTTTCCCATTGCATTGAATCAAAAAAATCCCATTAGGTAAAAGCTTTCTACAGGGCCGGCGTAAGTGTTAAAAGGCCTCATTTTTTACAAGATTTGTCATTTCCATTAAATTTACAGACAAAATTATTTTGTCCGTAAAAAAAAGGCGTAGGCGAAGGCGAAACCACCAGTGGAAACTAAAGGACGTGAAGATTTTCTTTTTATGAAGTTTCTAAAATGTCTGATGATGATATCATGACAATGGAAATGGACGAGTGCCTGACGCCTTCTCCAAAGTAGGATAGTAACGAGCCTTTGGCGGCGGAGATGACGAGGAGGGGGTAGTAGAATACCTTCCTACAGTGCGCCGTTGCCACCTAATGGAGTTCTTTGATCCCGATGGCGAGGAGGCGTCCATCAATCGATGGGTCACCAGGCTGGACATGCTAGGGGAAATGCAGGAGTAGCAAGCCAGGCGCGGGTGGATGGCGTAGCGCAGATGTTTATTTATTTATCCTTAGCATTCTCACAATAGTCTTTGGAAGAAGGTAATCACACCTTCGTATACCTACTGGAGGTACTCCATTCCCCCCCAGTAATACGTTTGCTCCCAAAAACTACACAAAGACCATGTTAGAACTTAGTACCGGAGGATCTGGGTGATATGGAATACCCCCCAGCATACGAATATGAAGGAATATTACCGTAACAAAGTAGCGTTATGAACTTGAGTCGGCATAACAGGCATGGATTGGCTAATGCGCATGCGGTGAGGTGCGCTACACCTCCGAGAGGCTCTATAACAATTTCCTGGCGAGATTCGAGGCGTAACACGGAGAGAAATCACAGCCAGAGCCATCTATTTCTGGACTAGCCAGCCAGCAAGCGCGCAGAACCGACAGGCCGCTCAAGAGAATGACTCACCAGTGACTCTGAGAGTGAGTAGGTACTCTGCGTTCTCCCAGTGTCCTGTTAAGAATTGTGTTAGATGGTAGAGTACCTCTCCGTGCTTTCTCTGGTGCCATTTCTGGACGTCGGGAATCTATCTACTTGTCCTGGACCTCATACGACCCCATTCTTCCTGCTAGCTGCCTACTTTTGCCCAGGAATTGTGCACCTCCAAGCGCCGTTTAACCGCCATCAGGTCGTCAGGTTCCTACCCAGATGGCAGCCTTGAGGAGTCTAGGAAAGTGGGTGATTCAGGGTTTAGTTATTAGTGAGGTTAGGTTAGAGTGCTAGTTAGGTTAGCTCAAAAATCTTGTATCAGGAGAACATAATGCGCGAAGAGATTAAAAGTTAGGATCAAATGTTAGTGAGGTTAGGTTAGAGTCACAGTTAGGTTAGCTCAGAAATCTTGTATCAGGAGAACATAATGTGCGAGGAGATTGAAGGTTGGGAAAAAATATTAGTGAGGTTAGATTAGAGTGACAGTTAGGTTAGCTCAGAAATCTTGTATCAGGAGAATATAATGTGCGAGGAGATTGAAAGTTAGGTTAAAGTTTTAATGTGGTTAAATTAGAGTGATAGTTAGGTTAGGTCAAATTAGTTTGCCAAAATTTTAGACCCCAAATCGAATTTGACCTAACCTAACTGTCACTCTAACCTAGCCTCACTATTACTTTATTCTAACCTTCAATCTCTTCGCACATTATATTCTCCTGATACCAGATTTCTGAGCTAACCTAACTAGCACGCTAACCTAACCTCACTTAAATTTTATTTTAACATTCGATCTCCTCGCACATTATATTCTCCTGATACAAGATTCCTGACCAAACCTAACTACCACTCTAACCTAACCTCACTAAAACTTTAACCTAATGTTTAATCACCTCCTCAGACATTATATTCTCCTGATACATACATCGTGAGCACAGTGTCGTTTAAAAAGATGATGGATGAACATGCTACGGCCTCGGTGAAGGAGCCTCTCATTGACCCCTAAGCTTTGAAATTACTTTGACGCGTGTAACGCGAGGTCCGCACAGGTGTCGTCCCGTCGCCATTTGAATCTCTAGGTAGCCAGGCAGGATTGCTTTGTTTAAAAATGTACAACCGGGGGGTCTGTGACCCCCTGTGAACATTACTGTTCAGCAAAGAGAAACTTGATGATCTTCTTTCAAATTCATTGGGAGATATTCCATACCCTCCAAACCTCCCAGTGGTATATTTTTAACCAGGACAGTATTGCGCTTTGCCTTTTTTTTTTTCAGATCTGATTGGCGTAAAATTTAATTTAATTTAGTAAATATTTACTGTAAAAAAATACTAGATTTTACTTCAAAAGGGCCTCCAGCCTTTCCAAGCCCTGCCGCAGCGTGTTGTCGTACCCGACGCCGCGCATGCGCTCCACTTCGACGACCTGTTTCCTAATGCCGGGCAAAAGCTTGGGCATCACGTTCGGTATAACCTTCGCGAGAGAATTGGCAAACTGAAAATACTGATTCGTGTTGAACGCCAAATGTTTTTCGGTGACCGCGATAAAGGCGGACCTCAACTGCTGGCCCTCCGACTGTTCCGGTAGCGCGACGTGTTTGACTATCTCGATCGCGGTGCCCTTGTTGTTGTTGAATATGAGAACTTCGAGGATCGCCGGTAGGGCGGCCTGGAGGATCAGGTCGGTGGCGCCGCCCCGCTCGAGGGCGAGCTGCACGAGCTTGAGCGCCCTCAGGGTGTTCATCTCGGAACTGCGCGAGGTGTGCGAGAGGAAGCTGGCGGAAATGCGTTCGAAAATAAAGGCGGCCAGTCGCTCGTTACCCAGGCACTTTAGAATCGGCGAGTCGTCGGTCGACAGCAGTGGTAGGTAGCGGGCCACCAGATCGCGCAAGGTCCGCTCGATGTACGCGTCGTTGCTGCCGTCCAGGCAGAAGATTCCCTGCATGAACAAGTGCCAGGTGCGCTGAATCGCACTCAGGACGTACGCGTGCGGTTTTTTGCCGATTAGGATGTTCGTTGAGAGCAGAAAGAAGGTGACTAGACGATTGAGGAGGCAACTCGAGCGGTTCTTGTGGTATAAGAACTGCGCGCACTGGAAGAACAGGAGCGATATGCAGGTGTAGATGTGAACGGTTGCCGGTTCGGACGTCGGTGACGCTAGAAGCGGCAAAATCCAACTGTCGAGGCGTCCGAAGCACTGCTCGCAGATTTCCCTTTGGTTGACCAATTTCGAGGTGCACCTGCTCAGCGACGATATGCAGCTGCAGAGCGGATTGCGCGGGTTTATCGTGAGGTCAAACGCCTCGCGCAACGCGCCAATTTTCGTGACGTATTGCGAGAGGGCGGCGATTCCCTCGCAGTTCAGCAGACAGCAGCGGGTCCACGCGTGCAGAATCGCCGTTTCGTGATTTTTGGACAGTCCGCAGTGATACTCGGGAATGTCACTCAGCAGCGTAATCATGTACTGACACGTGACGTTGACGGCGATGAGGTCCGAGGTGAAGATCAAAACGTAGTCCGATGATAAGTTGGAGTCGATTAGTGCCGCTACCGTCCCCACCTGAACAGATAAGCACCAAATCACTTTATGCGTTCCATGTACTTTTTTAAACTCAAACTTCCATTGTTATTATACAAGATACCAAAATCACTACAGTGACTCAATTTAGAACAGTGACGACAACAGGGTTTGATTGGCTGTTGGTTCCGGTCGCCATATTGGGGCTAAATTTCAAACTGGCCAATAGAAAGCCTCCAAAAAGACGCGGTACACTCCGCGCTGTAATTATTAACATTGAATATAAATTCAATGTTATTAATTATACTGTTTATACAGTTCACGCCTTAGACCATATACAGTGGCACCACGCTGAGAAAGTCCCTGACAGGGCGTGTCCGAGGGCGCTAGAAATTTAGACCATACATTCTGATGCAAAATTTAAAAACACTTTAAGGGAATTACATACCTTATCAGATCGTAGATCCAAGCTATATGCGTCTTGAAAAAGACGAGTTTGTATAAAACTGGAAACGGAAAACGTAAAATAAAGCAAATACAACAGGAAAATTGTAAACTAAAATAACGTGAAGCGTCAACTGTCAAAACGGAATAATTAATAATTATGGCGCGGAATGTATCGCGTCGTTTTTCAGACTTTCTATGAATTATTTCAAAATTAGTTCGCATATTTTCCGAGGCTTTTCTGAGCATGGTGGCACTGTATTTATTAGGTCACAATTTGACATGACAAGGAATATTGAAATCAAACAATCTTTTAGCCCCAATATGGCGGATTATGATAAGTGGTCGCCACTGTCCTAATACAGTCACTGTATCATAGGCTAACTAGACCCCAGCACGGTATTAACCACACTTACTTAAAGAATTAGTTAGAATTAGTTGCAGAGTCCAAAATTAAAAAAAAATACTATCCAGCGCCGAAAAGGATCGAGCGTGTACAGTTAAACTCACCTGCGACGGGCAATTTGACGATGTCGCGATCGACTTCAGGGCAGGTAGGACGTGCTGCTTGAGTACGGGCTCCCATTCGGTCCAGTGGTAGTCGTTTCTCAGTACCTTCACATTGCAAGATAAAATGTTGAGAAAGTAGCACAAGTCGGTAAACGAGCAGGCCGTTAAGTACCTCTGCACCCACTTGCTAATCATAACGTGCTGCTGCAGCGAGTAATCGCCGCCGGCTTTAAAGACGCCATCGAAACCGTCAACGTACGCCCGGATCACGTTAAATTTCTCTCGCGCCTCCACGATCTGTTCAACTGAGGCGACTAGGGGCAGGCAAACGGGGCGTACCGACATTCCGGCGCGCGCGTGTAGAATCGCCAGGGCGATTTGGATGTGGATCGTGAGACTGTCGGGGGGCAAGTTCTGCAGAAGGGCCATGAGTTTCTCGGCGATTTCCGGCAGATTCTCGCCGTTCGCCAACGCGAGGAACAGCAGCGCGATCTTGTACAGGCCGACGCTGGTCAGCTCCTTCACTTTGCTGTTCGGCAGCTTGGAGTAGATGCGACCGCGTATCCTCTGCCACTGGCCCGGATGCTCGGAGAGGTACGCCTTCAGCATAAACAAGAAGTACTCGTAGCTGTCCGTCGACGAGGGCGAAATGTGACCGACAACGTCGACAAGCTCGCTGGCCGACTCGACCGCCGGTTCGGTGAACGCCAAGTTGATGTGCTTGTAAAAAATCTCCCACAGGATCTGGTAGGGCTCCGACTTGACGACGTCCGTCCACCAACTGCTCAGCAACGGATAGATGGTCGAGCAGCAATCCAAAAGGAGCCCGTTGTGCGTCGCGCTAGCGTTACACTTGGAGTTGAGCGACTTGAGCGTCCTTTCGATCAGCGCGTAGTTCTCGCGGACGCGGGCGTGGCCGGGACCGACGTAGCGAGCGTTATCGTCATAGCCCTGCAAGACGGACACGTCGGACAGCAGCCGAAGGACGAAGACTTCGTCGTGGTCGCGTAGGGCGTCGTTGAAGCTCTGCCAGAAGACGAACCGTTGCGATCTCTCGGCGTAGTACTGCAAGAGCAACCAGAGACGTTTCGTGCAGCTACAGATAAAGGCGCATCCGACCCTGGCGGCGACCTGTAATTTCGTAATTGTGGCGCAAGTTAGGAGGTAGGTATCTAATAACCCCCCCCCCCTCCCCACCTTCTTATTTCAGTTTTCGACTAGACGCCATGGAAGGCACCTGGGAAGTATCCGGCAGGCTTTAAGAACCATTAAGAGTCTGTGTGAGGCTCCAAAAACTAAGAGTCTCTAACCGAATGCAAAGGTAGTGCTCATAGTAACTACAACTACAACTTTAAGAGGGACCAAACGTAGAGGGCGCTCTAATAAAAAAAAATTAAAGTGACACAAGGATGCAATTTCGTTTGCATAACCCCACAACAGAAAGAGTGCATGTCGTCTTTCTCGTATTTTTACTAATTTCATGAAACAGTCGAATTAGCTCCGTCTACAATGATTTTATACGAGACAGGAAGTAAAAGTTCCACCCAGCCGCCATCTTGCATCGAAAATTCAAATTAGAAATCATCAAATAGAATAGCAGTGTAGGCAACACACAATACACATGTGACATGCAACAACCGTACATGTAGCACAGACTCGATGCAACATGGCTCGAATTGTACGGATTGAAACATGTTTCAGGTCTTACATTATCCTTTTCTCCTTTAAAAACATTGTACCGGAAATGGTAAAATGCGTTACGCGAAATTAAAAAAGAACATAGCAAGCCTTGAAGTCTTCATGTGTTAAAGACGGATAAAAATAACTCACCGTGATCAAATCGTTAATCAAAGTGTGGAAATTGCGAACGCCCTCTCCCGAGAAATGCTCCAGCGTTAAAATCAGCCACTGCATGTCGAGGTACGTGTGGAAGTAGTGATAGTTGGGCAGGCTCTCGTCGAGCACGGCGTTGGACACTATTTTGTTCAACAGACGCTCGTTCATGGAGCTCCATCGCCTGACCGCCACCCCCAGCAGCTTGGTGTACTTTAACACGCCGTCGACCGCGCTCTGTCGGTCCTCCCTGTAGAACGCTCCGAACGAGTAACGAAGTAGTTCCAATGTGCGACAGATCTGACGAGAAATCTCTCGGAAATTTAAGTTGGGCCAATGCGAGTCTTCCAAAACGGTCTCTTCCAATTGCACCCAGTGCCTTAGCAGCTTGTTGAAGAGGACGTCCGCCTCGAGCAGCACCAAGTTGCTCTGGTATGTGCGATCGAATAAATCCTCGTAATTCGAAGCGATACAAGGAGTTTCGTGCCCGAAGAGCACTTCGAGCTCGTCGCTGATCTCATCTAGTGGGCTGTTCACATTCTTCGCTTCGGAACAGCGGCGATCGTACATAGTTTTGCTTATCTTGGCGATTGAGGTTATGTCAATTGATTAGACGCGGGCTTTAGCAAAGAATGACACCGCAACCATTCTTTAATTAACACATCGTTTAACAATTGAGATGGCTCCAATGAGTTTCAAAAAACTACATTTTTCTACATTGCGGAAAAATAGCGCCCTTACTAACCTAAAATTTTTTAAATCTGGTAGTTCTAACAGCCCACATGGTGTAAGTAATATGAACTACTTTTGGCAACTCGAACTACTATTTCTGAAGACATTCCATCGCCTAATTAGTGTTCCTGGTTAAAAAGAGCTCTCGTAAAACGCTCTGTCAAGGGTTAAGGCCGTATTAAACGATGCAATTTTTATTCCAATCCTTGCAGCAACTATTGCTGCTATTATTGCAGCAATTATTGCAAAAAGATGCAATGATTACACTATGCAATTTATTTGGCAATTTTTTTATACCCAATTCTAATCATGTATTGGTGCCAATGAAAGTGGAATTGGCATCACTGGGAAATACTTGAAAGCAACTTCACGTCTGTTGTAGACCAGGAAACGTGTGTTTTGTGACGTTTCCTTTGTTGAAGGCCGTGCAATTTATTATTTATATTTGCACGCACTTATTCACACTCATGGCCGTTTGCACCGACAAATTTAAGTGGAGCTTAGCTTAAGCGTAGCTTAAATAATCCATGGCAACGATTATTGAGACAATGGTTGCCATGGATTTTAAGCTACGCTTAAGCTAAGCTCGGCTTAAATATGTCGGTGCAAACGGCCATCAGGTTCGTTAAATTCATTGAGTAGGTTTAGGTTTCCCTTTGTGAAATCGTTATTGGCAAGCCACTGCCTGGTCCAAAAATGTCGTCGTCTTCTTTGTTTCTTTTTTTTTAAAAGAGCAACAGCAGACGCAATAACTAAAGATGCGGCAGCAATATCCATTTTTGAATTCCTCGTAAATAGGTTATTTCAGTTTTAACTTTAAATAACAAACCTGTATATAGCATAAGGAGGTAATGTTCTCCAGTGCATACCACTTTATTTTTTTTTTATAAATTAAATGTTACTAAAATAGTTACTAAATTGCAAGAAAAATAGCACAAGTTCTATAACCAGAAAATTGCAGAATGTCTTGCTGCAATATTTGGCGGAAGAAATTGCACGTGCAATTTTAACATACACGGAGCAATTTTTCGTGCAATTTCTTGCGGCAATGAATTGCTGCAAACATTGCAATAAAAATTGCATCGTCTAATACGGCCTTTAGAAAGTCACAGCAATCTTTCTAAAGGTTCTCTAGTCTTTTCAGCCATTTTACCGAGATATATACGAAGCTTTCCTTACCTTTTTAGAAGTTTCTAGTGATTGTGCCTATCTTTTCCCGTGTGGTGACGCGGGTAGCAGATAGGTTGACCCCATAAAGACACATGAGTGATCGTAAAGTGACTCGTGCTTCTGTGTGGGTGGGTCTGGCTCAGGGCAGCCTGAGGAGAAGCATAGAGGCATCGATTCCCGAAGTTAGTCGATATGTTCCGTGACGTGATCGGCTGCCATGACGTCATGAGCGTATACGATAGTAAGTACAAGTTTAGCTGAATTCCCGAATCGCGGACAAACTTTATGAACAGACCAATCACAGACAAGCAACTTAGGCTAAACAGAGTCCTTTATATGCGTTTCAAAGCGCTTTTTAGGGCATAAAAAATCTTTTGCATGTTTGTTTACAGCCTTTCCTCAAGTTTTAAGAGCGTTCTAGGCACTTTTCTCGTCCGATCCGAAAGAACAAGAAACCTGTGCATAGCTAATTAAAAATGAGTGTGATTTTCATTGTAACTTATCGATTGCCTCTATTTTTACTGCTAAAAACTACAAAACAATTCTAACGCTACCCACCGGTCGGTCTTCTTGCGTGTCCGAATAATACTTGAAATTTAGTATGATAGAACTCTTCGCCACCTTTAATCCTACTACATCCAACCTCCCTAATCGCCCGTCGAGCCACAATCTCAAATTCTCCTTCCAAGTGCTTCGATATGTTCATCGAGTAAACGGAAAGGAGCACATCTGGAAAAGATTTGTAAAAGGAGAATTGCGGTCGAACCGTCTCTACCTCCAACAGATCGCATGGGATAGTCGTACTCTCTGGGTTCGGCGGCAATAAATGAGACATCAAACCCGACTTCCCTCAGCATCCTTTCCAAGTCGCCTATGTAATGCGGGGAGTACTGGTAGGGGGACATGTATTGTCTGTTGTCTGACGTGTAGGGTCTCCACTTTGGGTCGTCGAAAATGGTGGCGATCACCTGAAATAAATCGCACTGCACTACGCACGTGAAGAAAAAGTCGCCGCCAGGTTTCAGCATTTGGTAGATATTCTTCAGGGCGCTCCTAAAAACGGACGGAATTAAAAAGCGAGCGGGTTCGCACTTACTGTTGCTCGCCAATGAAGTGAAGGCAATAGAAGGAGACAATGTAATCGAAATATTCGCGGAACTGCGGGGCGGGAGATACGACGTCCATTTGAAGAAACGCAATCGGCGATCTGCCATAGTGCTCGTTCGCGTAGCGTATGGCATCGGCGGACTTGTCAATCGCGACTATGCGTACTTGGTTCGGCAAAGTTGGCAGAAGAAAATCATGGGTGACGTTACCCGGTCCGCATCCCACGTCCAAAATGGTGCAATTCGTCTTCCACGTAATCAATTTTTGTATTTTCTCCATGAAGTATTTTCCATCTTTTTGTATTATTAAAACGTGCTTTACGAATCTGAGGGATGTACTTGTACTCATTTCGCGTTCTAATATTGATCTGTTCTAGGACATTGACTTTTTCAATCAGATTTTATCTCATGAACTGCGACCTTAGATACGTGTTTAATGAGAATTTACACGATCACCTTTGACATGTATATGTAAAAAATTTGCTGTGGCTAGCGCAGATACTACCAACACGATGGAATAGTCATATGGAAAAAAACGTCAAAAATTGACAGTCTTTTGTTATTTTGATACACATGCGCATGCGCGATTCTTGTCAAAAAGTGAGGATGATTTTGTTACCCCAATGCAATGCCTCCTTTACTAACGTGCGGGTGGTAAAATGTGCGTGAAAAAATCGAAAGTTCCGAAGATATGACACATCCGAAGACCTATTGCCTTACAAAATGAAATACTCGTTTATTATAAAAATACAATAGAAATATAGAGACAATCAACTTTTTTTACCGTCTGCATCCGTTGCTCTAGCTGGAAAAAGATGCAAATATGGCTCATAATCGTCCAACATGCGGGGGGACTTAAAATCCTCGCTAACGATGTCATCACCTAAAATTTCAAACGTTACAGACAACTTTGCCCACTACAAACGGCACGCACCGAAGTACTTCCTCTGCAGCTGCCGGTAAACGACTCCCAAACGTATCGGATCTGAAAGCATTCCATTCAGAGGCACCCTAACCGAACCGCTCTCGTCGACGTTTTCGAGCTTGGTGACGTCGAGCTTGCCAAGAAAATCGTACACGTCGCTCACCGCCGGACCGTCGACGGCGGGCGCCTCTCGCAGGTCCTGTTCGACGATCGCACCCGCGACGCTATCGCGATAAGGTAGACTGGTCGCGACGAAAACGCCGTCACGCACGTTGGGAAACAGGGCGAACAGCGTCGGACGGCAGTTCGCGAGATAGATGCGTTTCGCGATGGCGCACATCTTCCTTTCGGCGAGTAGGCGAAGTAGGAGTTCGAAATTTTTGGAGTTGTCGCCTTCGACGTACAAGGAGCCGTTTCCACACAAAATCGCCTGCAAGATGTTCCCTCTTATAAATTTACACATATACCGCTTCATAGTAAGCGTGAACAAAAGTATGTCTGGAGATAAGTTGCGCGTTTGAACCTTGAAGACCCTTTAGGGGTCCATGCGGCTTTAAGTCCTTACCTCTGATACATTGCGCTGCTCCGTAAAGGCAACGATCTTAAAACAGCGTGCCTCTCGCGACTTGAAATTGTCCTCCACGTCTCTAGTGAGGGGAACGAACTTTCCGTGGCGGAAAACGCCGCCGACAACGTTGTCATAGGCGACCTCGGCGTTGACGTCATTACTGAGGTGCCTGCAATGTTAGCGATGTTAAACGTGCGGCGTGCCAGAGGTCGACGTACCAAGACCACTCCCCCCTCTCCCCGCCTTCCTCTTTAATTCTCGGAGGATAAGTGGCCCGTAGGAATCGTTTAGTCTTCGTCGGTATCGCGAGCTCGGTGCCCACGGTTAGAGGAACCAGCCAGTTTTGCAACGGAACCGGATTTCGGTAATTGTAAAACAACTGCTCGCCCAAATCCAAGTCGCAGACGACGGAATACGGGGTACCCTCGACTATTTCTTTAACGATAGCCAAGCTTGGAGTCTCTTCGTCGACGAACTCCACCTTTTTCGACCATTGCTGTACGTCGTCGAACGACGAGAGGTGCGTGGGAACCTTCACTTTCGGCCCGAGAACGTACAGGAAACAGTTCGCCAAACTGTTCAGTACAAAAGTGATTTGATTGCGTTTAAAATCGGTGGGCGCGTGAGAAAAATCGGAGATGAGCAACAGCTGTATGGCCAACACTCCCTTGGGGTCGATCGTTTTTAGCGATTCGATGGCGAGCGCCAAGGCAACGATCCAGTCACCCTCGCCCACTTTAACATCTGCAAAATGAGTGTTTGAACTAAACCTTCAGCTAAGAATTGAATTCTGAGCAAAAAATTGAATCCAAAAATCTAGAAAGAATTGAAAATTTTGAAGAATTTGCTGTCTGAAGAAAGAACAATGGATCAATTTCGAGAGCCGGAAAAATTAGAAAATGAGGAACAATGCAGAGAGAAACAAACACCAAAGGATCTTGAATGATTTTGAAAAATCTTCAAAAAATTTGATGCCTACGAAGCATAAAACAACTGATGAATTTCAAAAAAATTTCTGAATAAGCCGAATGATAAAGCTCACCTTCGATATACTGCAGTATGAGCTTCGGGTCGTACTCGACTAGCGCGGTCGCCTCCAACAGATGAGTAGCCTTCTGAAATTTGGGATTTTCGACGTTCGTCTCCGCAGTATTCAGCAGAATCAGCTTCGTCCAGTCTTTGCTCCCCGAAAACCACTTGGTCGAACAGATATTCATCAAGCACTTATTCGCCTCCTCTTGAAACTCCTTCTCGCAATTAACATCGAAGATTATTACGGACACTTGCTTTTTTACCGCCGGAGGCATTTTTGTTATTAAAAAAATCGCCGCCAAATACAAACTTAACCTCACTTAAGTCGATGTGGCTGTGTTACAGCTAAAGGTACTAAAGGCGCACTGCACAAGGGCTTTCCAAAAATATGTACCTACCAAAACTGCACTGTTCACAAATACCTGGGGTTTCACGATTTCATGTTCGTGGCTTATTTGTGCTGATCCCTTAGTTCGTCTAGTAATCGCAGTTGGTCAATTTAGGGTCAGTGTTCCATAATTACACCGGTCACATTTTAAGGCTTTGGTAAAGCAACGTGTTGCCTGAAATTTGTCACATGATCACAGTGAGGATACTTAAAATTGTGAGAGGTGCTGCGTTTGATCTGATATTTCTTGCGGTTCACCTTGATGTTACGACCGTAATTACACTTGTCACATTTAAAGTTTTGCTGAACGCTCCATGTTGCGTGAGATACTAAGCTGCTCCTGAAATTTGTGGGCTACGTGCATTGCTTACACTGGAAACTTTCCAACGTGCCTTCACTCGTTAAGTGGTTTCCTTCAAGTCGATGACCTATTGCACTTCAGCTTCTTCTTTCTTTAATGTAACACTTTCCACACAAAGATGTATCGATTTCTTCCATGTTTTAGATCATCGCAAATGACTGTAATATACCTAAATGAAGGCCTTTCACGCCCAGTCTCGTGCTCCAATTCAATTCCTATCCTAGAATCACAAAAAACGGAAATTCAACAACTCTGAAATTGTTACAATTTGGCACTCGGAGCAAGAACCTAACCTCAAATTTTTATTGTATGAAAAGTGATGTGTATGAAACTTGATACCACACAACAGTGGCGTAACTACAAACATTTTGCCGTTGACGGAGGTAACGTTCAAATATGGCCACTGGAATTGCATATACAGAAGAAATTGCTTTAAAATAAACTTTAATAGCGTATAAATTTATATATATATTCACTAAAGATATATTACAACGAAATCGTATAAAACTATGAATAACTGGGGTTAAATATGGCGGTTAAAGGTCCGTACAACAGCCTCGACCGCCACATGTAAGGGTTGCCGTAAACAGAAAACCCGGATTTACTTAAAACATCCCAAACAAAATCTCAACCAACGGTTATAATGAAAGGACAAACAATTTTCTCCATTAGAATAATTAGAGTAATTAGATAAATTATAAAGTAATTTTTGAAAATATAAAAATTTCGATTTACTTACAATTACGGCGGAACGTTACGTAAATCGAGCCATTGCACGTCGTCGTCGAATCGTTCCACTCTCACTTTCTGCCTATAGTGATACTCTTTAAGGTACGACTTGAGCGATTTAGGTAGATGAAGTTGATTTATGTTGTCGTATTCAAGTTTGCTAACTACGACAGCCCTGCATAGATGTTGCAATGAGAACGTGAAGTTTCTGTGCAGCGGCCACGTGAGCATCGGCTCAAAAAACATACAACTACTGGGGTCCTTATAATGTTCGATTAAACCACAAACCGTATCCGAAGTGTAGACGCCCGGATCGTGCGAGTCGAAACTGAACTTGTGATTCCACTGCTCGATTCTCGCGTGCAGAGACCGACCGTATTTCCTAAACGAGACACTAAATAAGAATTCCTCTTGAGCCGAATCGCGAAGCAGAAATGTGCCTTCCGGTTTGCCATCGAGAAGACGTTCGGCTTCGTACCGATCCATCTTTCCTGAAAGACAAGCGATAATCGCGTGTAAGCGAGAATCGGAAACTTACCCCAGTAAAAGCTACAGTTGGTGATGTTAAGTAGATCAGGTACTAAGCAGTGAATGAAATCGACTTGCGTGTGACATCCGGTGATCGTGTCCAACGGGCAAGAACGAAGCGTGATACGATTTTGAAAGAAGGCACGGAGAGATTCCACCGTTAGGTCCGGCGGACAGACTAACTGCAAACGGCGCGGGGCCTGCCCGCCCTCCGTTTCTATGTCCGAGTATAGGAGCTGTACTCGACGCAACGGTCGAAAGTTCGCCGGCGGATCGACGCCCTGCTCGATTTCGCGCGCGCGCTGTATGCGCGCCGCTTCATCACAGTCTTCGTGTATGGACCTTATCCTGAAATAGCCACCATTTGTTACTGTTTTCCGTTTGTCAATTTTTTTTCGATGGGTTGTGAGAAAAAAAGTAAAAGCAAAATTGATTCGGCTCAAAAAATCACCAATATATTGATAGTCAATTTTTCTTTTTGTTTATTTTTGTTAGAGGAACCTACCATAAAAATTTTTATTCAATTGTTCCACATATAAGAGAGTTTACTATTGCGCATGCGCAGTACGACTTTTAGCACACCAATTTTTGTTTGCTTTTATTAGAGGGACTGATCATAAAAAGACTTTGTGTTGCTAGAATTTGCTAGTAAGATAGTACTAAAGAAGTAACAATTTTTTCAACGCTTGGCTTCGGCGACTGCGCCGCCTCGCCTCGCACTGTTCATTCTACAGCATTTTTGAAAAAAATAAACGCTTTTTCATATTTTTCCGCAAAAATCCGTTTTACCTCCACAATGCGTTGCAGGAGAAAACCCCTCGCGCGATTTTCATCATTTTTGCATACCTTCCTCATCGCAAGGTACCTTTTTCAAAACTCTCTACTCTAAATTAACCTCACAATTAATTAAAACATTTACGACGCGATCGGCAACCTTCGTGCGTGACGTCACTCAAGAAACAATTCGAATCGCGCACGTGACATGTCCATGAACCTAGCAGAGCAAGGTCAGCAGAACACAATCAAACATATTGCATAATTAGGTGTTCATTAATTAATTAAGAAAACGAAAAGTGAACTAACTATATTTAGGTGCTAATTAGGTGCTAATTAAGTGCCCTATTCCCGAATTAAATGCTCCTTTTTTTTAAATTATTATATATTTTAGCAGGTTCATAATTTAAAAAAAAAGAGCATTTAATTCGGGAACAGGGCACTTAATTAGTACCTAATTAGCACCTAATAATAGTTAGTTCACTTTTCATTTTCTTGGGTTTTAAAGGTAGTGTTCTGCTGAGTTCATATGAACCTGGCAGAACATGTACTAATTTAAAAAAAAAAGGAGTATTTCATTCGGGAATAGGGCACTTAATTAGTACCACTTAATTAGCACCTAATTATGCAATATGTTTGACTGTGTTCTGCTGATCTTGCTCTGCTAGGTTAATGGACATGCACATGACTTTTGTCGACCTCCTTTTGCCGTCCTCCAAGTTACCGCCGCGTTCTAAACGAAAAAAGAAAAGAAAAACTTGGCCGCGGGTACGTACGGCGATTCCGCTCCCCAATCACATCGCCCGGCCGCGCTATTCAAAAACGCGCGCATTTTCCCTGACAGTTGAGCAACAACAAATGAACATCTGACATTTTGGCATATATGACAGCTGACATTTGACAGTTCAGCGACCTTTGAACTGTGACAGTTCAGCGACCTTTGAACTGTGACAGTTCAGCGACCTTTGAACTGTGACAGTTCAGCGACCTTTGAACTGTGATAGCTCAGCCAAGAGCAAGTACTCACCAATGAATATCAACAAATGGTGCACTAAGTATAATATTTCCGCTGCTATTGCTGTAAACCCCTCGGTTTAAAGCTTCGTTCACCTCCTCCGGTTGCGGTTCGACCACAGCCGGCGCAGGTGCGGGTGCGACGACGTTGCTAATCGGCGGGGGGGAGGCGGCGGCACCTTCCTCGTCTATCACCTGCACGGGCGACGCGGCCGCGTGATGCTCGCTCGTCCGCCTATAACAGGTGCACTGACAACACGCCGGCGTCTCGTTCCCCTTCGACTCCTTCTTCGAGCAGTTCAACTTCATGACCCACTTCGACGATTTCTTTCCGCCGGGGGGCGCGCTGAGCGGCGAGCTCTTCTTCGACCGTTTCCCGGTCAGATTCAGCGACCGTCCGCGTCTCAGGTTCAGGCCGAACGACGTAAAGCTTATTTTCGATTTGCGCTCTTTGGGCGCGAGCTCGTTGTGATCTAGCGGCGTACTCTTCGATTTCTCGTCTTCGCAGGTGCACTTATCGTTTGATGAACTGCAGGCTCCGACATCCATCTCACCTCCTAATTTAACTTGTTGATTTCCTTTGTTACCATCGCACGAAATCTGCAAGTCAAAATATGTTAGCTCGAAGACAGGAAACGAATCTCTCACTAAACAGGGTGTTCCTAAATATGATGTAAATATGGAAGGGGCTTATTTTATTACAAAAAATTGCAAACGCTTCGTTATCAATCTACAGGGTGGGTGTTATTTAGTTCGACTACACTTTGCAATTTAAAGATACAATTTTCAATGCCAACTGTCAAAAATAATAAAAACAAAAGATTATCCCAATAAAACCAGGGCCTACCGGAGCACTTTAAAAGTTTTAACTAATAATAATAATAATAAGGTCTTTATTAGATGACGATCTAAAGGGCGAAGTTCACCTAGGGGCAACATCGCCACCAACTAGAACATGCAAAGACTCGACTAAAAGACTAATAAACCACCTCGCCCGACTAACACTGTACATGGTTCCATTCCGCTATCCCCGACCTATCCTTAACGAAATAGTATCGGGAAGTTATCGGTTTGTAACAGGAAATCGAGGTTTTCGCGAGGCTCATTCATGCGGCGGTTTTCAGCGGAGAGCCCCCACTGCAACAGGTCAATGAAGGGACACGTGCGATTAGTCTTAATCGAGATGTTTGTTACCTTTAAACGAATTGGAGAGCGAGTAAACAAAATAATTAGCTTAAAAAAACCATTACGTCACCTTTACTTTTAGACGAATGATCCGATTCCGTCGCACGACGTCAATCACTCGATTTCGCAAATTTCGACGAAACGCGCTGATACGGCACTACTTTTAAACGAAATTCGCGAGGAATGTCCCGAAAATGTGCTTTTTAACAATAAATAATTCGCACAGCTGATGACTACGAAGTGAAGGCGCAGTTCTGCCAACGTTGGAAAACAGACTGTGACAGACAGAATAAACATAAAAAGAACTGAATGAGCGCGGCGCGCGCAATTTTAAACTTTACGCGTGTTGTGCGTAAGGCGCCGATTTGTTTATCTCGGCCATGATAAAGAGGTGTGAATTCATTCATAAATATTTATCGAAATTTATATTCGCGTGGCGATTTGTGCTGATAAAAGCTATTTTTAAGCGCTCCTGTTTACAAAGTATAAAATCGAGGACGGGATATGAAAATAATGCGTTTTGCGATATGAAACTTTCTTTGATAATTTGAAACTACAAATTTAAGTCTTGAATTGGGGGTGTGGGGGAGGTATTGTAGCCAAATGACTTGAACTAGAATGTTTTCCATAGTCTGTACAGACACAAAAAGCATTTACAAACTCTGAAAACCCCCGGTTGTGTTCCAATTTGGAAGGGGCGTTTACCTTGAAAACTACCCTGGCAGTATAGATTACGGTACGCCAAGGGCTCATATCCAGCCCTATTGGGTATATATTGTACGTACAGTTTCGGCCCTTAGAGCCTTTTATGGAAAACCTTTCTAAAAAATAATCAAGCTGCAAATATGTTGGGAACGCGACATAGCACCTGGGGGTCTGTGTAGTAGGACATGCCCCCAAGAATGGAAATTTGATTCCTCCTTCCCCAAAGCAACTGTTAAAGGTAATTTTTGAGAAAAGGTAATTGATTCTACGTGTGCTATACCTCCCAGACCCACTAGATTTTCCATTTCCCCAAAGCTACATAAAGGTTTTAAGGACTAAACCCATTTGGGTGAGAACTTTACTTTAGCATCAGGGAGTCAATACCCCCCCAGCATACACCGATTTGATTACTTTTGAATACCCCTCTATCCCTCACCCTCTCACAGTAGTCTTCGGAAAAAGTCATCGCTGCGCATATTTCCCCCCCCCCCCCAACGGCGGTAGGTACTACGTTTTTTTTGGGTGCGTATAGTACCGGGGGGCTTGGAATACCCCCCAGCGTACGAGGATTTGATTACTTCTTTCTAAAGACTCCAGAGCAGTCTTCGGAAAAAAGTAATCGATTCTCCATATAAGCGCTGGGGGGTATTTCATACCCCCCCGCCACAGAACTACGTTTTTCTTCAAAAACTACATGAAGGTTTTAAGGATTAAACGATTTGGGTGATAACTTAGTGCCGGGAGCGGTCGCTTGGTGCTCGAGCGTTTCAGCGCTGGAGCGCTTTTTTTCTGCCCACTATGAGCGTTTTTTTTCCGCTCGCAAGCTCTTTTTCCGCTCTTGAGCATTTTTTCCGCTCGAGCACTTTTAAGAGTGCTCGGAACTCGCAAGCGGTTTCGCTTTGAAAAACAAATTCTGAGGAAGGGCGAAGGGTACAGGATGTGACTCATGTCTGGTGCAATAAAGTCCTTTTGTTAAAAGCAAGATGGAAAATTACATGGCCTTGTAGGCAAATTTAACTAAAAACAAGATGTGGAAATTATTGAATCGCCAATCATTTATCGCACATAGATTCTAAACTGAAGTGCTTTGATTAGCGTAATCCCGCTCCTGCAAGATGGGTAGCCCGCCCCTGGTTCCGAGCCTGCGGTTGGATGTCGAAGACAATCACGGAATTAGGTGTCATTCTTCAATGTTGACTACAGTTTTTTTACCACCCCCGTGACTGCTTCATTCACGGAGAAAATTGTTAGTAACAAACAACAAGTCAGTACATACCGCAAACGAATCGGTAATTTCCGCATATTAAAATAAAATGATTAAGACTTACATGAATGTTACTTAAGAGACAAGACCAAGTAATCAACATCAATAAACATAAATTAAGCAAACATTACACCAAAAACGTAAACAATTACAAACAATAGCATAACGGTATCACACATGCTAAACCAAGTAAATTTCAAAAACAAAGATTGAAACACACAAAAAATATAAAATGCGGCACACAAAACACAAATACGATATAAAGAAATGCAAAAATTACAACCTGCATTAAATAACAACAAACATATTTATGGAGCGACGCGTTCCCGACTGCCATTCAAGACAAGATAAGAATTTAAACGTAACCCACATTCGTGCTTTCTAGATGGCGCTGGCAGTTTTTCCCCCACCTAAAAATTGCATGGTTGCCAACTCTTAAAAATGTATGTCTCGTCGAAAGTTGTATATACAGGGTGAAACACTCTTTATGGGATTTTTTTCTAGGCAATTTTCCTTCTCTGAAATACACGAGAGTTCTAAGAGCTGAAGATTTTGGAAAAGGTACCATCAGACGCGGGGGTCGGCTGGGGGAACACTCCCCCAGTAATGCAATACTCAAACAATTTTACTATTAAACCAAAGGCCAGGGCTAATAATTCAATAAAACTTCGGACGGTAAATAATAATTTGAGTTTAATACAACTCTGAAGCGTTTAAGGGGTGAGGCGCTTCGGATCACGAGGAAACATTGCAGTCTTTCGAATATTGTCAAGTCCTAAGTAGAGCATCACGACTCGTTCCAAACCAATTCCGCCGCCCGCATGCGGCGAGCAACCGTATTTGAAGGAGTCGATGTAGGCGGCAATTTTACTAACATCTGCAAACGTTGCATTTCTCATAATTATTGTAAGTCGATGTCTACCTACCGATTCCGTGATGTTTCGCCCTTTCGGTCAACAGCTGGGGGTCGTGGACACGTTGCGCCCCGGACATCACCTCTTCGCCTCGCATGAACATGTCGTACGAGTTGGACAGTAGGGAGTTCTCCGGATCGGGCATGGTATAGAACGGTCGCACGGCCAACGGGTACTTGTCGAGTATGTAAAAATCAGTGTCGTACTTTGCCTTCACCAGACGGCCGAGCAGCTTCTCGGCGGGAGTGCTCAGATCGTCCTCGGGACCAATTTCGACGCCGGCCTCGGCCAGAAGGGCGCGCCCCTCGTTGTACCTCAAAACCAGGGGCGGATCTAGGAAGGTGAACGGCTCGACCGAAAACTGATTTCCGACCGCGGCAATTTCCACCGCGTACTCGTCGCGAAGCCCCTTGAAAATCGCATTGAACATGTCCCCTATCGTGAGCATCACCTCGTGGTAGTGATAGTGAAACGCCATCTCCAAATCGAGTCCGGTGAACTCGGTCAAGTGGCGATGGGTGTTGGAATCTTCCGCACGAAAGACCGCGCCCACCGTGAACACTTTATCGAAGTCGGCGGCGATCGCCATTTGTTTATACAGCTGGGGACTTTGAGCCAAGTAGGCGGAGCCTAAAACAAAATACGGCTTGAACATTCGATAGCGCCGGCGTCGACACCTACCCTTGAAGTAGCTCACTTCGAACACGTTCGCGCCACCCTCCGACGCGGCCGATATAATTTTCGGCGTGTGAATCTCCACGAAACCCCTCACGGTGAGCGTGTCGCGAAACAGCCGACACACGCCCGCCTCCAGTCGAAAAATCGCCTGGTTCGCCGGCGTGCGCAAATCCAAAATGCGATTATCGAGGCGAGTGTCCTGGTTGACGCGTATCCTCAGACTTTCCGCATCCTAAAACAAGAGGGGTCAGTGCAGCTATCGCGCGACAAATGCAAAAATTACGTCGGACTTCTCGGGTCGGCTCGCGTCCTCGATCTGCAGGGGAAGCTGCGACGCAGCAACCGAGACGACCCAGACTTGCGAGACGAGCAGCTCGATTTCGCCCTGAGTACAGCCGGCTACGCCTTTCTTGCCGAGGTCCACCACCGAACCCTCTAGATCGACGATGCTCTCCTTCGAAATACTGCAAAGAAATCGATTTGATACGTTTAGGATCTTAAAAGTCGGAGTACCTACTTGCTGCAGAATTTAACCATCGCCTTAGAAATAGTCTCGGAAACGTTGACGAGTGCCTGGACGGTAAACTCACGTTGTCGCAGTACCATAAAGCATTGCTTGCCACGAGCACGCACCGTATGCAGCCGGGCACGGATCCAGACATCCTTTCCGGCAAGATTCCTATTTAACGAGCGAACGTCAGTGAAGCTACGACTGGGCGACAGAGACCCGGACTGTATTAGGCCCAGGTTTCCGTACTTTCCCACGGAGACGTCCTCCTCCGGGGACGCATTGTCGACCGTCTCCTGCACTTTACGTTCGCTTTTCCTTGCCTCCTTTTCGGCCTTGCGCGCCTCCTTCTTCGCCCCCTTTTTGCTGTCGCCCTTCTCCGACACTTCCGCCGGCTTAGTTTCTACCATTATCGTGTGAGTTTTTGGAAAAAGAAATCCCTGTTAAAATTGCATCAGGGCACTTGACGGAATAACCTTTGAATCTTGATTGTGACATAACCCAACTTTTTTCAAAAGCGACATCTACTATTATATACAAAGTGTTTCGGCAATTTATCACATCCAGCAGTTAGGAGTGGGGGAGAAAAATTCATTAAACTTGATGACGTACAAAGCTTCGCAATTGATTTGAAAAGCTATGGGAATGCGATGTAGAGGTATAAAGCGCCTACAAAACTCTGGGGAGCCTTTAACTATTAAATAAGTAAGAAAGGGCTTCCTGAACCTTTTACTTGGTTCCCTTCCACAAAGCGCTGAAATGATCTAAAAAAAGGAAGCAATGAAAACGGTTGCAGAAGAAAAAAGATCTAAAGGCTACTTCCATTATTTAGAACGCCTTTAAAACAGCGACTTGATTTCACAAAACCTTCAGTACTTTCCGCATATTCCTTACTTATAAGGCGTAAAATAATACTTATGTAAGTCTGATATGACCCGAAGTCATGGAAAGTGCCTGGAAAGCTCTCAGAAACTTAGTATGCTTTGGAAAATCGCCCTGACTCTGCAAAACTTCCATAGCAATGGAACAGTGAGGTTAGGTTTCTCAGAATCTGTTTTCCGCAGACTCTAAACTTAAACTTATAGAGCTTCCTACAATTTTTCAGAGCCCAGGCGAGATTACAACGCTCTGGATTCCGGCGTATCAGGACAAATTGGTGGACTATACGTCTTTTTCTATCACCAAGAGTATTTTTAATTCTTTCTTTCGCTTCAAGTGTTACCAACCTTGTATCAGGACTATATAAAACCTAAGGAGGTATTCCTGCTCCAAATACATGGCGTGGTCAGTGGAGGAGGAGGTCTTCTTCCATCACAATGTTTTACCTTGGCTTAAAATCCAGTATCACAACATATATTGAGCTGCGAGGTGTCAAATAACTGGAAAAGAAAAGGAAATCGATTCCCCCAGGTGCTCGGGGGTATTCCAAACACTTCAGACCTCCCAATGGTACGACGCAAGCCAATTCTAATTTTTACGGGTATCAAATTCGATTGTTTGGTAATTTTTAAGGTGTCAAATTACTGAAACTGAAACAAAAAATGATCTATTCTGTAATTGTAGGTAATAAAATTACTAGGTTAATAGTTAGAACTCCCGTTCGAAAGTTTGGTCCACATATTTTATTATATTTAACATACCTCAGTGCTTTCTTGAGCTTTATTCCCCCAAAACTCTGTGTATTTGTAAAAAAAAAGGCTACACGCTGAATAATGCCTACTTAAAATACTATTAAACTATTATTCCTCTAGTGTTATGGTAAAAATATCACTGATTATAACGGCCGGTTTGCGGATGGTAAGCGACCCCCCTTCGCTATCGTAGCTAACGCTCAACTTTTGAACTCCCAGCTCTGAAAACGTCATGAAATAATAGAGGGCGCGACGGACGCGGCTTACCTTTGCTCTCCAACTTGGCGCGCTTGACGCCGGCGGGCGGGCCCAGTATCACGACGCGTTCGATCCACGCGCTCGTCTGGTAGCTGGCGTCCGGGTCGACGAAGCTAAAGAGAGATTGGCGCGTGAGTTGCGAGGGGGCGGCGCTTAATTCTCACCTGTTACTCAACACGCCGTCCTTGTAGTTGAACTGCAGGTACAGATATTTCTTCTTTCTGTACTCGTAGCTTTCGTTGTCGTCGATGTAGAGGCGGCCTTGTGCTGAATTCTGCAATGAATTTACCTGGTTGAGGTTATGGACGAAACAGGAGGGGATTACGAGTATCAAAGCGGGCATACGTACGTTATGGTCGAGAGCGACGTAGAGTGTGAATGGATCGTCGTGCGTCAGCGTGGAGGCGCGACGAGGTCGGTCTTTTCGTGGGATTATGCTGCCTCCCTTGTAATAAACGGGCGATTTGTCTAAACTGACGGGTATGGTTACGCTTCCGCTTCCTTGGAACGGCTTAAAATCTTCAATGTCGTACCAGCGCTCTTGAGCGCCCCCTGGGAAGTACACGGTGGCGGATGACGCGCCAGATTCCGTAACAGGTCGTGCCATTATAGAAGAGCCCACCAACAGCTGGTTGTCGATATCGAAAACGTTGCCATCGGTCGGATAGTGGTAGACTAGTGGACGAATGACCGGCTCACCGGTAACTTCGTGCTCGTGGAACAGTGTGTACCAAACCGGTAAGTGGGCGTATCGCTGCCACATCGCCGTTCTGATGCGATTCTGAACGTCGGTACTGTACAAGTAGGGCTCCCGACGTTTCGTCTCGATATGCGAGTGCATTCGAAAGAACGGCAACCAAACTCCGGTCTGCGAAAGTGGAAGTTAAAACGCGTCGGCGCACCGAAACGCATACCTGGAACCAACGTTGCAACAGCTCCTCGTCGGGATTCTTAAAGAATCCGCCCACGTCCGCGCCGCAGAAGCTCATTCCGCCCAGAGCCTCGGTAAGGCACATCGGTATGCTGTACATTAGGTGCGACCATTCCGCCGCATTGTCGCCGGTCCATACCGCGGCGTATCGCTGAGAGCCGGCGAAATGGCCTCTCGTCAAGATGAACGGTCTCAACTTGTTACCCGAACGCTTCAGGAGGCCGTCGAAGGTTGCCATTGTCTATACAAGTTGGTTAAAGATCTTAGCATTGCCGTGAATGCGCGGACGCAGTTTAAACAAGGCGAAAAACGTTTCGGAAACGAAAAGGTTGATTATGCGCATGCGCATCCGATTATTATCAAGTTATTTTGGTTGCATAAAATTAGGCGCCCTTCAGAAGAGATTTTGTCATTTAAAAGTAGACTGGGAAAAAACAATACACGTAAATCCCTATGTCTAAAGTCACTAGATATAGAAAGTACCGCAATCATCCGCCATTTTTGGGCAAATTTGCTGCCAACTTAAAACAATTGACACATAAAATCTGAATAGCTGCCATTTTTTATAACCTAACTTCATAGTACTGTCATGTTTTATAAAAATATATACAGATATCTCCAAACAGGTGGAACAATCCCTAACATTAAAGTTACTAGAATCTGGTAACTTCCGCCATTTTTGGGCAAAAATCATGCGTTCTCTCTCTAACACACGAGCCCAATGGATTGCGGTACTTTCTATATTTAGTGACTTTACCTATGTCTACTCCTTAATAAATATCACTGTATACAGTGCATACCGATGCGGCGGGTCCAGTGCGTTATATTTGCATATCCCACTGTACAAATATATCAAACGTCCGTCCCGTCCCAATTTCCGCGTCGATTTGAGTGGACCTTTAATCTATTTAGTTCATTCGCGTTCTATATCAACATGTCACCATCACAAGAAGGAAAAGGTTGAGGAAAATCGCCACAGAAACAAAAAAATTGATTCTACGCATGCGCATCCGATCAAATGTGTCTATGAACATGCGCAAACTCACTTTCCTAACAGCGTTCCATGAATGCGCAATGAACCTCCCTTAAACGCGCCCTGTACGGTTTTAACTACACAAAAAGCGTTTTAAGAATAGGCCGCAAAGGCGCATGCGCCGTTTCGGTATGCGCATGCGCAACGGGAACTGAACCCCTAACCCTTAAAAAAGATACATACATGGTACAGCCCGTAAAGGTTATGGACGTGTCTGTGCTCCCAGTCCCCGTAATGGATACAATCCTTCGGCATCGTTATTTCGGGACCGTTAAAGACGGACGGCTCGTTCATGTCGTTCCATAGGTAGGCGTCCTTCGTGGTCCCGACGAATTTGTCGAAGGCGTACAGGCCGGCGTAGTACTCCCTCACCTTCGGATCGAAGAAGTCCAAGTAGCTGCTGGAGCCGGGCCAACACCAACCCTCGTACACGTTCCCGTCCTTATTCTTCACGTAGTAGTTGTTCGCCAACGCGTCCTCGTGCAGGAAGTATCCGCCCTCTCGTTTAATGTGGGGGTCGATGATGACGACGAGCTTGCGGCCGGTCGCCGTCAGGTTTTGTAGCATCGTTTCCGGATTTTTAAACTTGATCGCGTCCCAAGTGAAGTACTTTTTGCCGTCCGTGTATTCGATATCCAGCCACATGACGTCGACGGGGAAATTGTGCTCGTCGAGCTTCTGAACGACCATTCGAACGTCATCCTCGTCGTTGTAGTTCCAGCGCGACTGGTGGTAGCCCAAGCTGAAGTACTGAGGTAAAGGCGCGGTTCCCGTGATCTTCGCGTATTGCTGCGCGACGTTGCGCATCGTCGGTCCCAAGAATACGAACAGGTCGACAACGCCGCTTTCGCTCATGAAGTGCGTGTCGATGTGCACGTCCTGTTTTTGACCGGAGACCAGACTGACGATCGAGGAGACCACGTTTCCGTCTTTGCTGTTGGTGACGTCGACCCACATTTCGGCCGCATTCTGCCAGAAAACTCCGACCGTGTGCTGGGCGCTGAACAATCGCAATCAGACGCGGCGAAAGACACCGGCGACTTACCTATGGGCGTATAACATCGGTATGGCGCCGTAAATCGCCATCGTCGAATCCAACTCGTACTCGAATACATCGAGATTGTACAGCCGATATGGTTCTTGACCGCCGGATGTCGTCGTTCGCAAGGCCAGACGATCGGCATGTTCGGGCAGACCGTACGCGCGCTGTGCCTCGGGGAATGTAATGTCAAGACCGATCGCCTCCGGTCCGCGAGGCTTGGAGTCGTGGAAAGATTTGAAGTTCTCTGACCAGGCACCCGGATCAATCGATTCCTATACAATTCGAGTCTCATTCGACTGGAAATATGTGGAGATGGAACTTACCTTGGGTGCTTCATCACCTAAATCAGCCGCTGCACCTTCCCTATAAAAGACAATAAAATAATCCCCAAAAAGTAGAAGACCTATGTTCGTTCTGGACCAGGAAGTGACGTCACACCAATCAGAGGCGAGCAAGTCTTTCCCATCGGCCAATGGGGATACGGTAGGCGGAGTCTTTATGGCCCGCCCCCTGTGACGTCGCAGCGGTGTGATCCGCCATTTTGTTAGGCGCCATCTTCCATCGGTCGCCATTTTATTAGCCTCTAATTCCGCCATTTTGCTGGACCCCATCTTGGATCGATCTCCATTTTATTAGTCACTAAAGCTGTCAATTTGGATCGGTCGTCATTTTGTTAGTCACTAAATCAGCCATTTTGAACCATCTGCCTGTCTGGCCCCACCCGCCATCTTGGCTGTTATTTTGAACCCGTGTCATCGGTCACGTGATTATTATAGAATTTTTTTTATTTACGTTGGGAATCAAACTCACGGTACCTGAAATAGAAAGCTAGCGCGTAACCAAATGAGCTACGCAGACTTTGAGAGATTTTATAGTTAGAGGTTGAAGTCAATCAAAAAATAGGCGCCGTGACATGTATGGAACCCCAAGTCTAACCTATACTTCAATCACCGAGACATGCAAGGGGGCCCTACCACCTATGTCATGCTCTATTCTAACCTGTAAATATATTTCGAGGTCTTATTAACCTCGCCCTGATCCCCCCAATCCGTTTTGATTGAAAGCGGACTGCATAGGGGATCAGGTTTGACGGTTTTATAGATCGTGCTTTTTGGATTATTGATGTAAGTAGCCTAATAAAATGGCAGCCGACCCAAGATGGCGGATCTAGTGACTAATAAAATTGCGACCGATTCAAGATGGCGGAATTAGAGACTAATAAAATGGCGACCGATTCAAGATAGCGGCCAACAATTCCAATAATTAAACCAATTTTAAAAAATCACAGAAATCCCAAGAAAACCAAAAATTTAATGAAATTAAATAATTCCTAAAGCAACAATTGAAAATTTAAATAATAAAATATAAAAAATTGGAAACATTTTGGAAATATTTTAAGAGGACATTTAATTTTGGGCCTTGTGGAGTGTGTGGTTCACGAAAGAAACATGATCTTTTGACCACCCAATTTTTTAAATACTTTTTTGTACTCTTTGTACTTTGAGCTGTACTCAAAAAAGTGTATTGTATTGTATTAACGTTTAAAGACCCTTTCAAAAGTCGTATAATTCACAAAAACAAACTTACTCAGCAGGCTTGGCACGCAGATGCTCAAAGTTGAACAGACCACGTCCGTTAAACACGGTCACCAATTTGCCTCCGCTGTAAAACTCGATCTTAAACGGCAGCGCCTTAATAACGACCTTGTTATCGCCCGAACGAATGCTAATCTCCTCGTTGGTCCGCTGCAGGAGTTCGAGCCGGGCGACCTGCGGCTCGCCGTTCAGCACGCCCTCGACCTGATAGCGCGGATGCAGCGGTTTGATTTCGTCGACGAAGACGCGAAACGTGCTGTCGGCGAGGGCGGTTATCGCGAACTTGAGCGAGACGTCCGCCTCCTTGTCGACGAGTTCCGATTCGATCGCGTTGTCCGAGATCTGCAGGCTACTGAGGTTGAGCTCGTACTTGGTGTCGCTCGGTTTGGTAGCGCGTAGGCGCCTGCAGAAGCTGCTCTGCTCGCATGTCTTGAAGTTGTTGCGGTCTACGGCGAATCCGCAGGCGATTAGCGTTGAGAGTATCAGCAACCTGGAAGTTGAGGTTAGGTGAGCCGGCTAATGAGGTGGATTATTAAAAGAAATACTAACAGTCCCCCTTAAAGCATGCGGGACTCATTAATTAACAAATATACTTGGCATAATAAAGAAATATATTGTTTAAAATTTACCTACCGTACTGACGTATCCATTTGAAGCTCTAGTAACTAACTGACTGAGGTTCAGGTTGGCAACACCTTCTACCGGTAGCTGGCAACGGGTTTATAGGGGAAAGGTAATTTGGAATTGGTAACGTGCGCGCATTTTTGAATTTCAATTTTGATAAGAATTATCTATTTTTACAGGTACAGGGACCAATAATCGGAAGAAACGTGTACAATTCGATGATCGCGTGATTATTGATTGAATGAACGATTATACGCATCACCAGATGTACACGTAATCTGATGTTAGGCAACACACATAACACAAAAACAATTATCGATAACCGCCAGGGCCGTACTTGACACGACGACCCTTTCTCTCCGGTACCCACCTCAAATGGTGTGGCGGTAATATAATCAAATTCAGTCTTTTAGGATTCGACGATTCCTTTCCAAAAATTATATTGTATTACTGAACACAATTTTCTATAGATACATCACACCAGTTAATTTTTATGGCGATGTTCTTTTTCTTAAAAAACGACGTTGCCACGTCTTACCTTTATACATGACAAAATATTATGCAAGCTGCAGATTACTTTTTAACAGAAAGCGTTAGGGAGACGTTGCAAGTAGCGTGATGAAGACGGAAACGTAAAGCAAGTGTACAGAAAATCGAATGAGAGCTTGATGTGTCCATGAAGAAGGCGTGATGGAGTTTTGACAGTAACGGGAGGTGGGGGGGAGAGTGCAGAGGCGCTAAGAATTGGCTTCCATCTCTGTGCAAGACGGACGTCTGGATCGCCTGAGAATCTAGTAGGGGTCAGGTGACCCCTCCCTTAGCCCTTTTGCATATACAGACCAGAACCGAGAACCATGTACAATTGGGGAAACACGCCGTGAGCATTGGACATGGTTTTCGTCGCCGCTCTGTGATTGAGGATGGGGGAAAATGTTGTAGACCATAAAAATTAAAGATGCTTATCCAAAATAAAATAATTTTAGATAACAAGTGCACGTTAGAACTATTTACCTACACCCACTATCTATAGATATATCATAAAATGTAAATTAACTTCATTCCTCAACTTCTTGTATTGCGGGCATCTCCTCCGATTCACTTCCTGCACTAAGGAGCAGCACCTTAAACTTTTCCACGTTCTTCTGAACCGCACGGTTGTTGGTATCCTGCGAAAAATTTCGCATGCGATTTTTAGCGATTTCGACCGACTCACCTCCAAGATGTCTTCGCAAATGTTGGCGAGTCCGTCGACAAGGTCCCGATCGGCCCTCATTTCTAACAGGAGCAGTACTTTGGATAGCACGACGTTAATACCTTGATCGGGCTTGTCGGCAATTTCCGTGCAGATTTTCACGGCTAAATTGCAATGCAAATTTTGATTCTAAAAGGTGATTAGGTTAACGCCCCATGTGGAACCGGGGTAGCTCACCTCTTCGCATATCGAGCAAAGCGACAGCATAAATTTGACGATCGAGTAGAGATTCACGTCGGCCAGAGGGCTGGATTTCGGCGCCTTGTATAGCGTTTTAACGGTCGGCAGTACGCAATTCTCCAGTAGGTCTGACGCGCCGGTCAGCGTCGGAAGCTCCTCGAGCATGATGCCGATTATGTGTCGCGACTGTTCAGAGTCGTCTGTAAGTAAGCGATTTGAGAGATTGCAAGTCATTATTATTATTATTACTGCAGGCGGGGTTGCACCACTTCAGTATCATGCGGCTGATGAGGGGGGGCGAGTGTATACGACCGCGCCTGATCAAATTGCAAAGGGCCGCGGTCGCGCACTCTTGCAGTTCGACGTTCTCGTCGTTCATCAGATCGACGAGGCTCTGGATGATGGCCGTCGTCGAAATTTTCGGCAGATCCTCGTCCTCGTTTTGCTCCACGATCGACTCGCCGTGCAATACGAACAAATCCGACACGGACTTTATCGCGATTATTAACGAGTGAACGTCGTTGGTCGGCGATAACGAATTTGCTAGAATCTGCAAGGGGGGAAGTGTTAACGAAGGCTCGAATGCGCCTGATACGCACGCAAGAGGTGAAGATAAGAATGCCCTTCTCGGCCCATTTGCGGTCCATCAGGCAGCAGAGAGCGTAGCACTCCAAAGATCTCTGCCGCACGGTCAGGTCGTCGTGCGCCAAAAAATCGGAGGTGATGTCCTCGTTTAGCGTTCGCAGGGTCGGATTTAAGCATGTTACGTCTCGCGAGAGCAGTAACGCTCTGGCGATGTTTAAGCACTTGATTATGCTCGGAATGTCGGTGGTCTTCGTGACGGGTGGCGGAATCGATTCCTCAAATTTCGCTTTGGACGCGTCGATTTCCTGCTTAAGTTTGGCGGCGGTGTCGTAGTCCTCCTCTTGCACGGCCAGCCTCAATTGTTCTTCCATGGTGTGTATGCGAATCTTCATTGTGGCCATCTATGGGAAATTAGTTGAGATAAATCTGAAGAGAGCGCTTTGGGGAGAGTTACTTCAAACTCGTATTGGGGAGTTCTCGCGTCTTCGACGGCCGGATACAGAATGTCCGAGATCGTCTCGCTAACGCGCTCGATCCTTTCGTCCAAGTTCGGAATCGTCGTCCTCAAATTACCCACCATCGTCACGACGACGTCGGGAAACAGATCGAAACTGCGAGCGGTGTCCAAAACCAATTTCGTCAGCGCGTGCCGACTCACGGTGTCCGATATATCGTAGCCTCGCGCGATTATGAAAAACTCGTTTAGAACAAACTGTGATTCAGGAAAGCCGCTCATCACACTTCCGATATATCTAAAAGCTATCGCTTAACAACAGTGATAATTATGATTGGCAGGGGGAAAGGGGGGTTACCAAAGAATTGTTACACAATTAAGTGCATAATTCTAGAACATAATAAAAATAGCTCCCAAAAGAAAGATAACATTGCGCACATTAATTGTCATCATTTTTCTTGAATCTTAAAAACTGTAGGGGTAGTTAAGGTCTTAGGAGTGTCTAACAACATGAGTTGGAAAATGCGCTAAAAATGTACATAAGAAAGCTTCTGAGAGGTAGGCAACACACAATACTGACAACGCCCCCTTCAAAAAAAGCGCCGCAAGCAAGCAATTTCTGCTATAGCAGCGCCATCAACGTTAAAATAAAACATGAACACCTACTCCCGAATGAACGAGGCGAAATGCACAGGTTCCGGTAGGATACTGTCCAGAAGATTCTCGCAGCACTCCACATTTCGAAAGTGCTCGATAAGGATCCGCCAATAAACCACTAACACCCAATTTAAGGTGTTCACCGATAGCAGTCGGTTGTCGCCGATGTGAAGGACCTCCAATAGCTCTTCGTACGGGCGTACTCTGAAAGCCGACCGTTACCAAATTGATCACCAATGATCCAACTTACCTGAACAACGCCTTTAAAACCAGCTCAATCACACGAGTCGATTCGACAATATGCTTCTCGATGAAATCCATCCACAAAGCGCGCAGTAGGTTCAAGTAATCGTTATCGTACTCATTCAGCCACTCGACTACGAACTGGTTGCTGACGTAGTTCACCACGTCCTTGGAATGGTCTAAAAAGCCGTTAATGAGAACAGTGTGTCGATCCGATATCTAAAAGTTGCAAAATTAGATCATGCCCGGAACGAAACGGGCCCACCTTCAGTATCTTAACCAGTTTCGATAGCCGTTTAAACGCGGCAAGCCGCACGTCGCCGTGTACGTCTCGGGTCCGTGACACCAGCGCGGCGACCACCTCTCGTCTGACGTGCACCTTCTCGATGCAAACCTTTCTGACCTGAAATTCAACCGACCTGCTTAACAAACTCGGTACAGAAAGGGAAAGGTTATCCCAAGCCCTTTTACGAACCTTAAAACTTGGATCATTGCACATGTGAAGTGTCAGCACCGGAATCACTTCACAGTGGACGTCCTCGACGTTCTGCAAACGATAAACGCCTAAAACTGCCTCACATCGGATCTGCGATTTGCTGTCGAACTACAACCAAAAACCCTTCCATCTCGGGCACAAATACACCCGCAATCCTCACCTGCACCCGTTCGAGCATCGCCTCCTCGATCTCCCTACAGAGGACTTCGGTCAGCTCGTTCCCTTTAAGACCGTCGAGCAGTTTGCCGACAAGCTGACACACTCGAAATCGAACGACGTCCGAATGCAAATCGTGCAGCTAAAAAAAAACGGCGAAGTGACGACGAATTTGCTTAACGACACTTACGCTTAATAAAAAGTTTAAAACGCTTTCGAAAAATGACCCCTCGCTGGTCTCCTGCGTCGACGCACAGAACGAGGTAATAAACTCGATGGCACGTTCCGCGAAAATGTTTTTGTCCTTCGGATTTGCGTTTAAAACTACCCCCAGCAGCCTCTCGAAGCAAAGATAAAACTCGTCGAGATCGGACTGAAAAGGGAAAGGTTGAGCTGGAGTTTCGAGCCGGAGAATTTCTTACCACTTTGAGGACGTTAAGCAGGAGCGTTCGGCACTTTTGGTGGGTGGAAGTGCTGTTTTGGGCCTTTTCTAAAATTAATACAATTTCTTTAAATAAATTTTCGTTCATTTTGAGGTTAGTTTATTTGGTGGATTAACGGTCATTTTTCAAATTCAAAATTGGTGGCTACATAGCCGCCTCCGTTGCACAGAAATATACACAGTGCTCCAATGTACCGATAGTAATAATTGTTCAACTGATTGAAGATTTCCAAAGGCTCGACTGCTTTCCCGGGTTTTCCATTTCTTTTTCTGTAGAAGCTTATATAGGTGTGGAAAAAACCAGAAAACTCTGGTCATAATAAAAGTATATCAACAGCTTACGTTCACTTATATTTATGTACTCTCCATTCACTCAACTCCCCTCTTTTTCTAGTTTCCTTCGACAGATGATCTTTTTCACGCTTCCATCAAATCCTCATTTTTCTTTTCCCATTTTCAGGTCATTATTCCGAATATTACAATTACACTCCTTCCTCTCGCCCTTCCTGCACCTTATTTCTCCTTCACCCCTTTTTGAAACTAGTCTTTCAAATTTTTAAGCTATAATTTTTCAGTTACAAGGATTGCCAGAAGCTTTAGAAATGTTTGGAAAGGTGCTGAGAAAGTTACAGAATTTGTAAGACTGAAAATCTGTTGGTGCTGAAAATGCCACAGAAAGAAAATGGCACTATAAAATGGTACCTACTTAACTAGTAGAACTTTTGTGGCTTTATTGGCCTACGACAACAATCACACTTAAATCATTAACACTTACAAATCTAAATAAAGTTACTCTTGAAAGGATTAACAATCATAAATGAGTCTCACTTTATAAGTTAACCTATAACCTAAAAAAATACTGTTACAGTAAATTTAAGAACAATTCAACAATCCAAAATCAGTCAAAATATAGTATTGCTGCTGTATAAATAACACAATTGAATGGGGATGGGATACTTTCGGTCACTTCTGACATAAAAAGCGCTATCTAAAAGAGCTATGTTGCAATTCGTTTCTTAAACGAAAAATAATACTAAAATGCGACCATTCGCACAAAACCATGTGTAAACATCTTATAGTTGCTCATCGTCTAGTATTCTATCCTCAACGGTCATATACATTCCCTCCTCTTCGTATGTCGAATCATGTTTCGCCAAGATTCTAAGGAGCGGGCGCAGTTTTAACCACCACTGCTCCTTTGGGATCCTATGTCTGAAAGGCGACAAGAGTAAGCGATCGAGGCGACACCGGGCGGCACTTACTCAAAGTTAGTTTGCGGAACCAGCTCGGTTAAAGGTGTGAGCCGATACTGACGCCTAACGATTCCGAGCAAAACGGCGCTATCGTCCGACGTACAGCTAATTTTGCCGTTCTCCGCCACGTTGTCCTTCAGGATGTTAACCATCCATTCGACGCTTTTCGCCGCCATTTTCGTACCCATGTTTCGATCGAACGGCGTCGGCGAACCTCCCTGCTGCATGTGACCTAACCCAACAAATACACGAGTCGAGCGCCACCGAGGGGGGGGGGCTGGGGCTACGCACCTAAAACGTTCATCCTGGCGCTGAACAGTCCCTTCCCCTCCTCCGAGTAGAGGCGGTAGATAAATTCGGTGTTGTAATTCTCGCAGGCCTTCTCGTTGCGCAGTATGAGGCCGCGCTGAACGCCGTCGGACATTTTCGACGCCATGTGGTAGACGTCCTGCTGCAGGTCCTTGATGGAGAACTTCTCCTCAAAGATGTAGGCCGCGTCGGCGCCGCCGGCCAGTCCTGAACAAAGCGCGTGAGTAAAACGCCGGCGATACGTTTCTTTTTTGACACTTCTAACTGCTGATAGATGTCGTCGTCTCGAATGTTTACAAGGACATCTATCAGTCAAACGTACAACTAAAATTAACGAAACGAGAAAGAAAAGTGACAAAAATAAACGCATCAACTAATCGTGTGTGACATACCGGCGAGAGTCGCCAAGTACCCGCAGAATCCGCCCATGGTTTCGATGATGAAAACGCGCCGCTTCGTGCCTTGAGCCGACTGCCTGATACGATCGCATATTTCCGTGATCTCGTTCAGGGCCGTATCGCAGCCCAGGGAGAACTCGGTGCCGGGCACGTTGTTGCTAATCGTGCTCGGAATGACCACGATCGGGATCTGGAAGGCCGGGTACTTGGGGCGTTCGTGCACCATTTGAATAGCCGCCTGGAACGCCTACGAGCAAAACTGCAATCTTCGGCGACAGGTCGCGCTAAGTGATTACCTCAAACCCGCCGATAATGAGAAGCCCCTGAATACCAAACTCGGTCAGCTTTTTCGCGACCTGATCGATTCGCGTCCCGGGCAAAGTGCGCTTCGTGCCCAGAAACGCTCCGCCGGCTCCCACCCAACCGGTGACGTCAGACCAACCTGCAAGTCGGCGTGATTAAGACGGCCGTGAGCCGAGAGAGATAGCGCACCCATAGGTTTAACATTGCCGTTAATTAGTCCTTCAACACCGTCGTGAATTCCCAACACCATGTCCCCCCGATAGATGGCGTTACGTACGAAGGAACGCACGGCGGCGTTCATTCCACAAGCGGGCGCGCCGATGTGCATTACGGCGAGAACGTAACCCTCCTGCGAACATCCACGAAGTTACGCGAGTGTAGGCGAAAGTTAAAAAGCACTAAATATAGACCGATACTCACCGAGCACCAAAGCGAGTCTTGCTATTGGGAGTGGAAAAATGTTACAATTATTAGTACACTACGGGTAAAGCAGGTTTTACCTTGTGCAGGTCATTCTGTGGGCATTGGAAATAAATTAAGGCTGTTAGTTTGCGTTTTATAAATGAAGTCGATTCAGCACAAGGAAGTGTGGTTTAAATTTATTGTTTATTTAGTTGCACAGACAACCCTCATAAAAGATAGATCTGACAACACCGCCTCACAGGGACTACAACATTATAAGGCCACCCAGGAGACTAGGTCAAATACCCCCCCCCCTCAGGGAAAAAACAGCAATGGGGGGGGGGGTAGGGGATATGGAAACGCTTTAGATACACTTCAGCTAAAATGATCTCTTACATCTCATGTGCGCTATCGTATCAAATAAGCGCTTAAAAGAGCTATACCAACCTTTAAATCGCCAGAGTCGTTAAACGAAGACTTGGGGGGCTTCAGCCTCGTCAATAGTTTGTAGGTTTCCAAGTTTCGCTTGAAGGATTTCCCCCTGAGCTCGACGGCGTCCTCCCACTGCTTATCGGCCATTGCCTGCGCGCGCATACGATTAAACTTCAACTACGAATAGGGCGCGCCTTCGATTACCTTAGCGACCGCCTGCGTGCGTTTCACACAGTCCATCAGCGGAAGCCGTATCGCCTGATTGCCGTCGAGAGAAATCACGCACGGTTCCGTATTCTCGTCGGCTTCCATTAGGGCCATGACAGCTTCGGCGCCCATGCGACATCCCTAGCGGCGTTATTGCAAGGCCGGCGATTATTCGATTGAACTTACCAGGATTCGGTCGAAGGCGGAGGGGCTGCCTCCGCGCTGCACGTGTCCGAGGACCGTGATGCGAGTGTCCTGTTGCAGATTGTCCTCGATCACCTTCTTCACCTGCCCGGCGGTGATCGGCTCGCCGTGACGGTCGATCGCGCCTTCCGCTACGATTATGATGTTTAGACGTTGGCCGGCCATCCGCTCCTATTCGCAATAAAGCCTACAGTACAATTTAAGGCGACGCCTAGACGAGTAAAAAGCGAGAGCAAGCTGTTAATTTAAAAAAACTTGATGTTAAAAAGGTAAACTCGCCGCTTTGCACAGCCGTATAATTAACCTGCCTTCACCATTTATAAGTAAATTTAAGTACCTGATACAGCTTGGTACATAGTTTCTCTTGCCAATTAAGAGGAGCGGGATCCTCTGGTATGAAGACGTAGTCAGCTTCGCTAGCAAGTGCCGCCACCAAAGCTAAGTAACTGGAACATTTTCTCTTTCCGAAATCCATACAATTTCAACATAATCTACTGGCTGTTTGCATGTATACGAAAGCGTAGAACGGACAAAGTGACCTATAAATTCTATAAAATAAAAACGGCGGGCGCGAGCCTTAAGGCGAATATTCTTATACGAAACTTTTTGCGCATGCGTTCACCTGATGTTTACAATATGCGATATGCTTGTCTTTACTAGAAGCATTTGTGGTTAAAATTTCAAAAAAAATCTCTATAAATAACAAAGTTTACATTGCGCATGCGCACATTAATCTTCATAATTTGTTCGAGGGCTATCTGGAAAACTGTAGTAGTTAAGGCCTCAGACGGACGGACAGAGAAAGCGGCCATAATAGCGCCTTCCAACACCAGTTGGAAAATGCGCTAAAAAAGGCATCAGAGATTGTTGAGGCATTTGTTTTATTTGAAAAAAAAAAAATCAGTTTTGATTGTTTCTACCACTTAATTGGAAGCGCCCTCTAACGGCGAACTTAACGCAAAAAAAAGAATCTCGGTTTCCAAGGCCACCTCTTACTTTCACTTTCACATGCACTACGTATCATTAGCTACACGGTTTACAATTTGCAATCTAATTCCAACACTCTCGAGTCCTGGAATTAGCAGCCTTTGTCCAATCGACGCTTTCGCCTTTGAAATACGGCAGCACAAACGTTGTAAGTGTAAGCGTAAAAAGTGAGGTTAAAAGATTAGAGTTTTAGTTGAGGGAGGATCGGCAATTAAGTTTGCGCACGCACACAGGCTAACCTGGTCCAACTTTTTACACAGCCGCGTCTCCCAATTCTCGGGAGGGGGCGATTCGGGGCAAAATACGAAATCGGCCTCCGTCGTCAACGCAGACACCACCGATAAATACCTAAATCGAATAAACAACGCAGCCAGTAGATAATTAGTAGAGAGACGGACGTAGCAGCGTCAGTTTCTTATCTTACCCGCAATGGCGTCCCATCACTTCCATGATGAACGTGCGCTGGTGGGAGTAGGCAGTCGAAATTATGGCGTCCGTCGCTTCAATGATCCTAAAAACAATTGGCTTAGCTTACAATTTCACCTTGTAATAAGTGAACAAGGTCTTAAACAAGTTCTATCCTTTTCTATTAAACAAAAAATGAAAATTAAAATCATAAAAACATGTTTATTTTAAATTTTGAAGATCGAGTAGTGTTAAAAAATTCTGACCTTTGCAGAATATGGGCAGTTACGTTCTCTGAAAAAATTGAACCTTTAGCACTTCAAGTTTAATAAATAAAGTCAACATAGCAACAAAAAAAACAAGTTTATTATTAATTTTTAAGATGGGGTTGTCTTAAAAATCCTGCAAAAATTCTCAATTTGATAGAATATAAGCATTTCCATCCTCTAAAAAATTGAGCCATAGACGGTTCAACTTTAAAAAATAAAGGCAACATAGCAACAAGTTTATTTTTAATTTTCAAAGTCGAGCAGTGTTAAAAAACTTGAAAAAAATTCCGAACTTGTAGAATATGTAGAATTAAAAATAAACAAGTTGTAAATCGGCATATGCATGATTAAAGCGCATTTTTGGTAATACAGGTCAGTATTTTATTAGCGAAGTTTAAAATTATCGATCTCACGAGTAATTTTGGCTGCGTTAAATAATTAATTTTATTTAATTTCAATTGACGGTACGTCTTCATTTTGTAAAACAAATCGCAAAGTAAATAATAAGTTTTTATACTGGTAACGCTATCTAACGGTAAAATTATAGTACCTCCGAAACCCATATCGAAATTATTTTCTTCAATTATCGATCTTACAAGTAATCTAACTCAAAATAGACTAGTGCCTGCACATCTACACTATAGCAGAAAGCTTTTAGTGAAAATTTGAATTCTCTAGCTATTGTAGTTGTGGAGATCTAACGCGGACAGCCCGCCTGCCAGCAATGACGAATATAATAGCGTATTTTTTTCAAAAATGCGCTAAAAATTCGATTATTTTTTAATTTTAAAAATGGAAGTGTTTCAACAATTCTGGAAATCCGATTTTTTGATTCTTCAAATGATTATTATTACCATTTTAATTGAATTATTCGCTACTAGGATAAGTGCAGTGGAATAAAAAACATCAAGAGACCTTTCTCATCTTTCAAGGTCAAATTTGCACTGCCAAGGCCTACTTACCGGTGCAAAGCGCTATCCGTTCCAATTGTCATATCCGTACCACAAAAATCATTATCAATTGACCCGACCAGTCCGGCTATATTGAGAATCTTGTACTTATTTCTCTGCTCGGCGGTAATTTCCCCTAAAAAAATCCCGTCAATTTATCCCCTTCTCTGGACTCACAACCTACCATTTTTGAGCAACTCATCGAGTAGGGACCCCCATTCCTGCCTGAACAGATTAGCCCCGGTAAGACTACCGTCGCCGCCGATTACGACCAAATTGGTAATTCCTCGACCGATGAGGTTCTTGGCGGCCTTCAACCGGCCCGCTCGTTCCCTACAAGTACGCTTTGAGTAAAGCAAACGCGACATAAAAACTCACCTGAAATCCTTACATCGAGCCGATCCGATGGTGGTACCGCCCAAGTGTATGATACTACTGACCGACGACCAGACCGCCTCGACAATGTTAGCGCCGCCGTCCACCATGCCTTTCGAACAACAAATCAGTCACGAGGACGACGAGCCCGTTTAAATTTTACCTTGGTATCCCTCCTTTATAAAGTACACTTTGCAGCCCAAGTAAATGGACATTCGTACGACCGCACGAACGGCGGCATTCATGCCCTACGAAGGAAAACAGAGTTTAAGACGCCGAGGGGGAGGGGGGGGGTCGAGCCGCCAAACCTGTGAGTCTCCGCCGCTCGTGAAGACCGCAATTCCCTTTCCTTTATGCGCGCCCCTTTCGATAAACTTGTGGGTAACCCTTTCTGCCATTATTTCTCTGGAGTTAACAGCTGAAAAATGACGACCTTTTTTAGTGGGACATAAAATACGCTTCACTTACCGCTCGCTATAAATAAATAATTAAAAGGTTGTTTATTTAATCGCCCGCTGATTTCGAAACGTTTACGAGCAGGGACGTGAAGGTGACCTTTGAAGCTTTTGAATTGAAAGGTGGTTGGGACGTATTAGTTCGAGAGCCACCGGTAGATGGCGGCGGAAGCGGCGCAAATTAAATTGGGGTAATTATCACGCGCTATTCGGCAATATCGTCGTGGATAAACTGTTGATTTACTCCTGTTCGATACTGGCCTTCGGCGTGGTCGTTGAAAGGGGGACATGTGAACATTTTGCGCGACTTAACGTGTCCTCGATGCAGGGGCGTCGTTGAGAGGGTGGCCAAAAGAGGCTGTGCCTCGTCGATATGTGGCTTTTGAAAAACAAACGAACTATATTAACCATACAGCATAAATGCAGGCATGCTGTCATTAAATGATGAAGACACTAACACTTTAATGGGCCGTAACCTATGCAATTCCACCTGGCCCGTAAGTACTAAGTACCCAGTCCGCCCCTGAACTACCCGTGGTATCTACCTTCATGCTGGTTACAACTTCAGACATGAAACAGCTAAACTGTCAAGTTTGAGGTTATCTTCGATGGAACTGCAAGATTTAATGCAATCATTATCCTTAAGCGGTTGCGATCAATCCCAATCGAAAACGTTTAACGTAACCGCTCTCGACATCGGTGAAAATCACACGGACATCGTCTACGGAGAGTTTACCAACAAGCATATGATCATAGCGACACAATACGGCAATATCGGAAGTCTACTACGAATTACGGTCGACGACGCTCTAACCGGCGATACAACGACCCCTGTCTACTCGGTCCACGTCATTTTCGGCAGCGACAACGAAGACCAACAGGCGGCCGCCCGTTTCATCGCCGAAAGTCTCAACATTCGCAAGCCTCTAATGCTATTCCTGTGCCTGAAGGATTACGAAAGTTCCACCGTGAATACGCTGGTGCGCGCGCTTTCCGAATACAAACAGTAAGGATGTCGTTAGCAAAACGGGTCCGCGTCACGCAGTCCTACTTCGGACAATTAATTATCGGCCCGCCCGGTTCCGGTAAAACGACATACTGTGCCCGGGCGAGGGAGTTTTATAGTGATAAGTTAAATCGTAAGTGTGACGTGATCAATCTCGATCCGGCAAACGAAAATATGGGCTACAAACCGGCGATCGACATTATGGAGCTTGTGTCGGTCGTGGACGTCATGCGAGATTTAAGTTTGGGCCCCAATGGCGCATTGATGTACTGCATGGAGTATTTGGAAGAAAATTACGACTGGCTTCTGGTAAAATTACGTGCGCTTAAAGACAGTTACCTAATCTTCGACATGCCAGGCCAGGTCGAGCTGTACACGCATCACTGTGCGATTAAGACAGTCTTCGGTAAGCTGCAAGAGATCGGTTATCATCTTTGTGTCGTGCACGTAGTCGACTCGCACTACTGCTCCGATCCGACCAAGTTTATCTCAACGTTGCTGTTGTCGCTGTCGACGATGCTACAAATAGGGTTACCTCACGTTAACGTGTTAAGTAAAGCGGATCTTCTAAGGAGGCATTCGGAAAGTCTCGATTTCGGCTTGGATTTTTACACGGACGTGCTGAACTTGGAGTACCTGCTCGAGCTGTTGGACGAGGGGCCCTTCTCGTCCAAGTTTAAGAAGCTTAATGCGGCAATCGTAGGTCTGATTGAGGATTACAGTCTGGTTGGGTTTATTCCGATGGACGTTCGATCCAAACGCAGCCTACTCGCCGTGAAAGACGCAGTGGACAAAGCCAACGGATATGTTTACGGTAGCGGAGAGGAACGCAGCATACAGGCTTTGCTGTCGTGTGCGGTAGGTGCGCGTACCGAAGATGAAAGATTAGATACTGATTTTATGTAATTTATTCGAGAAAATACACTAATTCGCCTTCGGCTTTTGTTTTTCTAACTGGGCCCTACAATGAAAACATGCGTCAGTTGCCTCCTTCACCAAACTCGACCTTACCGAAGCTGCTTGTTGAAGTCATCTTCGATGTTATCGTCCTCCCAATTGTCCTCCCAGACGCTTATATCTTGCTCATCCTTGTCTTTTCCGGTCCAGTCTGCAGAAAGTAAAACTCGAATACAAAAGGCAATTGGAAAACTACAAACCAAACCTTCTACGGGAAATTCTTCAAATTCGTCGTCTTCCTCCAATAAACCAAGATCGAGTTTCGGTTTTTCACTCATTTTTCAGTTTTCCTTTGACAAAGAATTGCAATGTGCAAAATTGAAAAATTTGCTTAATAATGGCTGTCCAGTGCTGCCAACACAACGAACAGTTACTTTAGTGAGAAATGCCAACTGTTATATACAGTGTGTATTTGAAGTTTGAACCCAATGATACCGGTGTATACACTAACTCAATGAAAATTAGGAACAAGGTACAAAAAAGCAAATGTACATACGGTCCTTTAGGGTTTGTTTTATAAGTATTTGAACGTCCACAAGAACCTTTAAAACCCGTAACACTCTTTGATAGTGTGAATCCTAAAATCATCAAATATTTTAGAGATTTTCAAGGATTAAGAAACATTCTTAACTGCCCCTAAAAGCTCTTGGGCTTTTGGAAACACATTTGGGAGTTCTTAAAGGTTTTTCACCTTGTCTTTCGCCAAGACTTTTTTTGACACTGTCAATACTTTAGTACCCGTCCTCGTTTAATTCTCGAGTCTCTCTCAGTTACAATTCCCAATGTAAACTCGGCTTTATTCTCCGTAATGTCTGGGGGCTTTTGAATTTGCGGTTGGCATCCGCCCTCTCCAATCTCCATGGTCCTGATGCTTGTTTAAATTTTATAAAATACTCAAAAAAGTAATTTTTGAATCAGCCTCGCCAAATTTGCAAAAAATGTCCGATCCGTCTACAAAGGACTCGACGACGACGAAAACGCCTATGGTTTACATTTGCGGAGGTAAGCAATTCATTTTGCGAAAAGTAGGGTTACGACCTTGTTGTTGCCACGGTTTCCAGAGTGTCACAGCGAGAACGAGATACGTCCGAGGGATCCAATACGATGCCGAGAGTGCGGCTATCGCATAATGTACAAGAAACGTACCAAGCGATGTATCCTTTTTACCTTTGCATTTAAGCATCATGCAGTCTAAGTAATCTTTTGCTCGGGTCGAAGGTAGTAGAGCCTTCTCCCCATTAAATTGTGCCCTAGTTCCTTAACCGAATACAGTAATAGTCTTCGATGCACGATGAGACCTTTCCAACTGGATCCGGATCTGTAAAGTGTACTTATTTATGTTTTTATTAATTAAAAAATCCCATTTTGTAAGTCCTAGAAAAGTGAAAGTGCTGTATCGATTTTACACCTAGTAGTGCCGTAATGGCCAAGTTTCAAGGTCAATGCGCACAAGGCGAACGCTACGGCTTTAAAGCTGCCCTCAAGGCCGTTCAATCGATCAATAAGGCTGTACGCATAATTCGTGCCGCCATTTCGGGATAGCGCCGCTCAAGTTTAGTGTGTCACGCACATTTCGCCTTTTTTGGGGAATAATTTCCGTTCAGCAGCCCTTCCGAAGGGGGGGGGGGGGACTTTCTCTCGTCCAACGCAGGGTTTCCGTGTTTGTTTATTGCACTGACGTCGCGACCTTGCCCGTTCTAATTTGTAATTTGGCGCGAAAACAATTGCTTTCAGGATCGATGCCATCCTAAAATTCCAATGTTTAAGGTGAGACAGTCCAGCTAGAAAAGACGCTTGGATGTTGGGGGTGAGTGATTTACCTTATCATTCCTCTTGTAAAAAGACCCCTCTATCCCCGTTCAAATTACAGAAACAGGTGCACGATTTGCACCTGGAACTAAACGCGATTCCTCGTAAAGCGCATGCGTTGCGCATTTGAAAATCGTTTAATTTGCAAAAAGGAAGAATTTTTATAAATAAATAGCCACAGGTGGGTATCCTGGTCATACGCAGAGACGAACTGCTTTGCACTAGAGCAGTAAGTTCTCAAGGATAAAAAACAACAGAGACGTCTTTGGATTTTTCCGATTTCATTGTCAAACTCCGTAAAGGCTTAAAGGTGAAAAACACTTAAAACTCCTACAAATTCGCAAGAACTTATAAAAAATTCCCAAAGGTATTAAACCCTTTAAAGAGTAAGACTCTAAAGGTCCTTAAAAACTCAAAGATTAATAAATACTCACAGTTTCAACGCTCGCAAAGACAGACGAAGTTTCTGGAATTTCTCAAAGGACTTTTTGAGGGCTTTTGAAGCCTCTACTTGTACTATTCAACTATTTTATGCGTATGCAGGGCTTTAGAAACTTCTCGAACAGAGACCCTGAAGAACCGACAAGATTTGAACGATTTTAAAAGTCACTGAAATGGTCTTGAATACTTTAAACTCTTACGGACCCATTAAGGTCAGTGTCGAGCTCCTAAGGGATCCCAAAAACTCTGGGGGACCTCCAAAAGCTCTTGCAAATATTTCGATTTGGATCTTAAGCTTTTCAAAACTACTCTTAAAGATTATTACAAGCGATTAAAGCCTCTTGAATAGTCTCCAAAGTTCTTAAAGTCCCTAAAGGCTACAAATAAACCGTGAAGACTATAGGAGATTAAGTATTTGGTAACTTATGAAGTCCCTTTCCTTTTACTACTCAACCCTCTCAGGCGCACTTAAAAACCGTTGCAGTCTCAAACTCAAAGAGCCTTTAAAAGTTGTAGAGGCAACAACATGAGCGTTTGTGAGCCTTTCAGTGTAGGTACTCAAGGTTCGTGTAGAGTTTTATAAAGCATTGCTTAGAGGCAACAGACTGAAAAAGTCTAACAGTTGGTCAGCTGTCTAAAGATTTCTAAGTGGCTTTAAGGATTTTTAAGAGTTGCATATGAATCGTACACTGCCCTGAAAGTGGCGCCGAAATTTAAAAACCGACGCACGCCCCTTGAAGGATTGGATTCAGGTTTAGCTTTAGACGCGAGTCAGGTGTACGCAGCATTAAAGCTGATAAAGAACAGCTGCGCATGCGTAGAGCAAGTCCGAGCTAAAATCTAGACATCTAGGTATCCAAAACAAGTGCTGTCGCAACAAAGATTGTTCGAAATTAAAAGTGAACAGTTTCTGTGTTATGGTGAAAGGTGCAACGAAGGGCGTGACCGATTGTCATCAATGTGCATTATGCTGTTTACGTTGTCAATCATCAAATAAACCTAATCGCCAAGGTGAGTGATGCGAAGTGTGTGTGTGTATCTTGTTTGTATCAAACCCGGCGTAGCCTTGAATTTTGTTATTTATTTTTTCCTCCCGTTCCGCCGTGACTGCGGTCTAGGCATTTCGTCTCCCGTGAAAAAACCAGCTGGCCATCTTTTTTTTTCGTTTTTCGTTCAAAAGGGGAGCGGGAGAAAGTTACATGTTATGATTCACTGACATTGAATTCACCCCGCTTCGCGCCGGGGGGGCACGGGGCGCACTTTTGGCCTACCCTAATCTTAACCACCCACGAGGGCTGTGCGGTACGATTTTTTTTTCGGTTGTTTCGGAAATGTGCAACGAAAGCGACACGTTCGCGATTGTGATGCAATTAGCGCGCTGATAACAATCGCGACGGCGGCGACGTATTTTGTTTTAAACTGCGACGGCTTTAATTAATTCGCCCCCCTCGAAATGTATGGGGTAAGTGGAAATTGCATTTCGGCGCGAATTTTACGAAACATCCACAGAAAAGGGGATAATTTGCTGTTTATGATAAGTGGCACATACGTCATCGTGACGTCCTGATTGTAGCGCAGGTAGCACAAAGGGCACACTTTTTATTGGTTGCGGGACATAAAATTGAAAAAAAAATCACGTAGGCGAATTCTGCAAGCACGCGCATTTTTAAATTGACAGCCCAACGGGGAGGTCATGGTCGTAATTGCGATTAACTAATTAATTAGGAATTAGGATGGTCAATGTAATTATGATCCTTTTCACGGAATTTCGATTGGTATTTCTAAGTGTTCTTAATTCTTAATTTGAAAATTCTCACATAAACGCATTGCGTAATTGTCTATATACAGAGTGTAACAGGCAACTGCAAAAAAATTGGATGGTAGTGGGCAGTAAAGAAAAGAAATTTTTCCAAAATGTATTATTTAGCGATTTAGATTTGTTATTTTCATGTTGAAAAACCTCCCATATAATTTGTTACTCCCCTAAAGAGGGGGATTTTTGAAATATGTTTACATTATAAAGAGCGTACCCAAAAACCTGGATAAAAGTCGCAAGTTCCATCCTTATAGTTCCTATGGTTCCCGAGTTAAAGAAGAAACTTAAATTTGTCGAACAAAATTTTCGTTTTGGTCCCCTCGCCACCCCATTTTTGTAAGATACTTTGTTTTTACACCCTGTATTTAAAAAATGTCACTTTTAATCGTTGTGTCGTTTGAAACTGACAGCAATAGAGTCGAAGGCGAGTTCGGCATGAGTAGGGGTATCCTATACTGCATTCATTATAAGAAGGTAGTATGTAGATGGCGCTGTGTTTGAAGATAAGCACACAGGAAAAATATAAAACGGCCCCAAATTATTGTAACGTAGAAATACTGACTCGTTATTTAACCAATCACAGTGAAAGTCAAAGTTTCCGTATGCTTTCTACCGCTACCTTCTTTTAAAATGAATACAGTATACTATGCGATCAAAAATGAGTTGCTGTCGAGTTACCTTTGGAATTTTTGTTTACATTGAAAATCATATTTAATTTGAACTTCCAAAGGTGACTCGACAATTTGATCTCCCGTTAGTCTTCTGCTCGCTAGGCGCTTTCGAGGTTATTATAGGCAGATCTATTTTAATTCATTTAAACCGAAAAAGCGTAAGCGTCTGATAGGGCGAATATATTTGTGCCGAATTCGCTGGGTCTCTCGGCACTAGTTTTGGAACTACCACTATTGCATGATAGTTTAATGGCAGCTCTATTATTAAGCGAGTTCGGCACAAACTGAAGCGGAGCAAAGTTCCATAGTGCGAGTCTATTTGTGCTGAGCGAGCCGAATTTGGGTCCATCACTGTTGCTTGAAAGTTTCAATGCTTTCAGAAACCGAAGCAGAGTTAAGAGTCTCTCGTTCGCAACTACTTTTGGTTCAAATGACAGCTCTATTTTAATGCCGAGCGAGCCGAAGCCAAATTTGGCACAAATCGAAGCAGAGTAAGGGTCCAATTGAGCGAGTGTAGTTTTCGAACTATGATTTTTGCTTGAAAGTCTCATAAAAGCTATATTTTAATTAACCAATGCAGAGTTTACTTATTCCAAACTCGAACCAGTTGCTGTTGTCGAGACAAGCTTAATGAGTTTATGCCGAACTCGCCTTTTGCGGGTTTGCGTATCGAAAGAATTTGCGTGCAGCGCGCAACAAAAGACGTTTTGACTTCCAAATTAAGCCTAAATTTTGAATGAATAAGAGAGAGTAACGAGTGGTTTTTATTCTTTAGGGTAGGATGTCGGCCGATACCGAACTGACGAGCATGCAGACTGGGATACAGCAATTACTACCCGACATTGCGACTCTCAGTTTACTGCATAGACCCCAAGGATTAAACCCGCACCATCCCCATCATCCGAATATGCAACCGCAAACGGGTAAGTGTTCGAGCAATCGGGGACGTACGTCGCCAATAATATGTTACCGCGATTGGAACAGACGAAGTCGATAGGGCGCGTGCGCACTTCGTCCACGACGTACTGGATTTACGTGTACATTTTCCAGAAATCTGATTCATCTCAATCCGAAGCAGCAAATTTCACCCACAGGTTTTCATTAGACGAACGTTACCTAGCATTAATCGCCTCTACTCGTTCCCAATTGCGAACGTAACTGTAAATGCGCGAAGTTTCCTTGTTTCGGTCAGTAAAGCGCCAGACAAGGACGGTAAATGATCGTAGGGCGTGAGGTAGTAAAAATGCGTGACGTCACGGCAGTTCAGTGCAAATGAGCAAATGTCCGCCTGCCTTTGTAACTTAAACAGACACTTTTCTGGTTTGTGGTGTGTTTTGTGTGTTTGTGCGACGATATTTTAAGTTCGAAAATGTATCCCGGACCAGGAGGCCGTAAGTTTCCAATCGTCCACCTACCCTTTCGCGCTTTTCGCGACGCGTTTACCGAAAACGAGGCCTTCACCCCCATTCGGGCGAATTTCGCGACCGAGGAGGCCTCGCGGAAGACCTAACCTTTCATTTGCGCGTTTTTTTCAATTTTAAGGTCAAACCGAGGAGGTATTTAAATGCCCCCGAGTGGTCGCCGTCGAAGTTGAGCTATCTCGATTTGATTTCCGCCAAAAATCGATACGGACTTAAAAGGCTGGCCTTGATTACTAAGAAAATATTCTATAATGGGATGTGGATTTTATATACAGGGTGTATTGAATGTGTTCCAAATACCCTTTAAAGAGAGGCCGCTGTATTTCGGGTTCATCGACCTTCGACCAGTCTGCTAAAAACTTTATTGATTTAATCTAACCCGCCCTCCCCCTTTCCCCAAACGTCGCGCCTTTTACGTTTTCCGAGCTTTATTTACAAATAGTTCACGTTTTTGTTATTAATTTAGTCCGATTGAAATCGACAGTTTAAGGTAGATGGCGCTGACGCCTAATTAATATTAATATGTGTGTGGGGCCCCGTTAAATAAGCGCGATAAGATTGCGTGACCCAAATTCGATTCTAAAATGAGATAGAAATCGAATTATGTAAGTAATGATAAGGGGGTATCGTGTGAAGTTAATTCGCAGACTTATCGTATCGACCTATTTTGTTTCGCACTAGCGATCCCCTTGAAAGTACCGAACATTGGCCGTATAGTGTTTTGTTATTCTGCTCCGTAAGTATGCTCTTCGTTTGATCAGCCCCAAGAAAGCTGTATAGGAAATATTCTAACTTGAATTGTAAGAGGATTCCTTGGAAGATTTGCAGAAAGGTATGGAATACCCCTCTCACTATGGTCCTTTTTCTACAATCATCCTGCATGTGTATTCACACCCCCCCTCAGAGGTACGTTCTTTCGCTTATCGCTAAGCCCTGAGTCTTCTCGTGATAAAAGAGCAACAGTCTCTCTATTTTTTCGAGTATTCAATGCTCCACCCCGGCGCCATGTTCTATGGTCAGCACCCTGTAAGAATGAAGAGCATTAGTTGTATCGGGCAAAAACAAAATCTGGGTGGGTATGGATTACCCTCCAGTAAAGGAAAATTTAATGACCTTTTCCCCACAATCACTATTATCAACGTGACACCGTTCGTATACTAATAAATAAACTCATCTTATGGCCCCCTGGTACTATTCCATACTTCCAAAGGTCCCTTCCGAAAATATACAGTGCAAGAGTAACTTGCTTTGGAGAAAAACATTGAACCGATAGGTATGGAGTACAGTAAAACAAAATACAATGGCCCTCTCCCTACAATCATTATGCTGCCAGGAGAACATGATGAATGAGGAAATCTTTCCATCATCAAGCAAGGTTTATGACTTAAATTTTTGTATCAGGAGAATATAATGTATGGGTAGGTGCTTCTGCTCCTATGATTAGAATAACTTCTTACCAGGGTAGACATTAAATCATCTCTATAGTGACAGTTTTCCAAAAATTTGACCGAGAATGTTACTATCTCAGAAGTGGGATAGCGAATTTTGCTTGCCGAATTAAAAATACTTAATTTAGTAGATTCTAGGTTTCATTAAAAGGAACGCCCTGTACATTTAGGCCCGTTTCAAAAAGGAATCATGGACTAAAAGCAGTTAGTGAAATATTTGAAATAGTAATTTTTATACAGGGTGTCCACTTTCTATGGAACTGTGTCACTGCAAGTACAACGCCTGTAATTCGTACCTGCACTGAAGAGATGAGCTATTATCAATTTTGCAATTTCTCTTTCAGAGTCATGGCAGTCCAGTCCCCCATGTCAAACTTCGAGTCCAACCACACAAACCACATTCGCAGATCCGCTATCAAGTAGGTGTTGGATCAGAAAAAAATAAATTGAACTTGTTTTTTGTTTCTTCGTTGTAAAAAGTTTGGTTCTGTTGCAGCGGGAACATCTGGTGGTGCCTTAGGTGGCACGAGCACTGCCGTCGCGTTACCGGGAGCTGCTGGCGCCACACTAACGACGGGAACGCCCCCCGACCCGCCCCACTTTCAATGTCCGCGTCGTCCAAACCTGGGTCGGGAGGGCCGTCCGATCGGCCTTAAAGCTAATCACTTTCAAATTTCCATGCCGAGAGGTTTCGTACACCACTACGATGTTACCATACAACCTGATAAGTGTCCGCGAAAGGTGAGTTATCCGTAACCCTCTACCCCCCCCCCTCCTCTCAAATTTTAATTTCGTTGTTACCCATTTTAGAATTAGGTGCCAAGAATACAGAGGGGGTTGGATAAAAAAACTTTTGATTTATATGAGGCTACATTAATATAGAACCCCCCCCCACGAACTGTTCCTAGGTGCTTCTATAGTATCTATGAGTTTTGATAGTTCTGTAAAGGCTTGGGAGCCTTTAGAGCCTCTAATTGGCTTGTTAGAACCTTTAAAAGTGTTTTAAGGGCCCTCATGAGTATTTAATCTTTATCACCCTGTAGATTTTTATGGGTTTGTAAGTGCATTTAAGGGTCGCCAACTGTTCCCAAAGGTTTTCTTAGGGCTTTCAAAGCCGTTACGATAGTCCAAAGAATCCAAGGAGGCTGCTAAGGCAACTGTTTTAAGATCTTTGTAAGAGTTCTTAAGGGTTGTAATGTTGGGGGGGGGGGCGTTCATTCAACATTAGTTTTTGTTTGCGGCGGCTTAAGCACTAGTTATGTTGTTAACGGCACCTACTTTTGAAGTGGATTACAACAAAATTAGACGGGGTGGTGGTGGGGGGGGGGTTATGGTTTTTTTTGACGCGACTAAGGCGAACCTTTCAGGTAAACAGGGAAATCATCGAAACAATGGTTCACGCGTACAGCAAAATTTTCGGCAATCTGAAGCCAGTTTTCGACGGACGCAACAACCTGTACACGAGGGACCCGCTGCCGATAGGAAACTCGAGGGAGGAGCTGGAGGTGACGCTGCCCGGCGAGGGGAAGGATCGGCTGTTTCGCGTCACGATCAAGTGGGTGGCGCAGGTGTCGCTGTACGGCCTGGAGGAGGCGCTCGAGGGCCGCACCAGGCAGATACCGTACGAGGCGATACTGGCGCTCGACGTCGTGATGAGGCATCTACCTTCGATGAGTTACACGCCGGTCGGTAGAAGTTTTTTTAGCACGCCCGAGGGATACTATCACCCTTTAGGTAAGTTTCAAAATTTGACCCACAAGCTTTCATTTCTGAAACATTTTCTGCTGCTTTGCCAATTTTCTCCACATTTCCAACATGTTTCTGACATTTGTGGATGCTTATACAGTGTGTTCTATTTTGGTTGAGACTGCAGTATATCTCAGCTGTTTTAAAGATAGAGATTTTCGTATAATACGACAAACAGAACAAATCTTGCCACTTTTGTTTCTCAGATACAGGGTGAAAACGAGAAGTTTGACTTTTTGAGATGTTATATCTTACTACCCATGTGAGATAGAAAAAAGGTAAACACTGCGTAATTCAGTGGCGTAGTCAAACAAATTTTTTACGGTTTTTAAATAGTAGGCCATGGATTTGTGGAGTTTTGTTTATTGAATGGTTCTGTTACCATTTCGAGAAAGTCATCATGATAATAGTACTGAGTCTTATATCATCGAAACTTTCTTCTTCCATCCCCCCCCCCCCCCCCAAGAGGTTAATATATACAGAGTGTTGCATTTGAAAAATACTAATCTAAAAGTCAATCTGTTCGTGTTCACCCTGTATCTCCGAAACAAACGCAGCGATATAGCTGATATACACTGCGGTCGAAATAGGACACACTGTACATAGTAGTGGATCAGTGGATTGTTTTGTGTGTGCATGCTTGAAAATTCGTAGTGACCCAGTGCTACGACAAGCGGTGCAAGTGCTTTGGGTACTGCTTGGGAAAGGGTGCTGGAAGAGTAAACTGTTGACGTCCTGCTATTAAGTACTTCTCTAAACTCGATAGGTTCAAGCTCTAACATACATTTTCTTCAATCTTCGTATTTTTTGCATGTCTAATTTTGCATGTTTGTGTGGTTTTGGTGTGTAGATTAGTATTTTGACCCCCCCCCCCTCCTTCCTGTCTCCGAATTCAAAACTCTATACAATTCTTATATTTTTACCTAATTACATGTGTCTAATTTCATTAATTAATTATTGCGTACTAATTTTTACTTTATCCTGGAAATGATTCATATAATTAATTGCAGAAGTATCGTCTCTAATTTAATTAATTTCTGGCCCTACCCCCTAATTTCTTTTAATTAAAATAATTACTACTAATTACTTCTAATTATCATATAATTAATGTGCACTAGTAGTAATTTTGACTAATCTGTTCAACTTGCACATGAATAGCTGTATTACTAATTGGCAATTAGTGTGCTTTTATGCTTAATTTTGAAACAGTGTCACTAATTTACAAATTAATTCGCAATTTGATTTCAGGCGGCGGAAGAGAAGTCTGGTTCGGTTTTCATCAGTCTGTTCGTCCTAGTCAATGGAAGATGATGCTCAATATTGACGGTGAGTGTCTCCCCTCCCCCCGGCAACCGTCACTAATTTGTCTCGAATGTTTCTTGCAGTGTCAGCAACCGCGTTTTACAAGGCGCAACCAGTCATAGAATTTATGTGCGAAGTTTTAGATATAAGAGACATTAATGAACAAAGAAAACCGCTGACGGACAGCCAAAGGGTGAAATTTACCAAGGAGATTAAGGGCTTAAAAATCGAGATAACGCACTGCGGCACGATGCGTCGAAAATACAGGGTCTGCAACGTCACGCGAAGACCGGCTCAAATGCAATCGTAAGTCGAGTCCTCTTAAGATTGACTTTGCTTGATGTGGTTCCCCTTACAGATTCCCTTTACAATTAGATAATGGACAGACTGTAGAGTGTACGGTAGCTAAGTATTTCCTGGACAAGTACAAGATGAAATTGAGGTATCCGCATTTACCTTGCCTTCAAGTCGGCCAAGAGCACAAGCACACCTACTTGCCGTTAGAGGTTTGCAACATTGTCGCCGGACAGCGGTGTATAAAGAAATTGACGGACATGCAAACCTCGACGATGATCAAGGCCACTGCTAGGTAACCCCAATTTGAAAGTGTCTGTGAAGTTAGCACTTCACAGTCATAAGTTGTAGGTGGCGCCAGTGTCTGACTTGCTCAATTACAGATCGGCGCCAGACAGAGAGAGGGAGATTAACAACCTGGTGCGGCGGGCCGATTTCAACAACGACGCGTACGTTCAAGAGTTCGGTCTGACGATCAGCAACAACATGATGGAGGTGCGCGGTCGCGTGCTTCCGCCTCCCAAGCTGCAGTACGGCGGCAGGGTAGCGTCCCTCAGCGGACAGGTGGGCTGGCACGTCAGTTTCATGTTGTATTTCTTTATTAGCGTAGATTAGACTGGATGAATTGGTGTCGTACGTTTGTCTTGGGGGTAACTTAGAGCATGAGTTTCTGCGCGATTCTTTGCGATAAATGTGGGCATGCGTGACGTATTTCTTTAGCTCAGGCCGGTTTCGGAGTCTCGTTTGTTATACGCGGTGTTTAATACTTGCAGAGCAAGCAGCAGGCGATGCCGAACCAGGGCGTGTGGGACATGCGAGGGAAGCAGTTCTTTACCGGCGTCGAAATTCGAGTGTGGGCGATCGCGTGCTTTGCTCCTCAGAGAACTGTGCGAGAAGATGCCTTGCGGTAAGTACGAGGGGAACACATGACCTACTCGAGAAATGTACGAGGTTCTTTTTTCTATTGCAAATTTATTCTTGAATGACTGGGTCTGTTTGGATTCAGCCCCCCCCTCCCCCAGCCTAGCGGATCCCTCACTTTTGTGTTTTTTAACATTAAAATGGAGCCAGAAGGTAAGTGGTAAGAACCAAAACTCAAGAGGTGGAATTAAAGGGGGGGGGGGGGGAGGTCGAGTTGTGCGCATTTGCGTTGCTACTTGGCAGTAATGATTGTTAAGTGCAAGTCATACTACTGGGTGTATTACCCTCCCTCTCAATGACCGGGTCGCACTGTCGAGGGGAGGGTTGAATGCAGTAAATGTGGAATTTTTTTATCACCTGGGGGGGGGGGGGTTGTAATAAGATGGATGGAATGGTATTTCGTGGCCATCAAACATAAAAAATGTGATGCTATCAAAATCATGGTCCTTTTATGAGCCGAATCAAATTTCTGTTTGCCTTTTTGAATATTGCAACGATATTTAAAATTGTTATTCAATTGTTCTTTCGCGTTGTATAAACAATTTTTGTTTGAGTGCGCGTTGTTATTTCAGGAATTTTACGCAGCAGCTACAGAAGATCTCGAACGACGCGGGCATGCCGATAATAGGTCAGCCGTGTTTCTGCAAGTACGCGACCGGTCCCGATCAAGTGGAACCAATGTTTCGATATCTCAAGTCGACTTTTCAGGCGCTACAACTCGTCGTGGTTGTACTACCTGGAAAAACTCCCGTCTATGGTAAAGCGCGCGCGCGCGCCCCCTTGGCTTTTGCGCTTACGTTCTTTTGTTTTTCAGCCGAAGTTAAAAGGGTAGGCGACACTGTACTCGGTATGGCCACCCAATGTGTTCAAGCAAAAAATGTAAACAAAACTTCCCCGCAAACTCTATCCAACCTTTGTCTTAAAATCAACGTAAAATTAGGAGGAATCAATAGTATTTTAGTGCCATCCATTAGACCAAAGGTGAGTGGTGCGAGCACGAACGTATAAATTAAGACGGACTGCTGATCAAACGAGGTAGAAATGGCCCTAGCATGGGCGCGGCCATGATGTGCACGTTTTAGTTATTTTCTAGGGGAATTTTCCTACTGCTGAGACTATTGCAGCCTTGTAAAATGACATGTGTCACAGTAATTTATTTATTTATGTTTGTTTATTGGCCAATTTGAATTTCGCGCACAATGAGTGCACATCATGGCTGCCCCCATGTAGGTGTCATTTGTCAATTCAGCAGTTTTAATTTATAAGTTCGCTTTGCGGAATGACCGAGCTTTCGGTTTTAGATATTTAACGAACCGGTGATATTTTTGGGTGCCGATGTCACCCATCCACCAGCTGGTGATAATAAGAAGCCTTCTATTGCTGCTGTTGTTGGTTCAATGGACGCTCATCCCTCACGCTACGCAGCAACCGTTCGTGTCCAGCAACACCGCCAAGAAATTATACAAGAACTTAGTTCCATGGTTCGGTACGTTCACCCCTCCGACTATCGCAATTCGGGTTCACCTTCAGTTGTTTTTTACAGGGAGCTGTTAATTATGTTTTATAAATCGACGGGCGGTTACAAACCTCATAGAATAATATTGTATCGCGACGGCGTATCCGAGGGGCAATTTCTGCAGCTGCTCCAGCACGAGTTGACGGCGATTCGCGAGGCGTGCATCAAACTGGAGGCCGACTATAAGCCGGGCATCACGTTCATCGTAGTACAAAAGAGGCATCACACGCGTCTGTTCTGCGCCGATAAGAAGGAGCAGAGCGGCAAGAGCGGGAACATTCCGGCTGGTACGACCGTCGACGTCGGCATCACCCATCCGACCGAATTCGACTTTTACCTTTGCAGTCATCAGGGCATTCAAGTAGGTACCATTTTTCACGAGTCCCTCCCACTTTCTTTACGAGTTTTTTCTATTTTCCATAAATCCCAAAAGGTCATAGCTATTTGCTGTATGTTTTTCTATATTAGAAGCACTGCGCATGCGCACATTAATCGTCAAGATTTTTCTTGACTCAGGTGCTCAGGTACCCCTCCCCCGGGTACTATATGTTCTCTTCTAAAATGTTCAGCCTTAGGAAGATTACTTTTAGGGGAATTTGCATACATAAAAGTTCTTGAGGCTGAACGTCTTGAGGAACATACAGTACCGGGGGGGTCTGGGGGGGGGTGCAATACCCCCCAGCACACAAGAAGAATCGATATTTTTTCCAAAAAAATTATCTCATTCCCCTAACAGTTCTTAAGGGTTGAACGTCTTGGGGATAACATACCATACCGAGCGTATGTATAGAATACCCCCCTCCCCTCCCAGGAAAAAATGGGAATTTTTTTAAAACGATCGATTTTTCTTGTATGCTGGGTGGTAGAAGATTACTTTTAGGGGAATTTGCATACATAAAAATTATTAAGGCTGAACATATTGGAGGATAACATACAATGCTGGGGGGTGTGGAATACCCCCCAGCACACAAGAAGAATCAATTGTTTTTTTAAATTCTCATTCACCTGAAAGTTCTTAAGGGTTGAACGTCTTGGGGATAACATACCACACCCTCATACCAGACCGAAGGTATCTATAGAATACCCCCTCCCCTCCCAGGAAAAAATGGGAATTTTTTTAAAACGATCGATTTTTCTTGAGTGCTGGGTGGTAGAAGATTACTCTTAGGGGAATTTGCATACATAAAAATTATTAAGGGCTGAACATATTGGAGGATAACATACAAGAAGAATCAATTGTTTTTTTTAATTCTCATTCACCTGAAAGTTCTTAGGGGTTGAACGTCTTGGGGGATAACATGCAATACCGAGGGTATAGAATATATTCTATACCCTCGGTAACATATGTGATCCTCCTCCTGGAATGAGAATTTAAAAAAACAATCGATTCTTGTGTGCTGGGGAGTAATTCCATACCGAAGAATACCCCCAAGAAAAAATGGAAATTTTTTTTAAAAAAGAATCGATTCTTCTGGTGTGCTGGGTGGTATTCCATACCCCCCAGCATTCTATGATATTCTCCAGGATGTTCGGCCTTAAGAATTTTTATGTATGCAAATTACCCATTTTTTCCTGGGTTGGGGGGGGGGGGGTATTCTATACCCTATGGTATGTTATCCCCCAAGACGTTCAACCCTTAAGAACTTTCAGGGGAATGAGAATTAAAAAAAAACAATTAATTCTTCTTGTGTGCTGGGGTTTATGTGAATAAAAAAAAAATAGATTCTTTTTGGGTGCTGGGGGGATGTTATACACCCCAGACCCCTCGGTACTGTATGTTCCCCAAGACGTTCGGCCTTAAGAAGATTACTTTTAGGGAAATTTTTCATACATTACTGACTGAACGTTTTGGGGGAGAACATACAGTACTGGAGGGTTGGAATACCTCCCCTCTATTAAATATAATGAAATCTGTAGGGGTAGTTACAACCTCGGAGGGATACAGAAAGTGCGCTAAAAATGTAATGTTATTGTTTTGTTATTTATATTGAGCCACTGCTGTCGCAGCGCCAATGTAGCGGTATGAACGCGCAGCTGTCATTTGGCGTCTGTCATTTTTTCTCAGCGAAAATACTTTCCGCTTTGGCGCTGGAAACAGCTGAATGTTATATTTACATGTTAACCTTGTGATTATTTTTTCTCTAGATTTGTACTAGCAACGTACAAAACAATAGACGATCGCGATTTTTAACAATGCCATTGTGTTACAGGGTACTTCAAGACCGTCGCACTATCACGTCCTGTGGGACGACTCCCATCTGGACTCGGACGAATTGCAATGTCTCACGTATCAGTTGTGCCACACGTACGTGCGCTGCACTCGTTCCGTTTCCATTCCGGCGCCGGCCTACTACGCCCACCTCGTCGCGTTTCGCGCTCGATACCATCTCGTCGAGAAAGAGCACGACAGGTAAAGCACGACGTTTTAAAAATACGAGGCGTTTACGCAAAATTTAATCGTTGAAACAGAGCTGAACACTACTTGTTTTTTAGTTTGTCAAAATTACCACAGAAAATTTTCAAATATTCTGTATTTAAATATAATGATGAAATAAAAATATCTCTTGAGATATTATTAAATAAATTAAATATTACAATATATGATCCATAACAGAAAACAAAACATTTTCATTTGTTACTGAGGTAGTTAGTTTCAGTCTCGGAAAGTTTCATTTTTGAACAAAAAAAAAACTTATTTTCTGCAAGCTCAAACGACACAGAGGGCGCCACCAGGTCAAGTGACCTTGGAACTAATAGGGGATCTAATTTCAACGCGTCTGCAGTGACCTTGATGGCCGATTGAGGAACTAACTTGAAGGTGGCTAGGGTGTAGTGCTGTGGATACTTGGTTTTTTCCCAAAATGAACCAATCGGAAGCAAGAGGGATTCGCTTCTCGATCTCGTTACGTAGAAATGTGATGAGATTGGGTAAACGCCTACTTTAGGACCAAAAGGATAACCATTACCATGCCATAGTTCAGAATTAGAACTGGAATCAGTGGTTCCCAAGGTCACTACTTGGTGGCGCCACTAACAGGGATAAGGGTCGACAACGTGTCGTTTGATTTTGAGTCAGGAACTATATTCTACTAAGAATACAGGGAGATTCAAGTAGCTCGTTCGTTTTTAAACTTAAAGTTGAATTAGAAAGTTGAAATTTGGTTTACAGCCATAATCGATTGCAAATTGAAATAAAATAATTTCAAGATGGCGCCGCTTCCGTATATACTCGAAAAGAATTTCGCCTGTTATACTTTTAAACGCCTTTTATAATTTTATTTATACTACTTTCAAAAAATGCTCAATAAGCACCGGAAAATTTAAATCTACATAGTTCTGGACATTTTTTGATTGCTAACTTTAAAAAATCGCAGCAGCCCTGGAAAGTTTCAGAAGTCACTCAAAAAATTCCTTAGACGATAAGGATGTGATTATATAAAAGAGCACTTCCTTATCTCGAACGGTTTAAGAGATATGAATTTTTGAATGGACCCTTGCATCGTCAAATTTGACATATGTCAAAAACTATGACAGATTTTTGACAGATAGGAATTCAGTATAACATAGCGTATTTACACGAAAATAGAAAATAATATGTTTCTATTTTAAAAAAGCCAAGATGATGCCACTTCCAGTATTTACTGAAGCGGCGCCATTGAAATTATTGTATATCAATTCGCAATGCTCGATTATGGCTGTATACCAAATGTCAAGTTTCTACAAGGAACGGTCCATGTGAATCGCCCTGTATACGTAAATTTAACTTAAAGATCTTGGACAAATATCTTAAGATATTGGGAATTTGGAAATTACCGCCATCTAAGAGTAGGTTTTATAAATTACAAAACGGGCGGCAACTTTGCTGTTTATAACTTCACTTTTTATTTATGTTGTGCACTGTACGTTTTAGGCAAAACTGTTCTGTGGACGAATTTGCCAATGTATACAGTGTTGTCAGATTTATGTTCCTACAGAGGGTGGTAATTTGTAATGTATAAGATAATAAAGTAACGGTGGATGGCGTGCTTGGCGGAAATTTGGGTATGGCAAACGACCAGACATTTCGAAATGCGAAGGGCGCAGTGATAAATGAAAAACAAGAAACTGGAGCAAGATTAAGTGTAGACTGCTATCTAGTTGCATGCTGTGTTTGAAAATAAAAGGACACTGACCGTGAATCTAAGGTGGAACTCTAAAAGAGGACTGCGCGCCACCTACTTTTAGCTGTGCTTACTAAAATAACGTGTTTAGGGATGTTTGTACTAAATGAACTTTTTTCTAGCGGCGAAGGTTCGCACCAGTCCGGCTCGTCGGAGGATCGTACGCCGGGAGCGATGGCGCGCGCGATTACGGTCCACGCCGATACCAAGAAAGTGATGTATTTCGCTTAAGTCTCGCGCGTATTAATTCTTGGTGTGCCAAAAATTGCTGTTATCATCGCTTTTTGTTGTTGTTGTTGGCAGTCGAAATACCAAATTGCCAAATGACCGGCCCCCTTTCTTTTGAATTTCGTTTACGCTTATTACGCACCTTATAATTTATTTTTAAGTTTTATCGTCAATTGCGGAATTTGGTATTTGTAGTTTTTTAGTCGGTTAAACGTACCTAGTTTGGTGGGGATGATCATTTTTCGTATTGCCTTATGAATGTAGACATAGCGCAGCTTGTCCTTGGCCGATTTATTTTTTATTTTTTTTTTGCGTCAATTGTACATGTTCAGTTCGTTCCACCATCCAATCAGTGTGTATGCGTATGTGTGTGTCTGTCTGTCTGTCTGCGTCGTAACTGAAATCTATAGCTTTAAACCGTAATGTCTTTCTAAACCTCAAGAGAAGAAGTCTTAAGCGGGAAGTTTTTGAATCTTGGTGCTGACGTTCTGAAAACCAAATTGTATTGTACATTTACTTTAGATGTTAAAATTTTAAAGGTAATCTCGAATCTAACCCATCTTATTTATTCATATCTGCCGTGTGTACTATAAAAAGAGGAATGGGGGGGAGAAATTGCATATTGTACATAATAAAATAGCGAGAACTCTCTTTATTGTTACAATGGGTCTAGACAATAAAATAAGAAAGAATACTTGTTTAGGCAACATTCCAAAAAGCACAAACTAATAGCTAGGTATTTTTGTTTCGTTTATTCGTAAGTGATTTTTCGAAATGTACTAACGTACGTTCGGTATCCTGGGTGTCATTTACGAGTAACATTATTCCAATGTATTTTTAAATTACCCGGCGACGGGTACTATTATTATAAGCGCCTCTGTTCGTATTTTATTTATTATTACTATTATTTTAATCGTAGAGTAGAAATTAGTGTGTACTGAAAGATAGTCTTCATTTTTACACGCGCATGGTCTCTGCACCTCAATAGATGGCGTCGGCGTAAATTTCTATCGAACAGTGTTGTCAAGTGGCACCACTGTTAAGGTGAACGCCCGAAACCGTCTCATGTGACCCATCACAATTTCATCTCCTAGAAAGTGCAATGCAACCCAAAATTACCAAAGTACAGGTTGAGGTCGGGATCTTGTATTTTAATTAGTGCCTACTGTGTATCACGTGACCCAAATAATTTTAGTATTAAGTTAATCAGAGATACTTACACTACAGTAGCTAAAGCGCCAGACTGTCACGTGACCCCCCGGGCGGTGAGGTTCTGCGCGAAAATCGCGTGACGTGCAACTGTTTCTGTCCACGTCACGTGACCTTCGCGCCAGAACCCGACTGCCCGGGTTAGGTGGCCCTTTGACTACTCGCGACGGACGAGAAACGCAACTTATTGTTCTTGTGCTCCCGCCGCCTAATGTTTTTCTTTTTTTTTTAGTATTTAGCCTTACGTACAAATTTAGATTTAAGACGACAATATTCGTGTTGCGTTTCCCTTTCGTCGCAATCGCTGAAAAGGGGGGTATTAAGCCGGGAAATTTTAATGTAGCAAATTCCTCATAATGTTAGTTAGGATCAAGACAAGTGGTGAGCTAAGTTGCCGTCGTTTTGTTATACATACATATCTCGGAAGATATTCAGACAATAACCGATTTCTCATATCATGTTAAATTTTCGATCACATACGGACAAAAAGATATCAACGCCCCCGCGCATCTTAGCGTCACCGCCGGTTTTCTTAAGTCGTGTGCAGTGCAGGAGAGAGGAATCAATGTTCTCAAATTTAAGTCTCTATTTTTGTTGCTTTAAGCAAATAGGTTGTTATACGAGCCAATTTTAATTATTATTATTATTAATAATACTTAACGTACTACGTAGTCATAGAGCATATCAATTTTTGTTGTAGATTTTAAGTCGCCCATTACGTTGTCATTTTTAATTGTGGTTGCAATAGCTTGTTACGTCGTAAACCTTTCATTTTTACACTTTACAAAACAAATTTGGTCTTGTGAATCACGTTGACGTTTGTTAATTAAACTGGCAGACAAATTCTGTATTTTACGTCTTAATAAATTATTATATATACTGCTGTATTATCATTCAGAAATACTGTCTAAACCCTGGTTCACCATTAGAAACACTCACCCAGAGTTACTGGGGGTTCTTGCAAATGATATTTTTTGGATGGCTGTGCCTCAAAAGTAATCGAAAGAATATTAAGAACTGAAAACTTGATGAAGAGCTCAATACCCACAGGAAATATTTCTTAAATCTATACATATCGGCTATGTATACTTAAAAAAAAACAGATCAAACCACTCATGGAATTGTGATACCATTGAACAGATGACTGTAGGCAACCCAGATTACACAGGACATGGACAAACGAGCTGTTTTTACAGTTCTTAAACTGTTGCCACCCACCTACCGTGTTAATATTTCAACCTTATCGTCTTTGCTATACATTTTTGTCTAAAAAAATCACAATTTGATATAATAATTAAAAATAAAGACTAACCTAATCTGACATTGAAGAATCAAGTTACTGTTTCCATAGCACACGCTGATCAGCTTTTAAAAATTCGTGTAGAGTTGGTTGCCTATTATAGCCACCTATTCCAGGCGCTTGATAAGTTTTTTAGTTACATAGCCGGATAGCCCATTTAAAAAAATTCTCTGTATATAATTCTTTCTGGAAAATGGTATCTTGAAGTTCTCTATCATATAAATTAAGCTGAAGCATCAGAGATCCATATAGTGTGATCAAGGAGTACCCAAAGTAGCGCTACACAGTGATATTAATGTAGAAGTAGCCAGGAAACTTTTACACAGTGATATTAATGTAGAAGTAGCCAGGAAACTTTTACATGATAAAAAGCCTTCTGAAAGACGCCTACTTTTATGCAACCAAAATAACTTCTTGAAACAAATCAAGATCTGGCTGTCATATTAATTATTAATTTAAATCTTTGTTCTAGTTACTTTGGTTGCATAAAATTAGACGTCTTTCAGGACGATCGCGATCGCATTCAAATTAAATTGAAAGAACCAATCAGGTGCTTAACCGTAAGAGACAGCTTGCCCTCTTAGTTTTCCCTTCTCTCTTACTTGCAGTATCTACGCGCAATCGATGTATTATATGTCGATGGGGGGAACGAGGAAGAAGGGAGGGCATCATGCGTCAATTTGTCGATGAAATTAATGATACTAGTGTGTGTGAGAGAGACAAACGATTGTTTCTCGTCCCGTCCAGTTACGAGTATATAGTTCATTGCAATTTGTTATTATTTATATGTACTTCACAGTATATTATTGTTATTGCATATGGCGTAATCCATGGTTTGGTTTTGAACACTTTATATACCTACAACCTATATATTGTTTATTAAGTATTTAATTATGTATTCACGAGGAAGTTTATTATCAGGTTGATGTTGCTCTGTTCGATTGAACTATTCCCTGAAGGAAATCAAGGGGTTCTCTAATTGGGTCCGCTACCGAGTTTCAAAAGTACCGCGAAACGACCGTCGTTTCAACTTGAAAGGTAAGTGTAACTGCTCCTAGTTTTAATTTGTCGTCTTCGTCTTGAGCACAACGATGACTTGGAGGAACACATCGGTACGCGGAGAGACCTGGTGAAAAGGCCGAATGGAAAGCAGAAAAATGCAATTCGGGATGACCTCAGATTAACAATTCGTGGATGATCGAAAAAAGGCAGTGTATAACCTTCCTTTTGTCCAAAAATCGACTGCACCAAAATTTCTCGGGAAAACACTTTTTCTTATTAATTTGAGTGCGTAGAATCCAAATCAATTCGTACTTTATCGATCAGACTTCTCAATCAAAAGTTATGGACTAGAAACCAATTTCGAAAAAAAATTCAAAGGGCTGTAACTTTTGAACTAGTAGCCCAATCTTGGAACTGTGTGAAATTATGGATTCTACAGGCCACATTCTACAAGAAAATCTTTTTTCCCGGTCGATCTGAGACAATTTTTTTTTCGGGGCAAAAAAACAGGCAGTGTATAACCTTCCTTTTTTCCAAAAATCGACTGCACCAAAATTTCTCGGGAAAACACTTTTTCTTATTAATTTTGGTGCGTAGAATCCAAATCAATTCGTACTTTTTCGATCAGACTTCGTAATCAAAAGTTATAGACTAGAAACCAATTTCGAGAAAAATTCAAAGGGCTGTAACTTTTGAACTAGTAGCCCAATCTTGGAACTGTTTGAAATTATGGATTCTACAGGCCTCATTCAACAAGAAAATTTTTTTTCCGGGTCGATCGGAGACAATTTTTTTTTGGGGCAAAAAAACAGGCAGTATATAACCTTCCTTTTTTCCAAAAATCGGCTACACCAAAATTTCTCGGGAAAACACTTTTTCTTAATAATTTGGGTGCGTAGAATCCAAATCAATTCGTACTTTTTGGTAAAAAAGGAAGGTTATACACTGCCTTTTTTTGAGCCCCGAAAAAAAAATTGTCTCAGATCGACTGGGAAAAAAGATTTTCTTATAGAATGTGGCCTGTAGAATCCATAATTTCACACAGTTCCGAGATTGGGCTACTAGTTCAAAAGTTACAGCCCTTTGAATTTTTTTTCGAAATTGGTTTTTAGTCTATAACTTTTGATTAAGAAGTCTGATCGAATTGATTTGGATTCTACGCACCAAAATTAATAAGAAAAAGTGTTTTCAAGGTTTTGGTGGTGGAATACCATCAGAGAGCCTGTTTTCAGTATTAAACTCGCACTATCCATCTATATTTATTAATCGCAGACTCTGGTAGACTCTAAACTAAAGGCTTCAAAGGTAATACAATCTCATAATGTTCTTAGGGGTTTTTAGGGCACATAGCTGAAAAGGGTTTACATAGGTTTACAAATGCTTTCTGTAAAACAAAGTTTCGAAAGGCTGAAAGATTGGGGGGGGGGGGCCAGACTCAAGGGGGGTCATAATATGGGACAGACTTTGCTGGGTGAAGCAGATGCAATTATAATTTTCTTGCATAACGAAGGTTCAATACTGTTCAGATGAAAATCGAATTTCTACTTCTCTGACAACGCTGCAACCAGACAGATGGATCAAACTGTCAACCTTTTGTTCACAACAAAAGAACGTTTTGTTTTTCCAAAGCACTCTTCTCAAAAAATTAAAAATTGTATTTTAAAAAAAATGTGAGACTGAACCACCATGTGTGATATATCGTTGTAAAGAGAAAAAAAGACGTAATCCCAAAATCTCAAAATTCAATATAGCGCCTATAAGAAAAACTAAAGTTGTCACGTGTTTCTCAGTCATCTTGAAAGTAATTAAAAACAGGATGCCATATTTGAAATCTCCATTAAAAAGTGTCCGAATAATGTGTTAATGAGAAATGTCTACTACGATTAGTTTATCATAAAAAAATTAAATCAGAAATTTTCGTTTTTTTGCGATATCTTCAAAACTATTGAAGGTATTTCAAATTTCTTTTCAGATCTTATTCATCACAGAAATTTGCAACTTTGAACCCATTTAACCAACTTTCTATCCCTTAAGATAAGTGAGATCCCCATAGTGGCACTCGAAAAATGGACACCGTGTTCTTACTTACCCCCCCCCCCCCCCCAATGATTTTGGCACCAAAACCTGACGGTTCAACACATGTGCATGTCGACTATCGAAAACTAAACAGTGTAACAGTAGCAGACTGCTACCCACCACCTAGGATGCCCTTTGGCCTTAAAAACGCGCCCGCTACCGACGGCTTTCGTGCCGACCGCTTTCGTGCGGACCTTGACCAAGTTACCGTACTCGCGTATCTTGACGACATAATTGTCCTCTCCTCGAACGGGGAGAAACACATGAAAGACCTCAAGGAAGTGTTTACGCGATTCGAATAATTTAAACTTCGAGCCCAGAGGCACAAATGTCACTTATCATTACCAAACAAGGAATATCCGGAGACCCCACGAAGACCCAGGCCATCAACGACATAGCCGCATCAAGCAATACCAAGCAATTAATTACCTTTTTACAGACATGCTCCTGGTACCCGGATTCGCCGGACTCTCAAAACCTCTCACCAGCTTCCTAAAGAAAGAACTCCACCTCCCACCTCCGCCCTAAAATGATACCAGAGAAACAAGCAGCTGAATCCCATCCGACCCTTAAGAAAGAGAGCAAAACCAGCCTCCACCGAAGCATAATTTTTTTAATTTTTATGGCCCACTGTTTTCTGCGCCACATTCTAAAGGAGTAACAGTATTTGGCTTCTTGCAAGCCAACCGAAGCGCTTTGTTGATTTTAAGTTGCGAGACCTACAGTTTCCCGCTGATTATTAACTCTCGCAGATGATACTTCTTAATCTTCCCCGTAGTGGTCAGCGGAAGCGTGTCCACAAATTTCACACCCCCTCTCAGTGCGTACTTGTCATGCATGCGTTCGGCGACGTACTTGACGACATCCTCCTCGCCGACCGCGTGCGATCCCTCCTTGAGGCAAACGACGGCGAGGGGCGCGTTCCCGTTTTCCTCGTCCGGTAAGCCGACGACGGCTGCCAAACTAATCGCCGGATGCGTCAGGAGCACGCCCTCGATAAACGACGGTGAAATATGGAAACTCTTCACCTTAAACGTTTCCTTAATGCGATCGACGATGAAGAAGCAGAAGTCCTCGTCATAGTAGCCCAAGTCGCCGGTCCGCAACCAACCGTCGGCGTCCCAGCGGTCGCTCGAATCGGAATTGTAATAGCCGTTCATGACGAAGTCGCCCTTGAAGCACAGCTCCCCGGTTTGGTTGGGACCGAGAGTGGCTCCGGTGCTCGGCTCGACGATCTACGAAGGCGATTTAGATAATGCTAACGAAGCGCGATACTGACCTTGCATGAGAAGCCGGGCACCAATAACCCCGAAGAGCCCGGTTTCGAACGCATCAACGCCATCTCACGGCGATCGAGCCGATTAAAATTCACGATCAGCCCCGACAACTCCGTTTGGCCGTAGCTCAGGTTGCAATTGGTGCCCGGAAACATTGCGCGCAACTCTTCCAGTGGGTGTGAAGATAGAATGTCGCCTCCAATTATTACGTCGCGTAATTGAGAGGTGTTGACTGCTTCCGGTCGGCCGTTTCTAAGTAGTTCCATCGCATGGACCGGTGTAAAAAGCACGTTGGTAATCTGGAATGTACTGTGTGACAGTTTATACAGGCTATTGACTCACCGAGTATCTCTCCAGGATGGTCCAAAAGGTTCTTGGTGTAAACAAGGAGGTTACCACACGACATCCACCGGTTAAAACAGCGGAAACCAAGGCGAATGTGGCCGAAAGCCAGTGGTAGGTGGAGTAGGTCAGCGTAGTTTGGAAGCATATGCCTCGGGATCTGGTAGAGGCACATCTTTACATGGTGGATGCGCGTAGAGACTCACATTAGCAAATTTCCTTGTCCCAACAGCGATTGGTGGCTCAAGCAAATTCCCTTGGGCAAACCAGTGGTACCGCTGCTGAAGAGGATCGAAGCCGTCTCTCGACCGTCGCCCACTTCGTACGGGTGAAACTCGTCGTCCCTCTCGGTGACAAACTCCCCGAACTCAGTGTACCTGTCCGACTCGGCGAACGTGACGATCTGGACGTCGACGCCTGCCTCGGCGCAAGTCTCCTCGACTAGTTCGATCGAACCTTGATCGACGAACGCGATTTTCGGTTTCGCAAGTTTGATGTGATGCGTCATCTCGGACCGACCGAGCCTAGGATCCAGGCACGCCGGTATCGCGCCGAGGAAAATCGCCGCGATTACCGGCACGCAACTGTTGAGATGGTTCAGAGTGCACGTCGTAATCACGTCCTTCGGGCGTATACCGATGCTGCGCATTTTGAGCGCGGCGCCGACGCAGCGTCCCAGAAGGTGCTCGTAAGTGTCCTTTACACCTGAAATTGGGTCAATCTGGAGGGCAACGATGCTGCGAGTATTTTATGCGATACCGACCTGTGCGATCAGGTGACGATTCCGTGACATGCACTCGAAGAGTGCGTAACCTAAACCTTTGGGCTCGAGCACAAAGGATGGGGTTTCGCCCCTTATAACATTAGAATCAAGCTCTAAATTTATACGTTCTGTGGATGCCATCACCTAAGGCGTTCGGAATTAAACTGCTAAAATGTAATAACGAACATAATTGGAGAGTAGATAATAATGCTAATCTTATTGTGATAAATGGCATATGATAAGTACATAAAGTACGTAAACCACATAGGAATTGTTTATTGAGTATCAAGCACCATAAATAAAGGGGTAATGATGCCCTTTTTTCAGAATTTCGCATGAAAAGTAAACTCACCACCGTTCCGGTGGCTGCGCCGCCTCGCCTTGCTTAATACATTAGAGGAAGAACAACACATTTCCGTGCCTGAAAATGGTCGTAAAGTGACTCTTGCTACGGTGTGGGTAGTGACGATTCTAAGTGGATCTTCGGGGCTAAAACCGAGACTGCAGCCTCCCAAGTCAAGATATTAGCGACCGTGGCGAGGACTGCGTGGCAGTGGGGTGCAGTGTGTAATAAGAAACTTAAGATTGCGTAATCTGCGCATGCACACACCAGATGTTTAAAGTATGCGATATGTTTGCCTTTACTAGAAGAATCTCGGGTTAAAATTAAAAAACATCTGATTTGAAATATACGATATGCTTGTCTTTACTAGAAGCATCTGTGGTTAAAATTTTAAAGAAATATCTCCATAAATAAGAAAATTGACATCGCACAGTTTGCGCATGCGCAGATTAATCGTCAAGATTTTTCTTGCTTGAGGTGCCAGAGCTATTAGCTACCGAATGCAAAAAGAACGAACTACATATCTTGAAAATTCTACAAGTAGTTAAGGCCTCGGATGGACAGACGGACGTAGAAAGTGGCCATAATAGTACCTTCCAAAATGAGTTGGAAAATGCGCTAAAAATACAGGTTGTTAATTAATGTCATGCAGATATTTCTGGGGTTGGTAGCACTCGTCAAAATAAGAAAAAAGTGCAAATATGTGCGTGGTCTAAAGGACGCCATTTTTGTTATACAGGGTGGCAAAGTTTCAATTTTGTTCTCGTATTTTGCGTTTTCTCTCTTATGTTCTGGGATAATTGTTTCAAATTTGATAGATCAATTATTTTTTAGAATCTCTACAATAAACTATCCAAATACTTGGTCGCACTCGCAATATATAGGGTGTTGCATTTTCTTTCTCACCCGGTATAACGAAAACGACGGCTGTTAGGGCCATGCATATATTTGCATTTTTTCTTATTTTGACGAGTATCACCCCCTGGAATTCGGATTTGCCATAATTATAGAAGATAATCCCGTGAAGTTTAAAACTTTCATCGTAATGTGGAAATTATAACGGTGTTATTTTTCTCGGAAGTATTTTGTGTGGCCTATGCTCTTGTTGTCCACTCTTCTGTCCAGTCGTCCTTGGTTTTGATAAAATTCCTTCGCTTCTTATCTTTTCTTTTCCGGTCACTTTTGAATAAGAGATTGTCGTGTGCATTTGCTACATCTTCATTTTGTGAGAAAATTTTAAGCCTTTAAATTTGGAAGGATCAACTTACTTTGAAGATTAAAGAATGAGGTCGCTCCGAGCTGTACACAATTGATCCCCCAAACAGACGATTAAATGTATTAGCACATGTCAACAGAGGCGATATCGACACTGAGAGTGTGTACATTTAATTAATGGGATCAATAGGGAGACAGTAAAAATAATCGGGCCGCGGCATATGTTGTAGGTTCTCCCGGCCTTGATCAATTTTCCGCGGTGTACAGTTTGGAGCGAGGCTCATGTACAATGCACAAATTACACCTTGCTCGGTCCACAGGGAAAAAAACGATTTTTTACAAATTGATTATGTACATAATTGCACCAAAGGTACTTGGCCGCCCGAAAAGCGAGACGCGGCGACGTGGGAAGTTCAAAGGAGGAGAGAGATAGTCGTGATTTTCTCAAATATCTAATCGTACCAAAGTGGCGTTGGAAGCACTTTTTTTTTGTTCAAAATTTGGCGAATTTCCCTTTTTTTTTGGCATTTTAGTAATTGATCCCATTTCCATTTTGGCAAACGGTGCAGCTTGGGGTTAAACGGCGGTTGTGTCTCTTCTCGAAGTGTATGTAGAAAAAACGCTTTATCACATTCTCTAGTCTGACGTCCGTGGAAATGATCATATGGAGGCCCGGTGGCTCGTGTAGATGGCCGGAGACGGCACCAGAGGGCCCTGCGGGGGGTGAAGCTCGTGCATCGGAAGTATGGGTAGGAGATGCTTGGCCGTTGACGATCTTCTTCCGCTGTATCTGGAAGAAGAAATTCAAAAGCATTGGTACTAATCATTTCGCGTGATAGTAGATATAAGATACTTTACTACCCCCCCCCCCTCCCGACTTAACTTGGACCCAGATGGTTTCAGTATTTCTCCAATCATGGAATCTTCTTCTTCTCTTCTTGGAAGGTGGTCCATTTATCCATTAAACGGACTGAAAGTTTCTCGTCCACTCGTCGCATGAACAGTTTAGCCCCTATCGCCATGGGGGCTAGCCAGCCTAGTGGGTTATTTAATCTTGCGATCTGGGATCTGGTAGCTGTGTTCTCCGAGGATAGATCTACTTTGAACCAAAAGACATCTTGGATCGGCGTCCAGGGTCCTTCTGGCCCAAGATCCCTGAACCCCTGTAGATCCTTGGGCGGGATGGAAGTGAGTTCCTTGCAATTGCTTTTCCACTTCCTAAGTTTGAACCCTCCTGGTTTCATGTCCATTAACCTAGCAGAGCACGCGGTCAGCAGAACACAATCAAACATACTGCATAATTTAGTGCCCTATTCCCGAATTAAATGCTCCTTTTTTTAAATTATTATAGTTCTGCCAGGTTCATATGAACTCAGCAGAGCAATACCCTAAAAACCCAAGAAAATGAAGTGAACTAACTATAATTAGGTGCTAATTAAGTGCCCTATTCCCGAATTAAATGCTCCTTTTTTTAAATTATTAGCACCTAATTATAGTTAGTTCACTTTTCATTTTCTTGGGTTTTTGAGGTAGTGCTCTGCTGAGTTCGTATGAACCTGGCAGAACATGTAAAATAATTTTTAAAAAAAGGAGAATTTAATTCGGGAATAGGACACTTAATTAGCACATAATTAGCACCTAATTATAGTTAGTAGATTGTGTTCTGCTGACCTTGCTCTGCAGTTAGGTTCATGGACATCTTGGTTTCAACAACTAGATCCACTGATGTTGAAGTAACTTCGTAGGAAAATTTCCCGGATGCCTTTATCGTTGTGTCCCCCAACTCCACAGCTACTCCTTTCAGCGGTAGGCTTCTCTATTCCTTGTTGTTGTCCCTTGATACCTTCTCTCTCATTGTTCTTCCCCTGTTACTATACTGCTTCTTGGTTTTGGACTTCTTTCTTTTCCCAAACCTTCGTCTGGGATCAGGGCCGCATTTAGCATGGGGCCATGTGGGCCCGGGTTCATAGCGGCAAATTTTTAGGGGCGGCAAAAAATCAAATTTCGGAAATAATTTTACAGGAGTTTCGTGAAAATAATATAACAACCGAAATTCTGTGAACTTTGTATTAAGATTGTGGAAAATTTATGGGTTTTCCCGCAATTTTTTTTGTTGAAAACGTTTAATTGAGGCCATCTTTACTAATTTCATAACCGTACTTTGAGGGGGGGGGGGATGATTAATAACGCCACGTAATAACGTAAATATATTCATACAAGTTAAATTAGATATAGCTCCCATCACCTGGTGTTGAGGTAATCGGGGGAAGGGGGGGGGGGCGATTTCGAGAGGCCCATAGGCGGAAAATATGTAGATCCGGCCCTGTCTGTGATGCAGACCAAGCGTAATATGGGTAGCCCTTTGCGCTTCTAAATCACTCCTTTCTCTATTGATGACACCGTCCCTAGCTTCCGAAGATGTTCGTCGGATCCTCCCAGTTTCTATCTTCAGGTTGGATAAGGACCTCTCCTCCGCGGCTTTTGCTATTTTAGACACTTGAAGTGAAGGGACCAGTTCATTTCAAGGTCTCGAAGGACCAAATGTGGCAAACGTAAGGTTGAAACTGATACATACCTGTGCGTAGGAAAACAAGAACAGGAACACACCGACTGGTCGTCGGCGTCCAGAGACGTCGTCTCCGTGCAATGGTGCCCCAACTGACCGCTCAAGATCGAACCGTTCGCCGTGATCACGTCGCCCTCTAGCCGAACGGCGCCCGCGAGCGCCTGCATCGCCTGCGCCTCGTCCCTCCGCTCGTCCTCCGTGTTCATCGTGACGAACCGCAGGACGAGCAGGTTGAGCGACGCCGCGACGATCGCCAGCCCGAACAGTATGAAGATCAGCGCGAACATGACGTACTCGGGCTTGTCGCTCAGCGCGCTGTCCTTCTGAAGGGCGACCTAGAAAGAGGGCGAAATTAGGGCTTGAGCTCGATCGGCTCGCGCTCACCCACCATGTCCCCAAATCCGATTGTTGTCAGCGTGATGAAGCAGTAGTACACCGAGTCGAAGTAGGTCCAGCCTTCGTACCTGGAGAAGGCGGCCGCGCCGCCGGCTATCGTTAAGGAACTTAGAGTGGTCACTACGCAGATCAGATCCAATTCGGACGCCTCCTTCTGGCGACAGTCCAAGGAAGATTTCACCGATCGTATTATGACACTGCAACAGGGTGAGATTTACAGAAACAGTCCCCCCCAGTCTTTCGCTCGAAACTTCATGGGGGTGGGGGTGCAGATTCACCTACCTACTTAGCCTGTTCACGCGCTCCCCGATGCTTTGGAACATCACGAGCCCCAGAGGGATGCCGATCATGGCGTAGCACATCGTGAAGAGTTTTCCGCCGACGGTGCTCGGCGTCGAGTGCCCGTATCCGATGGTGGTGAGAACCGTCGTCGCGTAGTAGAAGGCGCCGGCGAACTTCCACTGCCTTCCGGCGCGGTGAGGTTCCGATTTCAGCACGATCGTCTCCATAATCTTAAAGTCGTCGTCGCTGATGTTGTACTTCCTTTTGATGATCGATTCGATTTCTGAAATGTCTCGGTCATTTTTGGCGCGAGAGGGTGGGGGCGGGGGGCTGACCTTGAAGGACTTCCTTTCGCTTAGCTTCAGTTTTCGATTCGAGCGAATCGAAGACGGCGGCGCCGATAAGCAAATACGTGAAGGTGCACACGATGAGCGATAAAGTGCGGACGTTTTGCTTCTTCATTCTTTAACGCGCGTCATGCTGAAGCCGGGGGGGCCTTCGCTCCGCTAGCTGCCCCCCGTACGATTTTCTCGCCAACTCCACATTACAATTACCCCCTGCAATCAGAATGCGGCCTGTTATTGTTTCAAAGTATCTCTTAACCTACAACTGGAAGTGAAGACGGGCGTCTATTGTCGACCGTATTTCGGTTGTGTACTCTTCGCGAAAGACGCCTCGAGTAAATTGCAACAAACGCCACAATTGCGTACGGTTTCGATCGACGAAAAGTCCCATGCGATTTCCTGACATGCAAATATCGCATTTTCAATTTAATTAAAGTAATTACATCGTTAGGTAGATGCAATTAAATACAATACAAATGGCGGTCGCTTATACAACATGCAATGGAATATTTTCTTGTTTCCTCGCTTTCCTATTGCATTTCCGAGCTTCTAATCTGCGGCTCACGTGCGGCACTAACGTAAATCAACGTAAACACGAAATAATTACATTTCACATTGTTTTCCATAATCTCAGCCGGCTTAATCAAGTTCAAATCCATTTGTTTATGGGGGCGGGGGGGGGCGATCTTGCGCATGCGCAGGCTTATTTTACCGACACATACCTTATTTGTTTTCGAAAAAAGCACCAATGACTTTGCATTTATGCATGCGCGCGAAGATACGTCCAGAACCCCCCCCCTCCCAGTACGACGCTCTCTTACAGAATCATTCGAATGTCAACACTATCATGGTGAAACGTACAGTCGAATGTGAGTATGCTCTTCAGAAAAAGTACAAATCTATTGCAAAGGTACGTAGCATAGGGTCTGGGCAGTATTCTATTATTTAGCCTCCCCCCCTTCAATCTAGGAGGGAGCAACTGCCAACAAAGGATGCCTCGATCGCTTGTACTACTCCTAACATTCACATGGTATAACCTTTAGGAGCTCGTAATAGAGTTTTCGTATGCTGGGAACTATTCCATAACCCCCCCCCCCCCTGCCCCAGTATGAAATTCCCTTACAAAAGCATTCAGATTTCAACACTTTGATGATACTTTTTGGGAAGAGGACGATCGAATATGAGTATGGGAGACCCTTTAGGAAAAGTAGAATTCTATTGTAAAAGTACACAGCACCGAGTGAGGGGGGGGGTATAAAAGGCCACTCAGGAGAAAGCAAGCACCTTTCAAAAAAGGATTTCTCGATATGGTTCTTTTTGTACTAGTCCTAACTCGCTCACATAGTAACCTTTCGGAGTTGGTAATCGAATCTTCGAATGCTGGGGGGTATTCCATAACTCCCCCTCCTCCACCAGACCGTCCAGTATGACGTTCTCTTACACAAGCATTCAGATTCTCGAATCTCATGATGATTTTTGGGAAAAAGACAGTCGAATCTGACTATGGAATACTCTTCCGGAAATGTAGAATTCTATTGTAAAAGTACGCAGCACCGGGGGAAGGCGGGGGGGTATAAAAGACCCCTCAAGAAAAAGCATGCACCTTTCAAAAAAGGATTTCCCGATATGGTTCTTTTTGTACTAGTCCTAATTCGCTCACATAGTAACCTTTCGGAGTTGGTAATCGAATCTTCGAATGCTGGGGGGTATTCCATACCCCCCCCCCCCCCGACCGTCCAGTATGACGTTCTCTTACACAAGCATTCAGATTCTCGAATCTCATGACGATTTTTGGGAAAATGACAGTCGAATCTGAGTATGGAATGCTCTTCAGGAAATGTAGAATTCTATTGGTTTCAGTTGCGATATATTTAAACAAATGAATAGTAAGTGCGTTCAATTGTTTTTAGCATCTGGAACCGCGATCAGATTTGTTTTAAATAAATTATTATTGAACTTGTTTCGTTTCGAGACGCAAAAGGAAATCCAGCAGTCAGTGGGTCAGGTCGGTAGAATTCCCAATTTTGTCCTTCCGCTCCCGATACTCCCCTTGGGGATCATTCCGAGGGTCTAAACAGAATTTACGCTTCGGTTATGGTATAAATTACAAATAAAGCTCGGGCTTTTTTTTGAAATTTTCAAATCCGTTGCCAAGTTGGCATGGACCTGCACGTAGATAAACCGATATTTCATACTTTACATGGACATTGGTCCGATGCCAGACGTGAGGGTGCACGCAGTAAAAGTAATTGAAAATTTTAAGAACGGCGCGCACTCTCTAAATTTCTATTAAATGAAGGGAAACGTAAAATTGAAATGCGCGCTCCCGCGTTGCAATTTTGCGGCGGAACGGAATTACCTCAACCTAATTTCATTCAAATCAATCACCCAACGTTTCGCGATTAGCGCGCGGCGGGAGGGACGAAACGAAATTTAAAATTCGCGCGCCGATTAGCGGCAATCGCCCGGGAGCTAATTTGCATTTGCCTCGTTTTGCTAATTTGCGAGGAATTAAACGTTCCGTGAGTGATTTTATTCATTTATATTTTCCACCCCTTATTTATAAAGGGCTTAAGTTTGTTTAATTGCTTCACGCGATACGTCTACTTGAAGGGGCTTCGTCTCGGAGAAAAGCTGCTTGTGGGAAATCCGGTCTGTTTTAAAATGAATTGAAGCGTCAAGATTTATGCACGCAAAACTGGTCGGTTCGTTCTACGTGAAAGGGGCTTGGGGTTCCAATAAAGAAGCTCGGATGAAGTTCGAATCTCAAATATCGCCAGGTTTTGTTTAATTGACCACCCAGGAGAATTGTCACAAAGTTGGTCCTTCAAACCGGATTACTATTTCTCTTCTAGCTTATTCTTTTTACGAAAAATTTAACCGCACTCTGTATGACGTATAGTTCTATATTTAAACTTTACTCACATAAGGAGCATTCCATTGTGGGATACTCCCCCCCCCCCAAGACCCCCTGTGCGGTATTTCCCTTCAACAATTACGTTTAGTAGCACTCACACTGCACGCACTCAATTCGGCTGCCCTTTCCCAGAAACTATTATGAGAATCTTGCAAGCTAAACGCTTCTGCCGGAGCCGGAGGTCGTTGTACGGGGGGGGGGGGGGGGGGGATTGAATTGAATTCTACCCCCCGCCCACACAGACGATCGTATCGAGATGATCGTAAGGTGGCTCGTGTTTCGGCGTGGGTAGTGACCATTATAAGTGGCTCGTCGGGATTGAAACCCAGACTGGTAGCGACGAGGACCCCCGAAACAAGATTTTAGCGACCGTGCGAGGACTGTGGGACACAGGGGTGCAGTGTCCGTAACGGCGCCCCTCGGACACGGGGGGGGGGGGCTCCGAGTGGTGGATCTTATCCTTCGGGAAGGAGCTGGACAGGCGGCTCTGCCCCGTGAGACCGCATCTCCGCACTACCCGTGGGAGTTGTGTGGACGATTTCAAACGGAACAAACCCGTTCTGGGCACCTCGTCAGGGGGAACTAACAAGTCGAGCCCTCAAAAGACGCAGGGCCTTATTCAGGGATCTGGCTATGGACCAGCTCTTATTCGCAAGAATAGAACTGGTGCCTGGTCAAGAAACGCCGGATGGAGAGTAAAGCCTTGGGTCAAGCGGGCCCTGTGCAAGGCGATGCCTGGGTCGGCGACTCACGGGGGAAACCCGACGTCAGGGACCACGCGTTTTAGATCGGGGAGAAGAACCCAGAAGTTCTGGAGCAACCCGCTGCGGAGGAACTCGGGATGGTCATTGTTGCGGAGTCGGACCCGGAGGTGGACATCACTGAGACTCCGTCGAATGCAGTTGTTGACGAGATGGAGAGGGGAGGGGGCGGGTCTTCCCACGGCTGGCAGGGTTCCGTACCTAATTCAAAAACAAGTGAACCTGGTACTGGTTGGAGAGGACCGGTCCCTTTTATTAGTTCCTGGGATGGAGCGTCTCTGAAACTGCAGGGGCCTATGATAACCACAGCGTTGGCTGTGATATACGAGCTCCCGGATGACACAACCACGATCTTGAAGCGCCTCCAAAGGCAAAATCCTGGTTTCAGGGCGAGCCTACGGAGGACATATGGTGTAAATGAGGCGCCCCATCAGTCACTCCAGTCGCAGAATTTTCAAGGGCACGCGGGAGAGTGCTTCGGCTGCGCCAGGTAAGGGAGAGGGCTCCACCGGAGCTGCGCGAGGGGCCTCAATCCATCGCTATTGACCAAGATGCGTCGGGATTACTACTGACGCCCTTATAGTGGTTGAGGAAGATGTCGACGAGCTTTTACCCTCATGTGGCGGTTCTTGGCTCCGACCAGGGGTCGAAACCGAGGCCATCACTGGTGGGGGGGGGGCTATTACAGAGATATTTGCAGCACAGCAATGGTGAAATGGTGGGCTCTCTTTGGTGGTTGGATGTGATACAAACGCACATGTTACGTGGGGCAGCACGGACGCGAACTCGAGGGGCGACCGCCTATTTACGACGATTTAGGTTATCGAGCTGACGTTGGGCTCCTTTTCAATGGCCCACATGATCACCAGATGGCGGGTATCTGATGAGCCGATTAAAGTCACTAAATATAGAAAGTACCGCAATCCATTGGGCTCGTGTGTTAGAGAGAGAACGCATGATTTTTGCCCAAAAATGGCGGAAGTTACCAGATTCTAGTAACTTTAATGTTAGGGATTGTTCCACCTGTTTGGAGATATCTGTATATATTTTTATAAAACATGACAGTACTATGAAGTTAGGTTATAAAAAATGACAGCTATTGAGATTTTATTTGTCAATTTTTTTTAAGTTGGCAGCAAATTTGTCCAAAAATGACGGATGATTGCGATACTTTCTATATCTAGTGACTTTAGAGCCGATGAGCTTTCGAACCAAAATCGGGTCTCCGAGTGCGGGCCCTGCAGGTTTCGGATTCTTCGATCCACTGACTGCAATTGCTATGTGGGCGAAAGGGGGGGTTGGGTGGAACACCTTTGTTTTGTCGGAAAGCAGGCCAGGTGGAAGAGGCTGCCGCATTAGTAAGCGTCAGATGAGAACATCTGCAAACTGCGGACCTTTCGAGGAACGAAGAGAACACCTTGGTGGAACTCCCACCTCGAAGAGGAGGTTGCGGACTGGGAAGAGTAAAATGTATTTTTTGATGGAGGGTCTTCCTGAAGTTCGAAAGCTTCATAAGATCCCGGGGCAAAAAGTGCACTCACATGTCTCCCTGAAAACACTTTCCAGGCTCTGGGGACTACGTAACTTCGGACCCACCAAAAGGAGCTGATATGTCCACGGATACCGCTCTTCACAACCTCGTGTGCAGGATGGAGAGGGAAATGTTTGCTTGGGAAGTGGCCCTGGGAACGTTCCTGGATATCGAGGATGGGTTTAACGACACTACGTTCGAGTCCATTGGTGAAGTTACCGAAGACTTTGATGGATCAATCGTAAGATCCCCACCATTCTCCAAAACAAGGTCATTATACTCTCAATCGTGGTACCTGGTGACCCTCCTCGCAAGAAGGGATGTCTTACTAAGACCAAAGACTTATAAAGTCACTCTCTCAGACAGGGAGCTGGGGGCTCCAGGGGGGCAACGAAAGAGCAGAGAGCTGGCTGCAATTATGTATTTGCCCCATATGGTACCAAATTGGATGTTACAACAAAAATTAGTTAGTGTCATTTGTCACTAATTCGGTACTTAAATCAGTCTTCTAATTTCGCAAAATTCGTAAGTGAAATTGTGGCGCGTAATTGATTAGTTACTGATTATTCCGTAATTAAGGATCGACTAAAATTAATTCTACTATCTGAAAACGTTTAAGCTACAAATTACATCTAATTTTTATTATTAAAGCAGTAATTAGTACCATTGAATAAAAACACTATTTTTATTCAATGTTAGTACCTACTCAGATACAAGTTGGCGCCTAATTAATTAGTTGCATTTGTAATTATTGGATTAATTTACATGGTATTCCAGCAGTCGTCAATTCCTGCAATTAATATTTAAGATGGTTGCTCGCCTAATTAGGCGCCAACTTGCTACTCCAGATAGTAATTCGTAATTAAGATGGTGGTGCAAGGCATCAGAGCCTAATTAATTTGAGCTGGTACCTATAATTAGGAGCCTCACAATTATTTCGCTGTTTACTCCGTAGGTTATGTCGATTTTCTTAATCGGTATTGGACACTCTTCCTTTAGCTCTTTTAAGTTATTGGCAATAAATTCGTCCGCGCAAAACAATAAAAATACGCGACATTACTCGATTTTATATCGAATCGTAAAAAGACACCTTTTTTTTCGCACTGCGGATAAAAACAGAAAATATGAAAGGAAAGCGATGCAGGTTCAACCACCGACCGGTGACACAATTTCAATGGGAACGTTGCACCCTTCTACCACCATCGGAAAGAATTAAGGGGTTGTTCGGTCACCAATTTTTTTTTTCTAATCGCCTGAGCTTACCGCAGGTGTAACGAGCGAGGATCTTCGAGTGGTCGCTTAGAAATCCTGAGCGTTCAGTTCGGCGAGCTTCTCACGCGCATTTTCCACCCCCTAAACTTACACTAGACGTATCTATCACTAATTTTTTAACTACAAATCGTCTACGTTTGGCACTGGTTTTGGTGGCGACCGACCGACCGACGTACACCGCGTAGCTTTTCGGAGCTTTGTGTTGCACGCACGCGGTCCGCAAATCGATAACGACGTCGCAATGACGTCACGAGACGCTCGCATCCCTCCAACCGTTTGGAGATGTGTGCGCGTCACTTTTTCGAACGCGGACTTGCCCTAATTTTAGAATCGCTTTATCTCTTGTCGTGATAACGGCCTCTCTCCGTTTCTATTTTTAGACGCGCGCCCTAAATAACCCTTTTTCGCGTTAGCCAGGCGCAGAGGTGTCGTCATCTATGATTTGCTTTTAATTGCATCAGAACGATCCTTTTTGATCAAATTATTACGTGAAGGAACGTCAAGGGAAATCGCCAGGGGCTGAAACGTACTTTAGGATAGAAAATAGACCACTCGCGGACCGATATAAAACATAATCTAAAAGCAAAAGACAACTGGAAACAAAATGGCGGCTGGAAATAAAATGGCGGAAAATAGAAATCTTAAAAGATTCTGATGATTAATAAACACATATGTTTGGAGGGGCTACTCAATCCACCATAGAAACATATATGGCACTGAGGTCTGGGGCAAAAGGGGCGGTGACAGGAGAATAAAAGCCTCAGAGGAATCAGTCTCTCGGTTCAGAGCCGTCTTCGGACAGGTTCGAGTGAGAAGAAACGCCCACCAACCGAAGATGCACGAAGTAACGGGAAGGAAAAAACATTGCAAAAATCAGCCAACATCGTTGCCATAGGAAAGGGAGCCAGCATCACCGCCAACATCCTTAACGAATTCGGTGTACTCCAGGATTACCTACGGGAAAGTCAGGTCGAGTTCCACATTTGCGCGCTGCCATCCGAGAAAAAACTGAACTGATTTCAACACTCTCATTGATAGTTTTTGGGAAAGGGACGGTCGAATCTGAGTATGGGATACTCTTTAGGAAAAACAGAACTCTATTGTAAAAGTATGCAATTCCGGGGGGTCTGGGGGGCATGGAATACCCCTCAGAAGAAAGAGAGCACCTTTCAAAAAAAAGGTGGGTTGATGGTTCTTTTTGTACTAGTCCTTCACTCACATAATAACCTTTTGCAGCTTGTAATTGGAACTTCCAATGCTGGGGGGGGGGGGTATTCCTTGACCCCCAGACCCACCGGTATGACGTTCATTTACAAAAGAATTCAGATTTCAGCGCTATCATTGATAGTTTTTGGGAAAACGACAGTCGAATCTGAGGATACTTTTTAGGAAAAATAGAACTCTATTGTAAAAGTACGCACCTCCGGGGGGTCTGGGGAGTATGGAATATAAATAATACGGAATATAGGTACCTATGTAGAGCGTCTAGTTAAAAACTACCTAAGCGAGAGGCAGGTGGTAGTCACCAAACCATCGCGTGAACATTCGACGCTAGTGCGGGAGTGCCACAGGGGTCGGTTCTCGGGCCGCTGCTGTGGAACGTGGTGTACGATCTGGTGCTTAGAATGGATTACGGAGATGGTGGCAGTGATGACGGACAGGAGGCAAGGTATGGATGCCACGATAGAGGTGGTCGGTCAGGCGATCACCGCGGAGGACACCATCAAGGTGCTCGACTAAATATTTAGCCACATCAAGCACGTCAAGATAATTCCCAACACGGTCGCCATGGTGATAGCCGGGTGGAGGGGAGAAGTGATGGGCGCATGACAGGAGATATGGGAGAAGCGGGAATCCTGGACAAGAACATTGATACGGGATGTCAGGGAATGGATCAACAGGGGGAACGGAAGCTAGAAGGACTGTTATGCGAAGTGTGAAGGCTGTTTAGGACAAAAGTTGGCGCTCAATGCTCTCAAGTGTATCTCCAAAAATCTTTATTGAGTGAATCTTAAAAAAGTAACTATCTACTACTAACTCCCTAGTGTTAATTATTGTAAATGATTAAGCTGGCAGACCGGCCGTAATGGAACCCTCAATTCCGCAATGGTCCTCTCCGCGCAATATCTTGAAGTATCCCTTGTCGCCCCAGTCAGAATTCCAGGAGTTGGCAACCAACCAGTAAGGCATGCCGTTTTCAACGCCCCAGCCGAGTATTCTAATGGCGTGACCTCCTAGTTCCTCCCCGGTCACGTGCTTATAGACACCTAAAAGCAATACCAAGATGCTTGGCATTCGATCTGGTGTGGCTTACCGCTTTTGTAGTTTACGAAATCCGCATAAACGGAGAAAGCGCCCTCTACTGGGCCATTTTTCATAATCTCAGCCTGAATTGATTTAACATCTCCCGCGACCGAGTAAGACTTTTTGCCGTGGAGGCGATCTTTTTTGTACGGAATGGGGTACCCTTTCCGACATTCCTCCTTGCAAGGAGGAGTGGGACCTTCGCCAGTACACGGTAGGCGCGATCCGTTCACGTGATGTTCGCAAGGGGCTATTTCATAAGGTTTGCAACCCTCTTCGGTACCAAACTGGCCGCCAGACACAATTCCATGGCGCACCCAGTAACTCCAAGCCGACCCGGGATACCCACCATTACACCCCATACCACAGGTGTAACAGCAAGACACCAAATCCTCCGACGAAAAATGGAAGTTGACCTTACCCTCGGAGTGAATGCAGACCCTATCCGACATCGCCTCAACGGCCCCAAACGCCTAAAATCGCAACTTGACAACAATAACCTCGTCCATCTCTCTCACTCACCCAACACGACCCGCACGACCCCTGATCTCTAATCTCCCTTATCGTCGGACAGTCCGGCCATTGCTGACGCGAGTCGAACTCGTCCGGCACCTCGATCTCCTCCAAGTTGTACTCGGGCACCAGGACCGGCAGACGGTGCCTGTAATTATCCGGCAAGACGCCCATCAGGCGTTTGATGTAGCGCGTCGGCGTCGCTTCGTGAAAGTTACGACCCGCTTTCCACGTCGATTGCATATTGTTGATATTCCGTATCGCTTCGTCGGACAACAAATGGTACTCGCCAGAGGAGGGTTGGGGCGTCAGGACGGCCAGGGAACCGCCGATCAAAAGTAACAGATGCTAATAAGACGACAAGTAAAGAAAGGGAACGACGCCGTTATTCACTTACCGTCAGATGCGTCATTATGCTGCTAAATTTAAGCACACACTGATAGGTTTGGATAAAAATATTATGGGAGTTCAATAGGTTATCAAATATACATTGGAATAATATTGACCGAGGCGGCATGGCGCCATCTATCACCGCATGCGGATAGTTGCCGGGAGGGTATTGATCGTAGGAGGGCGCCACTGTGTTGGTCACTTCTCCAACCAACATTTCAGCAAACAAGATTAAACAAACAATCATACCCTGTTGCACTCATATTGTTGCATCGCTCGAGTGCGCCTCGTGCTGTCACAATAGCGTATACGAACCGACCGAGTGCAAGTGGTAAAAGTGTATCAGAAACTACTTTCCAAAGACGACTATAGCGGATTTTAATTTTAAGGGTGCGTGAGATGACCTCTGGTAATTATTGCACTCGCATGAAGTTAGAAAAGAGGTAGGGGTTGCGGAGGGGCCGAATGTGGTAAAAATGAATCAGGAGCTCCTTTCTAATATTGACTTTGTGGAGAAAGTCATTGGGAAAACGTTGTCTGTCCGTCCGTCCTTCAAACATTTTATGCTATTCTGTCTCTCCTTGTCTAATTAACAACTTTAGGGACGGGGCTACATCTGGGCGCCATCACCGAGCGTGGGTTTACTAATTTGCGTAACGGAATTTTGATTTTTAGCGCATTTTTTAAGAATAAAAAAAATTGTGCTATTGTTTACGTTTTGTCCGTCCGTCCGTCCGGACCCACTTCTGCCGTTTTGAACTACCTCTAGGGAAATGGTCCTAGAGTCCTGGAATTTCTTGCAATAAATTGAAGGTGTGCCAGACCCCCCCCCCCCCCCCACCAATTATTTTCTGAGATGCTGTTTTTAAAAGTAAAACGTGCATAACTGTACATACGACAACCAATTGGTCCTAGATTTTGCATACGTATGCCTTTGGTGGTGCCAAGTAAAACTTTTGTAAAGGGGAAGGGGGGGGGGCACACGTTCTGCCGGTCATGGTATTCTAATGAACGGTTTCATCGAAATAAATTGATTTGTACAAACCAGAACTTTCCCGCGCATCTCTTTTTCCAGATCAGTGGGTGAAGGGGACCGTGTGAGAGGGGGAGGGGGGTAAAACTTGTTTTATCCTTCCTGGGCATACCCCTCCCGCATGAAGGAGAATCGATTACCTTCACTTGAAAATTTCTTTGACAGTCTCTTTGGGGAAGGAGTCATCAAATGTCCATTTCTGAGGGGTATGCCATACTCCCATCATTTTTTATTCCCACTCCCAGACCCCCAGGTGTTACCTTTCCACCCTAAAACAATTATAAATTTTCGCTCCGCGTTCTCATGATCATTTTTGAGAGAGAGCCATGGAATTTTCTTTATCCCGGGGAACCCAGAACAAGGAAATAGTATATTCGTCCCTCAAGAATGATCACAAGAGGACTGACAGCTGGAAATGTTTTGAGAATAGTAGCACGGGAGAGGGGGGGGGGGATTATCTGAGAGAGTATCCCATCCCTCTAGGCAAATAAAATTCTACAGTCTTAAATAAATAGAGCTCTAAATGTTTTGGAAAGTGTGTGATACCGGCCGTCTGAAGGAGAACGTGGTACTATCGAATCACTCTCCCTGTACGTCTATAAAATGGCGATCTGTCGTTCTAAACATTTGAGGAAGTAACAAACAAACAAACAAAGAGGGGGAATATCTTTCTCTTCCCAGAAGTAGAGGATGTAACGACTGTAGTTCAAAATGAGAATGAATTTACTGAAGCTCCAAAAAGTCACGGAGAAAATTGCGACACTAGGTATACCCCCCCCCCCCATTTTCACCGGAGAAAAAGATGCGACGGCCCTCTTCAGAAATGATCATGAAAATGGTGAGGAATTTAAAGGCCATGTGGAAAAATGCTACTGGGAGGGTCTGAGGGTATAGAGTACCTACATCCCAGATAGGAATGTTCATGAAAATGGTGGATGGCCTAAAATGTGGGGAATTCATAAGGGAAAAAGGGGGTAGTGGGTGTATGGAATACACCCTCCCATCCCCCACAAGGAAGGAAGATGCGATGGTTTTGCTTCAGAATGAATAATCATGAAAATCCTGAAGGACCGAATATCGAATCCCCCCCCCCCCCTCACTCTCACTCCTTTCCAATATTGACTTTGTGGAGAAAGTCATTGGGAAAACGTCCGTCTTTCAAACATTCTGAGTCTTATAGATTTTATGTTATTCTGTCCCTCCTTGTCTAATTAACAACTTTAGAGACGGGGCTACATCTGGGCGCCATCATCGAGCGTGGGTTTACTAATGTGCGTAACGGAATTTTGTTTTTTAGCGCATTTTTTAAGAATTAAAAAAATGTGCTATTGTTTACGTTTTGTCCGTCCGTCCGTCCGAACCCACTTCTGCCGTTTTGAACTACCTCTAGGGAAATGGTCCTAGAGTCCTGGAATTTCTTGCAATAAGTTGTTGAAGGTGTACCAGACGGTCATCAAATTTAGCTGTCTTATCCCCCCCCCCCCCAATTATTTCCTGAGATGCTGTTTTTAAAAGTAAAACTTGCATAACTTTTACATACGACAACCAATTGGTCCTAGATGCCAAGTAAAACTTTTTTAAAGGGGAAGGGGGGGGGGCACACGTTCTGCCGGTCAGGGTATTCTAATGAAAGGCTTCATCGAAATAAATTGATTTGTTCAAACCAGAACTTTCCCGCGCATCTCTTTTTCGAGATCAGTGGGTGAAGGGGACCGTGTGAGGGGGGGGGGTGAAACTTCTTTTATCCTTCCTGGTACTCTAATGAAAGGTCTCAACGAAAAGAATTCATTTCTACCAGCCATAGTCCTCCTCCTCAACCTCTTAACGGGATCGGATGTACTCCCTTGTATCTCCAGAACGGATTGTCGGAAGAACGTACTCACAAAGGACGGTTGCGACGTCTGGAAGAAATATATTCATTGGTGATGTAAGACCTTTAAGAGCGAATATCTCGAAAGCCCCCACGTTTTTATCGGAAAACACGTTTTGAAGCACCAGGAATCCGAATCAAACAAACGGCTAAACGGCTGAACCGATTGGAACCAAATTTGGTACCATATTCTCAGATATAAAAGGAAGAGCTGTAAAACTTTTGGGAAGAACGCCCATGCGCATCTTGTGGGCGGTATCTGTACTAGCAGTTTATTAAAAAATAAATTGTTACGTTTGATGGAATATTAATGCCCTTCTATAAGCCATTGAAGACCACCTAGGAGACTGGTGGCAGAAGGGTGAAAAATGTGTCACTGTTACTCGTGGTTTCCTCATTTTCGTTAACGATTTTCAAATGGTCCGATCGGGCGCGCCGCCATTTCCGCCGTCTCATTCCAATGTATCCGACTAGCCCTATAACCGCCACGACCGCCGCGATCGTTCCCAGCCAGATCGCGATTTTCGAATCTGAAACTTGTCCGTGACCGACGATTTCCGAATGTCCCCCCGCTTACCTTCGAAGAACGTCGGCGCGACGTACAAGACGATCGGCGCCGATATTTCCGTTTGCTTGTAATCGCGGCCGAGTCTCGTCGCGCAGATCCACTTCCCGCTGTCGAGCGGCGTCGACTCCTGGATCGTTATCCCGCACTCGCCGTACTCCAACCCCTTTCCGTAGTAACGAATCCTGCCAGCCATCGAATGATTAAAGGAGTGAGCAAGCGAACTTACCGGTTAAAACTGTGCACATTCTTAATAAAGTAGCCCTGCCCGCTCGGAGATACGAATCTGCAATATTTTAAGGGCAGGCCGTAAGTTGAGCACATCAAGTTCACATTGTCCCCGGATTTTCCCTCCACTTGCCCCGGAGACATCAGCTCCGCCAGGCGAACTTCGGTCGTCATCTCTTCAACGATTAGACCGGTTTCGCGCGCGAAGAAGCAGCCCCATTTACCCACGTCGGCAATCGTCGCCTTTTCGAGACGTAACGAACACATCCCCATCTGACTTTCCTTGTCGTCCACCATCGGGTACTCGGTTCCATTCGGCGACTTAATGTAACAGTATTCGGAGGAGTACGTAACTTGACATGTTATAGTGAGAGCTTCACCGAGTTGGGTGGTTATTTTCTTGTGTTTGACGTAGTCGTGCCCTACCTTGGTAAACTGAACGCTCTTCGAAAACTCTTAAATTATGCTTACTTTCATTACTGGCTAACGAAACAAATGTGCCCACTGATCGGGTAGAAATGTCGAACTCGCAACGCCATTGGCCCTTCTCTCTCTCTTGTAGAGGTTTCTCAATCTGCAACGTACTCATTGACTCTCTAAAAAGACCGTCACGCTTACCTTCATCTCACAAATTCCCCGCGAAAAGTTAGTCCCAATCGACAAATAACGATTAACCGCACCTCCCTCTCGTAGCCTGAACACCTCGCCGTGCGGCGAGATCATTCGGCAGTAACTCGCGAGCGAACTACTCGTCAAGTTGCAACCGACGGTCGCGTAACTTTTGCTTTCCTCGGTCCATCCGGAAACGGTATCCGCGCCGATCGCCAACTCCACTCGGTACTCCAACAGGTTCATCGCGGGAAACTTTCCAATGTAACATCTCCAAACGCCCAAGTCTGCCATTGAAATGGTTTTGATGGCATGGTAACAGTCCTTGTTGCGCGTCGGAACGAATGCGTTCGTCGGGGCGAAGAGGTAGCAGAAATTCTGGCTGTGCTTTCCGCCGCACTGTATCGACCCGCTGGTGCCGACCTCGACGATTTTCCGCACGTGGGTCTGGTTGGCGGGCGGGCTGGCTGAAAGTCGGGGTTACTCGAAATGTCGCAGGAGAATTAGCTTTCGGATTATTACGCGCACTTGGCGCGAACACTGTGGATGGGAAGCTTTATTGACGCAGATCGACTTTTGAGGGACTGCCATTACATTTTCGTTTGCTGGGAGGCCTCCCGGTGATACGTTTTCCCCAAAAACATTTTCAGTTCTTGTCAACATTCCGAAGGACGGTTCTCGAGGGTGGAGGGAAAGGGGAAGGTTTACCAAATTGCTCCTTAAGCTGGGAGGAAAAGAGTTTCGATAGGTTAAGAAGTTTTAATTGAAACATGAAAGACCGCTTTAACTCTTCTTTCATTAGGAATATTCCACACACCCCCCCCCCTCTCCAAGTGTCACCTTTTCATTCCAAAACATTTACAGACCTCCACTCTCTCATGATGAGAATCAATTTCATTTTCTTGAAAATTATCGTGACAGTTTCTTTCGAAAAGTAATCATGAAATGTCCATTCTGGGGGGCATTCCATACCCCCCCCCCCCCACCCCAATGTTACGTTCTCCAAAATGTTCAGCTCTTAGAACTCGTGCATGTGCATGTCTTCCAGAAAACAAAGATTCAATGGAAAATAATCAAACGTTTTGGGAGAGAACATACCCCCGAAGGTTGTGGGGGGTATCGAATACCCCTCCCACACGAGGGAGAATCGATTACCTTTTCTTGGAAATTTCTTTGACAGTCTCTTTGGGGAAGGAGTCATCAAATTCCATTTCTGGGGGGTATGCCATACTCCCATCATTTTTGATTCCCACCCCCAGACTCACAGGTGTTAACTTTCCACCCCAAATGATCATTTTTGAGAGAGCAATGGAATTTTCTTTATCTGGGAGAACCCAGAACAAGGAAATAGGTAGTATATTCGTCCCTCAAGAATGATCACAAGAGGACTGACAGCTGGAAATGTTTTGAGAATAGTAGCACGGGAGAGGGGGGGGGGGATTATCTGAGAGAGTATCCCATCCCTCTAGGCAAATAAAATTCTACAGTCTTAAATAAATAGAGCTCTAAATGTTTTGGAAAGTGTGTAATACCGGCCGTCTGGAGGAGAACGTGGTACTATCGAATCACTCTCCCTGTACGTCTATAAAATGGCGATCTGTCGTTCTAAACATTTGAGGAAGTAACAAACAAACAAAGAGGGGGAATATCTTTCTCTTCTCAGAAGCAGAGGATGTGACGACTGTCGTTCAAAATGAGAATGAATTTACTGAAGCTCCAAAAAGTCACGGAGAAAATTGCGACACTAGGTATACCCCCCCCCCCCATTTTCACCGGAGAAAAAGATGCGACGGCCCTCCTTCAGAAATGATCATGAAAATGGTGAGGAGTTTAAAGGCCATGTGGAAAAACGCTACTGGGAGGGTCTGAGGGCATAGAGTACACCCCAGATAGGAATGTTCATGAAAATGGTGGATGGCCTAAAATGTGGGGAATTCATAAGGGGGTAGTGGGTGTATGGAATACACCCTCCCCTCCCCCACAAAGAAGGAAGATGCGATGGTTTTGCTTCAGAAAGAATAATCATGAAAATCCTGGAGCCCTTTCTCACATGATCATGGTAATGGGGGGAGTTCAAATGTGTCGGGGAGGAACGCTGCACGGGTGGTGGGGGGTCGGACCCCTCCCCCCCTTCCAAGATGAGATATCTCACGCTCAGGAAAGTTTTATAGTTGCACCTCCTTATATAAGAGAATTTTATAAATTATACCCCCCCCCCCCCCACCCAAGGCAGGAAGTTGCGATCGCCCTCTTTAAGAAACGATCGATCTTGAGCATGATATTGGAATCTAAACGTTTTGGGGATAGTGGATCACAGCTTCTGGGAGATATGAAATACTCCCAGGAAGAGACGATATGGCTCTACTAAAACGGACCATGAAAGTGGGGATGGGCCTGAAAGTCAAGGGGATAACGTTGCAACAGGGGGAGGGGAAGATGAGATCGCTCTTCCTACAAAAAATATACAATAGGCTCCACAGAGAAGGAGGATAGCTGGCCCACCCTAAATAAAAACGTGGATGGTCTAAAAATTCATGGAGAAAAACATGGACCCAATGCCACGTTTTTCTCCATGAATTTTTGGACCATCCACGTTTTTATTTAGGGTGGGCCAGCTATCCTCCTTCTCTGGAGCCTATTCTATATTTTTTCTATGGAATATTCTCCCACAGGGAAGAAAGATGCGATGGTTTCCCTTCAGAATGAATCAAAATTATAAGGACCGAAATCATAGGGAAGAACGTGGCAGTGGGTATATCGAATACTCTCCCCCCCCCCCTCACTTCCATTGGAAAGGGAAATGTGATAGCCCTTTCTCAGATAATCATGAAAATGGTCAGGGGTATATACGCGACGGGAAGGAATTCCGCACCGGGGGATGTATGGCCTTTGAAATCCCCCCCCCCCCCAATAAAGAAGATTGTATAGCCCGCTTCCTGAAGTTTCTAAAAATGTTGATGTGTTTAAAGGTAATGAGGATGATTCCTTATATAAGATAATGTTATAAGTATGTATACACCCCCCCCCCCTCTCTCTCTCTCAGAAACGGTCTTGAGTATGATCATGATAGTGGGGGAGGACTTGAAAGTCAAGAGGATAACGATGGGACAGGTCTTCCGCAGAAATGATAACGAGAATGATGAATGAGTTATTAAATCCCCCCCCCCCCCCCCCCCCTCGATAAAAGGAAGATGCAATGGCTGTCTCTCAGAAATGATCATACAGATGTTGAAGGGTCTAGAAATAATGGGGAAAAACGTATTTTTTAGGGAGCATTGAGTAACTCTCCACTCTCTGAAACGTTCACTGAGCCTAAAGACGTTGGGTGCGACGTGGTAGTCCGAAAACTAATTATTTCCGAGCTCTCACCAAACAGAGTGTAATTGAAAGCTGCCCGGTAGCTTTTCTTAAGGCCATCAACTCCGGTCAAGCTCCATGTTTGATTTGCATCAGATGCGTTGACGCATTTGAACCCACAAAGTCCATCGCCTATGCCAACTATCGTCATATCTTCCACCTTGGTTTCCTGAAGCTGCACGGTGACAAGTGACTAGCGAAAATCTCCCCACTTACCCCATTGGATTTCAAGTCGATATCAATCTTCCGAGTACCAATGGCCAACGTGCAACTGACAAAGCTGATATTGGTAGCGAGATACTGATAAAAATCCCCGTTTCGTAACGCGACAGCCTCGTCTGTGGCTAGCGGAACCTTATCTGAAATTGGTAAGGTCAGTGACAAGCAAGGCGGCCCGTGCACGCACAGTAAAACTTCACTTGGAATTGCACCTCATCCAAAGCCTCCCCCTCGTTGTGCGCCCTTAGGTACCATACCGTAGGCAACTGATCGTCGACGTCACTAACGGAAATTTGACACAACCCCACCTTACCCAAGTCCGAAATTTTACCAGTTGAAACCTGAAAATAACGCGGGTGAAACTGGTGACAACGCATGTCCATGAACCTAGCAGAGCAAGGTCAGCAGAACACAATCAAACATATTGCATAATTAGGTGCTAAATAGGTGCTAATTAAGTGCCCTATTCCCGAATTAAATGCTCCTTTTTTTAAATTATTACATGTTCTGCTAGGTTCATGTGAACTCAGCAGAACACTACCTCAAGCATGTAATTCGGGAATAGGGCACTTAATTAGCAATTTAGCACCTAATTAGCACCTAATTATGGAATATGTTTGATTGTGTTCTGCTGACCTTGCTCAGCTAGGTTCATGGACTTTGACAACGCAAACCGCCATACCTTCCACGTTGATCTGTACAATTCAAACACACCGCTCACGTTGGTATTGGAGCGATAACGGCACCTTTTTATGCGAGTGGATTGATCGTTCTCCACGAGTCCAAAGGTGTATGTACCGGACTCGGTCACCTCAATCACTCTTGATGGAGGCAGATACTTGAGACCCACTGAAAAACAACATCAATTGGTTTTGCGCGAACATTGTTCACCTACCAGCGGAGTTGAGGATGAGCAACACGTAGATCAACATTACGGAGTGCACTGGAAGTTTATCGCAACAGGGCGGACGGATAAGCTTCCAGTGAGTCGTATTTTTGTTATCGATTGTAAAAATAGATTAAGCTCGTACTTTTTATTTCAAAGTACTTAATGCGACCTCTACGAAATTTATCATTGCACAACTTTAGGTGGTTGTTGTTCTTAAGTAAAAAGTGCGAAAAACTTGAGACTTGAGTCAGGACACGAGTGCAGATTGGGAAAAGGTGCCGGGAAACGCTGTCTTAATTGTGGCCAGGCGGACCATATTAGGGAGAACTGCACCGGCCCCACGAGGTGCTATATGTGCAACGAGGACGGGCACGCCCCGTGGGACTATGGCGGGGTTATGTCCATGCACCTAGCAGAGCAAAGTCAGCAAAACACAATCAAACATATTGCATAATTAGGTGCTAATTAAGTGCCCTATCCCAGAATTAAATGCTCCTTTTCTTAAATTATGAACCTGGAAGAACTTGTAATAACTTAAAAAAAAGGATCATTTAATTCGGGGATAGGGCACTTAATTAGCACCTAATTAGCACCTAATTACACAATATCAAAGATCATACTAGATCTTTGACAATATGTTTGATTGTGTTCTGCTGACCTTGCTCTGCTAGCTTCATGGACATAGTAGTTCTGTTGAGTAGGTCAAAACTACTGACGTAGTTGTAATGTCCTTTAGTCAAGTGGTTGGTTTATTTACCAAAAAACATGCTCGCCATAAAACTCGAACTGGAGGAGGAGGACGAAGTTCAGGAGCTGAATGGCACAAAAATCGAGAGACCTTCCTTTTTTACCAAAAATCGACTACACCAAAATTTCTCGGGAAAACACTTTTTTTTTATTAATTTGGGTGCGTAGAATCCAAATCAATTTGTACTTTTTCGATCAGACTTCTCAATCAAAAGTTATAGACTAGAAAAAATTCAAAGGGCTGTAACTTTTGAACTAGTAGCCCAATCTTGGAACTGTTTGAAATTATGGATTCTACAGGCCACATTCTATAAGAAAATTTTTTTCCCGGTCGATCTGAGACAATTTTTTTTGCGGTCCTCAAAAAAAGGCAGTGTATAACCTTCCTTTTTTTCCAAAAATTGACTGCACCAAAATGACTCGGGAAAACACTTTTTCTTATTAATTTAATTCGGGAATAGGGCACTTAATTAGCACCTAATTATGCAAGCCCTTGATTGTGTTCTGCTGACGTTGCTCTGCTAAGTTCATGGACATAGTAGTTCTGTTTAGTAGGTCAAAACTACTGACGTAGTTGTAATGTCCTTTAGTCAAGTGTTTGGTTTATTTACCAAAAAACATGCTCGCCATAAAACTCGAACTGAAGGAGGAGGACGAAGTTCTGGAGCTGAATGGCACAAAAATCGAACATGTGGTCAAGACGGAACCAAATTTGGCAGATCTGAATTTCTCCCTGAACAGTAGCGACCAAATTTTCCAAGCGAATAGTCCTTTACCTTTCGAATTTAAATGTGGAGAGTGCGATTATGTTAGCCATTTAAGACAGTGTCTCGTATCGCATTGCATTTCCGATCATAATTGGAGCAGGACACTGGCAGTACAACTGTCGCATCCCTTGTATAAGTGTGACAAGTGTGCGTATGTGAGTAACACGAAAGACAACTTAATGACACACAGTGAGCGCCATGTTCGCAGAAATTTCAAATGTACCTTGTGTCCTTTTGTCGCCAATCGACAGTCCTCTCTAAAACGTCACCTGGCAAGACACACAAACTTGCAACTGCTTCACTGTGAACATTGTGACTACATGGTCAAATCAAAGAGTAGTCTTCAAGCTCACTTACTAAGCCACAATAATCCACCCGGCAACAATTACCAGTGTGATCAATGCGAATTCACAACAAAATGGAAAAAAAGCCTAAGCAAACACTTGATAATCCATAGCTCCACGACCTACAAGTACAAGTGCGACCAGTGTGACTACCAGACAAGGTGGAAGAACAACATCACACAACACAACGTTAGACACAACCCCACAAGTGTGGATTACAAATGTGAACATTGCGATTACACAACGAAATTAAAACAGTACTTCATGCGACACATCGCAATTCACAACGTATCCAAACCAAGCTACCAGTGCGCCAAGTGTAACTTTTTAACCCACAGAAAAGACAGCTTACGGTCACACATTCTGAAACACACCACGACTACGTGCTACAAGTGTCACCTCTGCGATTACACGACGAAACTGAGGCATTATCTTAAACTGCACTCGATCGTGCATAAGGAATCCGGCGAGGAGTTTAAGTGCGAAAAATGCGCTTACAGTACGAGAAGAAAGGCGAATTTGTACCAGCACCAAACGAAGCATAACTCGTCCGGGCATAAGTGCGAGTTGTGCGATTTCGAGACCAAGTGGAAGCACTGCCTTAAGAATCATCTCAAGATACACAGGCGAAATTGTGATACGTAGACTTTTTTAATAAAGTTGTGAGACCTTGAGTCTTGGCGCCTTTATCTCAAACCTTATGCTTTCGTGGTCCGAGAGTGCGAGGTCTCGTCTGATACATGCCAGTTAGTTATGTTTCCCCCAATTAGGGGAGTTGAGCGAGTATATTATCTAACACCTCTAGTCTAAATTTGTTTGGGGGAAAGCGCTCGATTTGATCATCTCTCCCACCCAATTTTTTTTACATACTTATAATATGTAACACGCTGTATAATGACAGTAGTTCTACATCGTAGGCCAAAATTATTATTGACGTAGTTCTAATGTCCATTTGTCAAGAGGTTATGTTGTATAAAAAAATAATTTATTTAGTGATCAAAAAACATGCTCGTCATTAAAGTCGAACTGGACAAGGAGGACGAAGTTCTGGAGCTGAATGGCACAAAAATTGAACAGGTCGAGGAGGTTTTCCAAGCGAATGATGGTCCTTTAACTTCTGAATTTAAATGTGGAGAGTGCGATTATGTTAGCCACTTGAGAAAGTGTCTTGTGTCGCATTGTATCTCCGACCATAATTGGAGCAGGAGACTGGCAGTACAACTGTCGCATCCCTTGTATAAGTGTGACAAGTGCGTGTATTTGAGTAACACAAAGGACAACTTAACGGCACACAGTGAGCACCATCTAAGCGCATTCAAATGTAGCTTATGCCCCTTTGTCACCCATGGACCGGGTTATCTAAAACGCCATCTGGCGAGACGACACAAAGTTACATCTGCTTCACTGTGAACATTGTTCAACTACGAGTGTGAATTCACAACGAACTTGACAAGGTGGAAGGACAAGAATCAAAATTGTGATACTTAGACCCTCTTTAATAAAGCATTCTGGGCCCTTTACAAATATTTAGGAACCTTCAAGGTTCTTCAAGCGCTCACAAAAGTCTTTAAGAACCTTTTTCCTGGGAAATCTATACCTTCAAAGTTTCAAGGGGTCTGAGGTGTATGAAATACCTGAAAAGAAACCTCCCTTTAGGTTTTTACAATTACTTTAATATAAAATCCCATTCCCCATAATTACAATTATATTCAAAATTACTTTGTAAGGCACTTTACTTGTCCCAATGTCCTACGCTCCAAGAAGAGTAATTTCAAAGCTGCTTATCATTTTGCTGAGCATCAATTTATTGCTGCAAACGAGCATTACAAATGGAATACGGTTCACTGTGCTTCTTGTGACAATGGCGCGCGAAGTACGCGTGAGACTGCGTCTTAAAATGACACAGTTTACATTTGTACAGTCTGGCGAGGACGTGCTTTAAAATGTGCGCCTGTAAATTGGGCTTGAAGTAAGTCCCGTAGACGCAATCGTTGCACTTGTAACGTACGTCCGACTCGTGCTGCACCATGTGCTCTCGCAGATCCGATTTGCTGACCGCGCTGAACTGGCAGCGTTTGCAGGCGTGCCTCTGCTCGAAGTGCTTCAGTTTGTGAACGTTGAGGAAGAACTGGTGCGAGGTTGTAAAATCGCACCGGTCACATTTAAACTTGTCGACGTTGGGGCCGTGGAATTGCAGATGTAGTTGGAGGGAGGATGGGCGTTTCGCGTTGTAATTGCAGTATTTACATGCGAGAACATCGTCTCTTGGAGGGTCTTCGTGTGGTTGCTCGAGTTTCACGTCAACTTCTAACTTGACGGGTGGAAGATCTAATGGCTCCAATTTAACTTTACTGTAAACATTTTCCTCCATCATGTCATTGTTTAAACAAATGAATAAACCTACGAGTAAAAAATAAGAATAAACAATTATTAAACCACAACTGAAGTCTGTGACTAATGTAGCTTCACTCTTTAGCAACATATACAGGGTGAAACAACCAATTGAGCCCTTGGACAAACAAGTGTTCATCTTTTTCAGGTGCGACGGATTCTTCAGCATTCTTCCCTTATTGCTTCTCTGACATCTTCGACGATTTCATTATAAACTTTTCGACTTTTCGCTTCCTCGCAATCTTCGTATGTACTGTACCCCGAGGGGTGGGGTTGGGGGAGATTTAATTTGAGGGCAACAGACGGCCTGTGCCGCATGTGGGATAAGGATTATGCCACACATGTGCTACAGGAATATGACCAAGAAGTCAAACAAGCTGCCGGACTCAGAGGCAGGGTTGAGCCCCAGGAAAGTTGGAATAGAGACGTCCGAAGTATTAACATAGACGCCAGTATCACACAGCAGTGGCTACGATACTCAACTCAAAACTCTTTGGACGAAGAGCCCAGCTAACCTACTAAATACTCACACAGGTTACCTATGCGCGAGTCCTCTGAGCTATGAGTACGTCTCCGAAAAGCAACCCCTGCATTTAGCCGTAAAGGGTGTTCGCAAGGAATTTAGTCTGTGATATAGAAATTAACAATTTAATAGGTTTGAATGAGTAAGCCCAGTCGCTTTTTAACCGCAAGGGCAGATAAAGTGAATCAGACGATTGTGCATTCTAATGACATCTGTCATTCTTATTTCGAATGGGCCGTGGAACACGATATAAAATGAAGTTCAGAACAATGTTCACAAGACGCTCTCAATTACTTTCGCAATAAGGTATAAAGTTCTTGAAAAGCACTCGAGATACTCTGGGACTACCCCAGAACTTCCACAATCTTTTCCCAAAGTTTTCTAGGAGGCCCGCTTTGAAGCTAGGCTCGCGTTTGGGCTTTTAAACAATTAAAAATTAGGTATATTTATTAACGAAATTAAATTGCTCTTTATATTGCGCCAGACCAACTCTACGTGAAAGCGTGAGCGTGTGTTTTGAAGCTCAACTGACTCAACAACTGAACTCAACACAAATCTTTAAAAGCGTAAAGCGTTCGTTGTGTAATGCGGCCGTTCCGTCGCCGACGCGCACCCGGTTACGTTCTCCGCCCCGTCGCACGCGTTTATCAGCTCGTTAAACGCGCGTCCCTTGCCGCAGTTGTAAAGACGCGGTCGCGAATTGACGCAAATGTAGTAGTGATGACAGTCCGCCGATCTGAACGTCGTGTAGCTGTTATCGTCGAAGTCTCCCCGGGCCGCCCCCGGCGGACAGGTGAATCCGAGGTAGGCTGAAACAATCGACGCGTCAAGATTCTCGCCAAGGAAGCGGGCGCGCGCGCTCACCTTCCGCGTCGCAGCTGGACACCTGGTCGGGCCAGTCGCATCTCAAGCTTTGCTCGTCGAACGCGAGACCCTCGGGACAGTCAAAGACGTACGCGCGTCCGTCGACGCAGTTTTTGAATTGGCCGCAGTTGGCGGCGTCTCCGATGCGGAAATAGCCGTACCGATGCGGGCATTCCTCCGTGCTTTGTGGCGGCTCTGAAACGTTGGGCGAGGGTGATTTGGTTGGGTTATTGGGGTGGGGTACGTACGTGTTGCCTCTCTTCCGCTACAGTCGACCTCAACCGGGTACTGGCAAGGCTGGTGGTAGATGCCGAGGGCTGGGTTGAATAAGAGACCATCTGGGCACAGTTTCTCTTCACCTTTGCCATCCTCACATTCTATATAGCTACACTTAGTAATTAGTGGATGGGGGTGGTACTTGGGGTTACTTACGCGTCACATTGGGATGTGGCAAAGCGTCCAGTTTTCTCGGGACATGTGATCGATGGAGCTGGGGGTGAATTTCTCGTGTTGAAGTATGGATTTTGTTGAGCTGAAATGCATTACACAATCTCGAACTTTACACACTTTCTCTGATTGGGAATTGTCATTTGGCATTCAAATATTCCGTCGCCTTGACATTTAATTATTTCCTCAAACGTGCGTAGCTTACTTAAAATGACCCAATTAAAAATTATGCCAAAGATGCGGAGGTAAAGAAAAGAGAGCAAAAGCTTACCGCCGGTCTGAAGAAAAAGTGCAACTACGAAAAGTGAACAGCAAGTCTTCATTTTTACGCGGTTCTTCGTCGGATGCAGAACACAATATGAAGAAGCGACACTTTCACCTCCGCTCAATCGGTGGACAGACGAGGCCTTGATCTTCTTCATCGGCACCTGCGTCGTTTCATCATTCTTACGTAATTTGCGGTCGTTGTGAATGCAAAATTGAAGTCGGTAAATACCAATTTCTCAATTCGCAAACAAAAGAATCTTCTTTAAATTCATCATAGGTATACCCTTGGGTGAAAATATTAAAAAAATCCTCTTTACGTCTCCAATGTGTATATCATCTCATTTCCACAGTTCTCATCTATATCCCTGATCTACCTCCAACACCACCCCTTCATGTCTGATTTAAATCACGTACGCAACCTCCACGCCTCCTTCAAACTTTTATTTCCACCCTTTGGGTCACGTTTTCTTCACACCTTCAGCTTAATTTCAGAGCCTCTACACCTCTCTCCATTCACTTAAGTGTTCTTCATGTTTCCTATGAAGCCATTTTGCCCAATGATTGCTTCAACACTTCCTAGCGACTCTGCTTTCATCTCCTTCGCGTCTCCTAAACACCTTCGTCATGTCTTCCTCAAACCATGGTCACCCAATCGTCTTCCAATTAGGCACGTTTCATCTTTATGCTTCCTCCTTCACATATTTTTTGCGCCACTTTCACGTCCGTGCTGATACGGAACACCTTTCCCCTAAAAATATCCTCAAAGTGATGAGAGATGTTCCTGGGAGGGGGGTAGGATATTTCGTATCTAGTTTCTTCGTTTATACACACTACTTCACAAGTGCCTCTTTTTCCCGTCACCATGACACCACTCCTTCAAGCCTTCTTCGCTCCTTTTCATTCTTCTGAAAACATTTCACTGATCTAAATCTCGACACGCTTCATTTGCCTTCGTTTTTCTCGTGTGTTTCCTTCACCTCGCCAGTAATAAAAGATATAGGATGGTCGGAATCAATTTGTAGTTTTGCAACCTCTCTGATCTTCGTAATGGTTCTGCTAATCTCACTCTCTTCTTCGTTACCCGTTTTGCTGGTAGCGGAACTGCGATTGGTGAATCTCGGCTCTTATTTTCCTCCCGCACGCCATCACCGCATCGGTTCCATGAAGATCTTTCCATACTACACGATTCCTTGTAAGACGGATGAGAAAATCTTTGTCCAGGAGGGCTCTTGATAGTCGCCTTTAGTTGCCGATGCCAATATCCATCGCTATCTGACCATAGATATATTCGTTAAGACATTGGATCCGAGAATAACCAACTGGGAACTCTATAGAGAGAACCGCAAATCTCGATAACTGTGAGTAACTCCTCAGAATTGTATAGCATAGTATCAAACCATCGCATGGCCATCAAAGGTGACCAAGTTCAATTTTTTTAAAACATCCTATGCAATTTAACACCCTGTATGTTACCTAACCTCACATTATCCTTAACCTCAAAACTTCAAATTTGAAAACAAAAAATGCTTCAGCCCGTCGAGGACGACGACCCTCCGCAGCTGTCGGCGGAAACCTTTCTGGCGCTCCAGGAATTTTACAACGAGCAAAACGCCAAGGAGGCCCAACTGCAAGCGGACACACCGACAGAAATCGCCGAAGATTGGGTATGTTGTTCACCTCTCGTGCCGTAAACTACACCGACTTCTCACAGCAACTGAGCCAGTTCTGGTACGACGCTAAAACGACGAACGTATTAGTCGACGTCGGACTAAAACGAGTAGGCCCCGACGGTCGTATCGCGCTAATTTCGTGCCCGACGTTATTCAACCGATTTCGAGAGAACTCGACGTGCGACGGTCCGTGAGTAGCCTCAACCCTCAACGCCTAACTATAAATCCGTTTAGTTAGGCTGTTTGAATACGACGATCGCTTCTCGAAGGTGTGCGGTGCAAGGTTCACGCGTTACGACTATAAATCGCCTCTGGACGTGCCAAAAGAGTTTTCCAAAGGGTTCGATTTGGTAATCGCCGATCCGCCTTTTCTCTCCGAGGATTGCCTGACGAAAGTGGCGGTCACCGTCAAGTTCTTGGCGAAAAATGACGTGATTCTTTGTACAGGTCCATCCCCCAAACTGCAGTATAGTTATTTAATTCTCAAAAAGATACATGCTAATTTCATGTACAGTAATTAGGGATTGTTTTGCCTTATGTCTACTTTTAAATGACAGCTCCTGAATGTTATGCAACCAAGATAACTTCTTAAAACAAATAAAGATCTGGCAAGCCAGATATTTGTTTGTTTTAAGAAGTTATTTTAGTTGCATAAAATTAGGCGCTCTTCAGAAGCTGCCATTTAAAAGTAGACATGAGGAAAAACAATACACATAGAATAAATTTTGTGTATAATGCCTTAATCAAACTAAATTTCAAGAAGCCACAGACCATGACTTCACCTAATTGTTTGTTTTGTAGGGGAGGTGATGTCGGATTTGGCCGAACGACTACTACACGTAAAAGCGTCAAGTTTTCGTCCGTCGCACAGGAATAATTTAGCGAACGAATTCCGCTGTTACTCGAACTTCGACTTAGACACTTTACTTCTATAACTTTATTTCTCTTACATGCGGTGATTGATATGTTAACATGAAATCGTGTATATACAAACATGTTTTAAATAAACTTCTCGAAAAGGAAACAAGCGATAAAGGCCACACTACTAAAGCAAATTCTTGGTCCCCCCCCCCTAACAACAACCCTGTCTTCGATCCAAAGAATTGCCGCCGATCACATCTTAATAAATTCAGCACCCGACGTAGCTTTACAACGCAATGAAAAAAATTGGGAGTGATATGTCTGAAATGTTACAAAACTTTCGTTACTCTAAACGTTTTCGTTACAAAAATTAAGATTAAATCACAGATTTTTCAATATTTTGTGTGTAAATGTGTGTGAGGTGTGAGAGAAATGAAAGGTGCGTTCCGTTAAGCTACATACCCAAAAATATGTTTGTAATAAATCAGTACCAAAAATAACTCCCTCCCCCCCTTGGCTCAATAATCGCCTCAAAGATATTACCACCTACACGAAAAGGGAAACCACCTCTCCATTGTTTTGACAAATGACAATCAAAATTAAACAGTACAGTTCAGAATTTTAAAAATTTGCAAGATCAAGATACTTGGTTTGCAGATGTTTAAAACTGGAAGAAAACCGTAAAGAACCGAGTGAAATTTGTGGTCCCCCGCCCCCCTGCATTCTAAACATCAATTTCTAAAACATCCGACGAGACATATCAGCTAATTAAATTTTGCCCTGTCTCCTTTAGGGCCTCCGACGTTAGTCGCTCGATTTCGCCGAGTAAAAGTTGCGTATCCGTGTCCACGTCGGATATCGGAGGGCTGGCGTGTAGGGAGTTCTGAACGTTGTCCCACTCGAGGGAGTCGGCCGAGGAGACCCGCGACCAGTCGGAGTTGCAGCCGTGAATGTGTTGGGTGCTCGATTCCGTACACTCCTCCGGTAGGATTGCCCTGAGAAACGGTTCTAAAATGATCTCGACAGCCTCGAGAAAACGTACCACGAATTTGTAGAGGGGTCCCCAATTACGGAAGGGGGTAAAGCTTCATGTTCCCATTCGAGGTCTAGTGAGCTGGCGGGTGTTGACGTTGTGGTATGAGCCATTAGAGCGCGTACATCTAAACATTGCATTGGAATATCGCGACTGTTGTACGAACTGAAAGCATCGGAGATTAACGGAGAGGGTTCCAAACTGAGAAAATAAACCCCACCTACTACTAGGAAGATGAGATTCATTTAGTCTACAGTACGAATCGCCTACTGGGTTAAAAATTCCTTCGACAAATTCCAGGACTGGCTTCTGAAAATGGCTACGGATTAGTTCAGGGGTTGGTTCCGAAACTTGGCTCACCTTTGGAGCCTTGTGTTCTTTTCGCTTGTTGAAAATGCGTAATAGAAAACAGCTGCATCCGTAAAGCATGAAATTCTGTAAGAGCTGTAAAACTACCCGCCTACTTACCTTTGGTTACCTTCGTACGAGCTCTGGAAAACATGCGTTAAAAAAAACAAAAACGTGCGGACGCACTGACAGACCTCGTCGATGAGATTTGCGAAGTCATGATTCGAGAACCCGAAAAATTTGCTTGCGGTATCCGAGCAGGGTGTGCAGCGACCCATGCAGCTACCCATCTCTCATGCAGCCCATGGGGGACTGTTTCACAGGCATTCCCCATTGGGCCATGCACAATTCGGCGGATCCGTGTTTGCTTACTGTTGAAAAGGTCTCATCATTAAAATTATGCAAAGCCCACCCTTTGGAGCATTTCGCAATGTTTTCTACCGAATAATTAATTAATCGGCTTTTAAAATCCAATTATGTATGACACATTTTGGGGGGGTACGTAAATTACAGGTGGGGTTAAACCCGAAACGCCCTGACAATTGACATCATTTTAGTAGTAGCTAATTTTAGACGTGGCAACAGTGTAAAACGAGCCACGCCCACAATAGAAACTGGTTTCTTTTCAGAAAATGATTTTAAAGATTTCCTCCAAAATTCTGTTCCCCCTCAGCTCGCACTCAAAGCATTTTGTAGTTATCAAAAACGTTGGATACTGAAAAGATAGAGGGTTACCGTTTGTCAATCCAATTACGGCTTCATTTACTACTTCGGATTTTCCTAATTCTTTCACTACTTCATCTCTTGCAGTTTAATCAACTTCCTCGATTCCATTCAGCCTTTTCAACTTTTGTGTATTCTTTGAAAATCCTCCTTGATTCATTTTCCTGTGCAAAGTTTGCACCAAATCGGTCCAAACGTTTGCCAGTTGTCGTATTGACAGACAGACAGACAACATTGATTCCCCTAAAAGGCTGGCATCGCTTTGCTCTGCCGTTTAATCAACAGTAAGGACAATAATGGTCAATCCAAGATTCGAACCTAAGCAATGTCGTGATCCTTTTCTGAACTTTGTCGCTCTACCCCCACTACCCGGTATTTGAAATCATACGCCAACGATTTTTTTGAGTTCTGTGATTGTAAGTTTGGCTTGAAGTGAGCCACAAGCCCTATTGACTTCTCCTGTCAAAATGGCGGACGATGAGCAACTTCCACCGGGTTGGAAAAAACAACTAAGCCGGTCCACCGGTTAGTTCTTGACTATTTTTGAGTAAAACGTGCAATAAAATCAGTCCACCTCTCCACTTCTTCGGCAAAATTTGGAAATTTGAAATTCTAACCTAACATTCTTGCAGGTCAGCACTACTACTTAAATATTTACACGAAAAAATCCCAGTGGGACGTCCCGGACAAGCCCGCCGAAGCAGTACCGTCCAGTGGTCCCGACCAGGTCCAGTGCTCCCATCTCTTAGTCAAACACAAGGATTCGAGGCGACCGTCTTCCTGGAGGGAGGACCATATAACGCGTACCAAGGACGAGGCGTTAGATTTACTATTAAGTGAGTTTCTTTTCCCGGGTCAGTTTGTGACGGTTGCACTTTTAGCCTACCGGGAGCAGATCGTACAGGGTAAAGCTTCGTTCGCCGATCTCGCGCAGAAGTATTCCGATTGCTCTTCTGCACGACGTGGCGGCGATTTGGGACCGTTCGGTAAAGGTGCCATGCAAAAACCGTTCGAGGAGGCGTCGTTCGCTTTGAAAGTCGGAGAGATTAGCGATCCAGTTTTCACAGACTCCGGCGTGCATGTTATTTTACGTACAGTTTAAGTTTTTTTTTATCGTAATCTTCCAATAATGTATTCAAGTCATGATATTCTTTGTTTTTAAGTAAAGGCATTGTTTATGCATTTTCCGCTTGGAATTACTCCTTTGGAATGCTCCATGGGAGAAACCTTCATATACATGGGGATATTCCATACCTTTCCGTACTACATTCTCCCATAAAATCATTTCACCCCAAACAAAAGAAGGTCACACACTGATGGATGATGTAGCATCAGAGTGGGCCATACACCTAGGAATGGAAAATATTCCTTTCATCTTCATATACTGGGGAGTACTCCATTCAGTGGCAACCTCCCCCTACACCACCCCCCAAAAATGCGCCCATTAAAAGAATCTGTATATTTCCTTAAATTAGCTAATTCTAAACCGAATTGCACAACAGCATAAGACGATACGGATTCATCGCGCTGAGAAACTGTAACTCCTCATCCTGGCCATCGAGGGGGAGCACCCATCGCCGTTCGCGATAGTAATCCATGCAACTCGTAAACTCCAACTTCGTGTAGGTCGGTACCGCGACCGGCACAAACGGATCCATGTGCTCGAAACCGTCGCGGCCCAGCAAGTACCTGAAAAACCGGTACAAAACCCGTAAAACTCCGCAGAATACGAACCGGGGGAAGTGGCTGATGTGATCCTTTTCTGCAATCGCCAATTCGTCGACCGTCACGACCGCGGCTCCGTTCTTCCAGTCAAACCTACTAAGGTTGAGAAATGCCTCGGTGACCGTAACATTCTTGGGATGCACCACCTCCTTCTTCTCCGTGAGAATCCGGGTGTTTGGGTAGAAAAACCCGTTAAATCCGTCGACGACGACTAGAGTTTTACACTTTCCTTCTCTGGACAACTGCTTAATCTCCTCGGCGAGCACGACGATGCACTGCGATGCGAACTTAATCCTGTTAATTCCGTGATCGACGAGCTCGCCGAGCGGCACATCCTTCGGTGTAGACTCGCGTTTGCTCCAGACGTGATCCTGCGTCGTTCGCAGATCAGGATTGTCGAGTAAGTGCGAGTTTTGGTGTTTAAAGTGAACTAACCAGGCAGCCGCGTCCAAGTTTGTGTCGATACAGCCCGGCTTGAACTCGGATATGCTAGACTCTTGGCATCTTCGCAGCCAACCGCCGACCCAAGGCACGTGTACTATGAGAAATCCGGCCGAGTAGCCATAGTGAATTATGTGTGCCAACGACAGACTTTTACCCTGGCCCTTTTTGCCGTACAGGATGAAACGTACCGCGGGCTTTGAGTAGTCGACGTGCCTTAAGCAGTTGATAACGTCTACGGAGGGTTTTCGAATCATTAGGCACGATTCGTTGAAGGTTTTCGTCTGAGTGTCGTACGATCTGGGTAGTCCTCCATAAAGGAATAGCTTCTTTTTGTGTTCCGATGGGATGGTGTAGAACTGCCCGATGTGGTCATCCGAGTGGTTTAACGGGTTGTTTTCGGAAGTGCGAAAAGATTGCAACCGTTCCAGAGGTTGTGTTTCCAGTGACAGATGGGCTACAGGCAAAATTATCGGTTGCACGGGGACTTTTCTCAATAATGATCTACGTACGAGAGAATTTAACATTTTGAAAATAAAGTTGAGGTTAGGACTTTAGAAGTCACTACCAAATTTTGGTACCAACTGTTACAACTAAAGTAAAAAATCCCTAACAGTTTCTTATGTGTATACAGGGTCTCTATTCACAGGGGAGCCCGACAAGGAGTACTTAGGCACACCAAAGGCCCATTGCCTACTAGGCACTAGGTTTAGAGAATAAGTTGCTTCACCCTCCCCGGTTCCAGATAGCCATCTCTGACCAAGACGTCGCAAGGTCAGGCACAATCCACATGCTCGGTAGTTTCATCTGGCTCGCCACAGAACCTGCCCATGGGCTCTTCTACAAGAGTTGGCCATCAATCAGTGTTCCGTAAGGACACCGATGATCTTCCTAATCTGGCTTCTATTCAATTTCGAGAAGCTTGGATGACCCAGACAGTCCAGTTGCTTGTTACCACTGAGCCTAATAGCATTGACTGGTCATCCATGTTTTTAATTCCGGCTCTAACAAAGGAGGGAGCCTGTCTGCCTTCACGAGCAAGTTCGTCCCCCTATTCCGCACCCAGAGCCAGCTGACCCTATGAGACCCACGACTAATCTATCGATTATCGTCCATACAATTCCCACGGGTAGTGCGGGAATGCGATCTCACCTCCTGGTCAAAGCCGGTTGTCCAATTATGCAGCAATTACACGATCAGACAAAGCCTACACGCATAGCATGCCCAAATTGCGCTTAGAGCAAGCGCCCCGTCGTAAATTACCTTAATACAAAACAAGATACGAAGAATCTGAATAAATCTGAAACACGACTTTTAATCAGGCTCATATTCAATAGCGCCGATCCTTGAACTCATAGAAATCGAATGGAGAAGATAGACGAACTAAACCATCACATAAAGCGGAATTTTTCGAACTCCTCTTGCCGCGGTTGAAGGACATGAAGGTTCGCGTCAGCGACTTTTATTGACAGATTTTAACAGTTACGGCCCCAGATGTCAAAAAGACAATCCTACGTTACGGGTGAACAATATGAGCTGATGGAGGAACCTACGCTATGGGCGAACAGTAGATGAGATGAGAAACAGAAGTCGACTGAATTTTGTAGTCATCGTGTTTCATTACCTACGACACCCCTGACTACAAAGACATCGGAGGCTCAGGCTTGCTTTAAGTTTTTAATAAAATTGTTTTTCACTTTTGTTGAACATTTTAATAGTTGTCTGCTTTTATCTGGTTAGATTCTTTGTATCGTTCCTTTTTTGATTTTTTATATATGTTTTGTTATTATTATTTATTTTGTTTTATAGATTTTGGCTACGACTGTTGAGGTCTTATGCCATGTTTCTTTGTTATAATAGATAACGCCACATAATTATTAACTTAAATATACCTAGTACCACGGTTTCTATAGTGACCAATACTAAATAAGAAGTTAATTAAACATTAACAATAAATAACAACGATGAAAGAACAACAAATTTGCTGAATTGACAATTAGATATTAGAGAACAATGTACTAATTTATTTCTTATAAAATGGAAAAATAGTTTTTTAACAGCTATAATATTTTTAAGTACCTATGTGATTTACATATACATGCGCATTATAATACCTAACGTTTTTAATGACGAATTATATAATTCATCTATGAAAGTTAATTTAGGATCAAAATGGACAGCAAAATCTTTAACTTAAACGAATATTGTTAACTTGGGTATGATTAATATGATGCCCATTTGTAGTTCATTTATTTGCTATTGTAAAAAAAGTAAACCATCATTATTACATACATTTTCAAATCATCTGCAAATAAAATAGCATTGCAATATATCATTCCCTACATTAGGTAATAAAGCGCGTGTAGGTACAGCGGATCTAGAAAAGCGGAGAACGTGAATTTGACTCATTAAATAAATAATAATTTTCAATAGGCTTGTTACATGTGTCATATAGTTCAACGGTGCAAAGTTTGAACCCTATCGGGACCGGATATGGTACAAAATTTCTGAATCAAAGAATATACATCACTGCATGAACATCACATGTGTAAAACGTTCCATCTACTCATAAGGAATCCAGAAAGTACCCCAGAATGGTTAACAACAGGCAGAACAATAGGTTCTTATCTTCGATCATACATACTCACTTATGATCGAAGGTTCTTATATATAAAGGAAAAAAACACAGAAGGTCCAAAAAACTATAGACCTCTCCCCACCCTATAGTACAAGATAATGACCCAGACAATAAGCAATAGAATATATAAACAACATGGATGACAACAACCTACTATTACCTCCTGAGCAAATAGGCTGCCGAAAAGAGTCGAGAGGATGTAAAAAAAACTACTACTAAATAAAATAATTATGGAATCGGCAAAGAAACAGAAAAAGAATCTATGTATGTGATGGATAGACATAAGAAAGCATTGGACAGCCTCCCTCACTCATGGATCTTAGAAACCTTGGTATATTATACAGGGTGGTTACTTGCGTAACGCACGAGGTAACGCATCATAGGGATTTCAATGTAAAATTCATAAATTCATAACATGCTCCCCAAATTATTTTAGAGCAAAAATGTATGAAGGTTTTATGTAGAAAAATTTTTTTACGCCAATCAACCGTATTAGTTTTCAATTTTTTGCATAATAAAGACGGAAAATTGGAAAACTAAAACCCGCATCTTTTTCAATAATCTGCGATGCCATGGAATTTTTTAAAACAAAAAGATATCCAGTTATCAATTAGTAGCAGTTCGAAATGGATTTTATGATCGACTTGGTTACTGTCTTGCAGTTAGTGGTGACTTATTCGAACATTTATTGTAAATTGTTATATTATAGAAAACCGTTTTTAGTAATTTGGTCTTTCTTTATGTTGAATTCGCTGTTTTAAATATAATAGTTTTTGATAGAATTTCATTTGTTTTATAGCAGACATTCCATGGCATGACGGATATTGGCGTAGTTTTTGTATTATAAAATTCCATGGCATCACAGATTATTATTGAAAAAGATGGGGGTTTTATTTTTCCAATTTTCCGTCTTTTTTTCCTTGGTGAATTGTATTGCTTCAAACCCCTGAGAATGTCGCGATTTCGGCTGTGGCGCGATCATCACCATGCAACCTCGCGATGATAGGGCGATATGGTAGAGCCCTTCAGTATGAAGTCGCAATTTTTTCGATACTTGCTACTTTAATAAATTGTTAATTGAAATAATCAAATTTGTATTCATTAATTGGATAATCTGACTGACGATTTTCCTCAATTAATTAGTAACGCCTGGTCGAAAATGTGAAGAAAAAATCTTTTTTCAGAGAGCACTGGCTACTAATAAACGATCGACGCGATCGAGTAGCCGTCGTAACGATAATGTCATTTGCAAACTTTAGACAGTTCAAATTGTCGTAAAAATTCTGCGACCACTGCGAATTACCGTAATGGCGAGGGCTTGCCATCAATGCGAGAAGAAGTGCGGTAAAAACGCGGGCGGCGTCGATCCGACCGTTCTGAAGAAGCTCGAGGAGGGATACGCAAAGTTGACGAGCTCGACCTCGAAGTCGCTTTTAAAGAAGCACCTGGCTCAGCCGATCTTCGACAGGCTCAAGAACAAACGGACCTCCTTCGGTTCGACCCTACTCGACTGCATACAGTCCGGATTGGAGAATCACGATTCCGGCGTCGGCATCTACGCGCCCGACGCCGAGGCGTACGACGTGTTCGCCGACATCTTCGATCCGATCATCGAGGATTACCACATGGGCTTCGCGAAGAAGGACCGGCACCCACCTTCGAATTGGGGGGACGTAAGCCTGTTAGGGAATGTGGATCCCAATGGATGCTTCGTCGTGTCGACGAGGGTCAGGTGCGGAAGGTCGCTGGAGGGGTACCCGTTTAATCCGTGCCTTACCGAAGGCCAGTACAAGGAGATGGAACGGAAGGTGTCGAGCGCGCTCTCGAATTTGAAAGGGGAATACCAGGGGAAATTCTACCCCTTAACCGGAATGACGAAGACTGACCAACAGAAGCTGATCGACGATCACTTCTTGTTTAAGGAGGGCGATCGCTTCCTTCAGGCGGCTAACGCGTGCAGATTTTGGCCGACCGGCCGTGGGATATTCCACAATGATAACAAGACGTTCCTGGTGTGGTGCAACGAAGAGGATCACCTCAGAATTATCTCCATGCAGCAAGGGGGGGACTTGGGCGAAGTCTATCGGCGTTTAATCGGAGGCGTCGACCTGATCGAAAAGTCGTTAAAGTTCTCGAGAAGTGACAGATTAGGCTATCTCACCTTCTGCCCCACTAATTTAGGTAGGTACACCCCTTTATAATCGCCGCGAAAGCTACATCTCACCCGCTAGGAACGACGATCAGGGCCTCCGTTCACGTGAAGGTCCCGAAGTTGGCGAAGAATTACGAGGAGCTCGAGGAGATTGCGGGCCGCTTCAACCTGCAGGTGAGGGGGACGCGAGGCGAGCACACCGAGGCCGAAGGTGGAGTGTACGATATTTCGAATAAGAGGCGGATGGGTCTGACCGAATTTGAGGCTGTCAAAGAGATGCACGATGGAATCCTCGAGATTATCAAGCAAGAAGAGAGCAAATGAGAAAGTGCGCCATCTAGTAGATTCTGTACGAAATTTATGTAAATTACACAGCGTTGCGCGCCCCTTAGTCAAAGTTTTCATTAGATTTTACACAATCAGTACAACAAGAAAATTTGCTGCGGCTGCGGCGTACGATTACCCTGAGAATGAGAGATAAACGAGAAAGAAATTGTCTAGTTCTACTATACTGAATGCTTCTCTGTTCAGGGGGTATTCCATAGAACGGTACTATGTTCGACTACCCTTTTTTAAAAACCATCATGAAAGTCTTAAAGGCTGAGAGCGGTTCTGGGAAAACGTAGTTTCGTAGTAACGAGGGTGCTTGGGGGATATGGAACCCCCCCCCCCCCCGTGTGTGTATACAAAGATTCGATTATCTCTTCTTAAAGGTTACTCTGAGAGTGGGGGATAAACGAAAATGAATAATGTAGTCCTACTAAAGTAACTAGATATAGAAAGTACCGCAATCATCCGCCATTTTTGGGCAAATTTGCTGCCAACTTAAAAAAAATTGACAAATAAAATCTGAATAGCTGTAATTTTTTATAACCTAACTTCATAGTACTGTCATGTTTTATAAAAATATATACAGATATCAAGGAATAAAGAATACCAGGAAGGAGCATTACTCAGGTTGTATACAAGAGAGAGTGCGACGGAAGTCGGCCATTTGCAAAAGCCACTTATGACTCATTTTTGTCGTGGTTTTTGCAGTGACATAAAATAATGGTTAGTTGTTGTGCTTGTGGTTGCTCCAAAACGGAAAAAAATTAAAGTTTGGGAATTCATGTCTAAGTATTGATACCACTATTATTTTTATATAGTATATGTAAATTTACAAATTTTTTATCGGAATGTAGTTTGAGGTTAGTTAAACAAAAGTCATAGGCGGAGTAGACACATGGGGGTTTAGATTGTTTTCGTTAACATTCTTTATAATTGTATCCTTCTACAACTGTAAGGTAGGTACGCCACTGGAACAGGAAACTACTGTCCGCCATTTGCAAAAGCCATCGCGGTCGCACGTATATTGTTGATATTCTCCTTCCTGGTATTCTTTAATCATTGACAGATATCTCCAAACAGGTGGAACAATCCCTAACATTAAAGTTACTAGAATCTGGTAACTTCCGCCATTTTTGGGCAAAAATCATGCGTTCTCTCTCACACACGAGCCCAATGGATTGCGGTACTTTCTGTATTTAGTGACTCTAAGTCCTACTATACCGAAGCGTACTCTGTTGGTTGGGGGGGGGGGGGGGGTATTCCACACCCCAAACCCCTCCGGTACTATGTTACACTGTACATTCGCAAAAACTATCGCGAAGGTCTTAAAAAAAACTGAGCGCTGTTGTGGGAAAACGTAGCACCGGGAGGTCTGGGGGGTTGGAATACCCCCCAGCAACACATCCCAGGTAAAAGAGGTATGGAATTCCCGCCAACAAAAAGAGTACCCTCAGTAGTAGAGTATGACTAGATAATTCCTTGTCAATTATCCCTCATTCTCAGGAATGACAAAAGATAATCGAATCTTCGTACACACTCAACTCACACTGGAGGTACTCCATATCCCCCACCCCCCGGTACTGCGCCTCAAACACGGTCTAGCTAGACGTACTCGTTCATGCATGAAAAGAAAAGACACACCAATCTTCTGTCTGACTTTTCTGACTGTATTGTATCTTCATTTGTGACTTCGGTGCCAGTTACACTTTGGTACTCGAAATGTGTCATAAAATCCTTGCATAGAGATGAAGGTATGGTCAGCAAAAAACGACCCTCTCTACCTCGCTTCAGCTTCATCCTTCATATCCTTCACCCCCCCCCCACCCCACCCCAACCGCGGTATGAATAGATATTTAAGAGGGTTGGAAAGTATTATGTAATAAGCGTTGTATTCTCTGACTAACTTCACAATCGCCACAAGAGCGTTTAAATATCTGTTCCTTCCGCGCGAGGGGGTGAGGGTGAGGGGAGGGCGAAACTGAACTGAAGTGAGACAATTTTTTCATTTCAAAAGTATATTAGAAAGGGCTATAATCTCACAGTAATTCAAATATCCTCACTAGCAAGGGTTGCAAGTTTCATTATTATGCATCCCCTTTGGTAAGGGTGCAGAGTAGAGGGATTTATACCACGATAAATTCAAGATATTTTCTCATAAAACTCTTAATTATAGTGTAAAAGTATGAAATTTGATTAAAACATCTACATAGAAATTTCAGAATTCTTAAAAATATAACCAACTCTCAAGCTCTATATCTTTTTTAATAAACATTTCACAAAAAAGTAGTGTATATCAAAGTTGTGTAGAATTTTATGGTCTACAATTTCTGATAACAATATTTTTTTCTAAAGTGAACTATTAAAAAGATATGATTGAAAAACTAAGAAACCAACCAAATTTCAGGAGTTTTGGGAGTGGTACGGGGGAAGCACAAGGGATGGGAGGTCGAAAACTTAGATTGTTAACCACCAGATGACTGTCTATGACATGCAAAAGAAATTGAAACTACTTCTCATTTTGCATGCTAAAACCCTCTATTCCCTGGACTATATGTCTACTTTTAAATAACAAAATCTCTTCTGAAAAGCGCCTAATTTTATGCAACCAAAATAACTTCTTAAAACAAATGAAGATTTGGCTGTCATATTATTAATTTGAATATTGTTACTTTGGCTTCCGTATTTCTATTTTCGGTCGTATGCGATTCAATCAACTAAAGAAATCGTTGATTTTGTCAATGGGTATATTACCGGCATCATTTTAAGGCATGTAAGAGATTTACTTTCTGTGAATCCAAAGCGATAATATTCAAATTTAATTAATATGACAGTCAGATCTTCAATTGTTTTAGGAAGTAATTTTGATTGAATATACAATGCGATCAAAAATGAGTTGCTGTCGAGTCACCTTTGGAATTTTTGTTTACATGGGAAACTTTCAAAGGCCACTGGACCGCAACTCATTTTTGATCGCCCTTCAGAAGAGATTTTGTCATTTAAAAGTAGACATCGGGAAAAACAAAATCCTTATGTCTACTTTTTAATAAATATCACTGTCTAAAGTTAGACTCAAGCGTCACAAGGGTTACCTATAATCAGGCGGTAATGGTGGCCGTCTTTTGTATGTGTCTTTGAATATAGAATTTTACAATCAAAGGTATGCGCATTGAATTTCTCATTGCAAACATTTCCTAACCGTTGCAAATTAGCTGCCAACGGAAAGACTATTCGCAATGAAATAGTAGGCACTTATCTCCTGCACTTTATCCTCGTACTTAATTTGTTTGCGTTATTTTGATTTTCTTCCACGTAATTATTTAACCAGCAATAATTATGCGTTATTTAGCCGAGGGAAAATTGTCGTTATCATTTTCAGTAATGAGCCTTGGTCACGAACCGGGCGCGTTTGAAGTTCCGCTCTTTTAGAGCGTACAAACACTAATTTCGATCCAATTGTCTTATATGAGACTTTGATGGGGGAGATACGCAAGGTCGCGTGGGGGACCTAATTTTCCAAAACTGGGCCGTTGTTGCCGATGCGAAACTTTCCAATCGACAGGCTCGGTCATCTTCAAGGTGTCTTTGATGGTTTGCTGACCTTATAAACGACGGTTAAGTGCTCGCATGATTATTTTTACATAAAATTACATAAAACGAGTTGGAAGTAGTTATGACATTGTTTCCTTCAACAAGGACGCGTCTGGTTTGTTTGGAAAATGCTTGGAAATAGGACTGGAAATTTTTACGCTCCTTCCCGGTTGGCCAATATGTTCACATTTACTTCTGTGTATTCCCGATTTTCCATATTCAATGGGATTTTTTCTCCAAGAAAAAAATTATAGAGAAATGTCGATTATTTCCTTTGCGTTACGGGATGCAAAGCCTGTAAAGTGATGTAATTTGCAAGTATTAACATACATATAATTATAATCAATGCCGAATAATGCATATTGAGCATGAAACGGACGGTAGGCCGACGCGGTCCAGCGGAAAGTGAGACAACCTAACAGTAAAGTGTCGCAAGTTTTTTAAGAATTTTGTTTTCTGTACTATAATCGCGTCGAGTTCCGGCACGAAGGACGGACGGGATTGCATGGAGTAGTACCTAATTACTAATTCTAATACTAGTCTCTAAAGTCACTAAATATAGAAAGCACCGCAATCCATCCATTGGGCTCGTGTGTTAGAAAGAGAACGCATGATTTTTGCCCAAAAATGGCGGAAGTTACCAGATTCTAGTAACTTTAATGTAAGGGATTGTCCCACCTGTTTGGAGATATCTGTATATATTTTTATAAAACAGGACAGTACTATGAAGTTAGGTTATAAAAAATGACAGCTATTCAGATTTTATGTGTCAATTGTTTTAAGTTGGCAGCAAATTTGCCCAAAAATGGCGGATGATTGCGGTACTTTCTATATCTAGTGACTTTACTAGTCTCAATTAATTATGGCAAAGAAGTTCTAGAACAAACAGAGAGAAATATTTCACTGACTGCGTTTAGTAGCCGGCAATCTTTTACAATGAAATTTCCTATTCATTTTTAATTAGCTAATCACCTCAATTTAATTAAATCGCCCAAGTTGTGTATGAAGTGCTAAAGCCTAAAAAAATGATTGATGACAAAGGGTAGGACTGAAATCCCAAATATCCGACATCACAAATCGACCCTTCACCATTGTTTAATCAAAAAATCTGTTAAAGTGTTCGCATTTCCTCTCCTCCTTTCGTATCAGAAGAATATAACGCACGAGGAGGTGTATTCGCTCCTACATCACGGAGGGTTGCTGTCAAAAAAATCCTTTGATTTGGTTTGGATTATTTCATTTTTAAGTGGCCGACTTTTAGCCGAGGCTGTTCTACAAATTTACAAAAATCCATGCCCGATCCCGGGTTCGAACCAGGGACTCCTGTCCCGCAATTAAGCTTCCACTCCACTGTGTACCGGCGGCTTCCATTTTAATGGTACATCTGTTAGAAAAATGTTATAAATTTCCCGTGGCTACCAGGAGAACATGATGATTATCAGGACAATGATAGTTTTTTATGTGACCAACCAG